CACGTTGCTACCTTCCACACTGCTTCTTTATCTTGCCTGTCCCCGTCGGGTTCCCTTTTCCCTCCTCTTGTCAACCTCTCATGGGCACGACAGACTACTTCGCGATCCTCCGGGCAGCCTCAGACGGCTCGATCGGCCACATCAGGAGTCCATCATGTAGCAGGTCCCTGTGCTGACTCCTCCTCCTCTCCTCCTCATTCCAACACAGGTTACTGTGGACACGTTCCCCTCCACCCCGGCAATCCGGTCCCCATCATCGGATGAGGCGTGTTGGGTCTGAGCACCGGGCTGTTCTTTTGACTTCTTCTCTATTCTTGTCGAGCCCTTGCATCGCTGATTCCTGCCACACCCTCTGCCATCAACACGTGCGCCACAGTCGCAAATCCTTCAGATTCACACGAACAGGACAATCATTGAACTTGGTCAAACGATGAAGGATTGTATTCTGCTCCTCGTTGATTATCAATATACAGAAAGCAAAGATTGGAGATTTCCTGATCCTAAAACAACAGAACAGGTCTTGAGGAGCAAGGAGGAAAAACAGCAGCAAGAGGAGCAGCTGTTCCATAGTGCGTCAAAGCCAGATCTTACGGAAGCATTGGAGTGCGAGGAGGAGAGAAGTCGTGCCCGTGTCCGTACGAGTGTCCAACGTTTGCATGTCCTCCTTGAACTGCTCCCTGACCCACTGACCCTGATGCTGCCCCTCCCACAACTTGTCCTCCTTGTACTTGCAGCTGTAGCTGCTGGGAGGACACTCCGAGCATGGACGAGGGCAGGGAACCGGGCACGTCTACCACACCACCCTGCGAGACTGAGGCCATAGCGCTTCCATTCACCTGCTCCTACATATCAGAAGAACAAGCAACAGGTGTCTTTTCGACCTGCATCTTCTTCTTCATTCGATAGCGGCGCATGGCCTCCGCCATGTACGCCTTGTCTCTGATGCGCACTCTTGGCTTCCTCTTCTTCTCCTCCTCCCCTTCAGCGATCGGTTTCTTGCGCTGGAGAGCTCCATTGGGCAGGGCATAAGGAGTTCCTGAGAAAGGATGAAAACAAAGCGCAGGCTCGTGGCCACCGTCACTCACCCTGCTCAACAATCCTATCCTTCCACTTCTTGACAGTCTTAGCTTGCAGTCCTTTTCACAGTCCAATCAAACCGACCCGAATTATATCAGGCACAGATGGAGTACCAGTTTGCAGCGCGATCTCCTTGGGATCCATCCCACTTGACAACTTCACCCATACCAGGTCGCGGATGGCCTATTTCAAACAAAATCTCAGACACGCTAGCACACCTGAGCATCTCACTACCTTGGGATATCCCTTGCAGCCGGGAACGGTCTCTGTCATCTTCTGGACCCAAGGAGGAGCGGGAATAGACGAGGGTCCCGTGTTTGAAGCCGGCGCAACAGGAGCAGCAGGTTGGGGAGCAGCGGCAGCCACCGCAGCAACACTGTTCACTTGGTTGGCATTGCTCGCGGCCCCTGCGCTACTACTGCGTCTTCGGATCCAGGAAGTGAGTTTCTCTAGGGAACGTAGCTGAGCAAAGAGTTCCTGCGGCGGTCGCTTCCACAGGGCTGTGATAAGCTGGGCGCTAGAGGAATTCTTGAGCGTGGACTGTCTATTCTTGAGGCCGGCTGTGAGCTCGTGATCAGCGTCAGGATGCAAGGCAAGCCAACGTACCTCCTCGTGAGTTACTGAGATCTTTGGCTGAACAAATAGAAAGTCATCTCCAACCTCAAGAAATGCTTGGGAAAACTCACTAGGATCGTGTCGTAGCCTCCTGCGTTTGCTCGGGCTCCCATCCTCTCGCTCGGAGTTGTCACCAGAGTTCCAGTCGTTCTGTTGAGAGCTGACAACTCTCAAGTCACTCTGCCAGGCACTCTCCTGCACCACAACTCAATGGCATGACGAGCCAACATGTCGAATCACCTGCAATGACCTCTTCTGATGCTGACTGTCCGAGACATCATTGTCGGCAAGGTTCTCCAGGTCACTTGACACAAGTCAGGTTGTCAAACGCAGACAACATTAGCACCTTCGTTTACGCACTCTCGGCACCAGCTGCGCCATCGGACGAGCAACAACCTTGGCACCTACTTAAGTTCAATCATTGCCAGTCCACCTTCCTTTCCTTCGTTGTCACGGGCAAATGGATCCATTGCTTGCCCTCCATTCTCCATAATTCCTCCGCGCAATTCTTACGCTTCTGATTCTCTTGTACAATCCAACAGTTTTTCCTGCTTTCGCTCTTTCTCTCTTTCTCTTTCTTTCTGTCTACTTGGATTCGACGTTTTCTCTGCATCAATTGATTTTCAACCTCTTAATTACGCCCCATTCCCTTGCAATATTCGTCCTTTTCCCTTTGTTTGCTTTCGTTTCCATTGTCTTATTCTCTTGCAATCTCAGCATCGTCGGGCATCTTTCCTCCGCCTCTTCTATCTCCTTTCCTCCTTTTCACTTGCTCCCTGTTTCTCTTGGCTTCTCCTCCTCCCTCTCCCCCTCCTCTCCCCCTCCCTCTCCTCCTCCCTCCCAGGAAGTTCGGCATGTTCTTTCCCTGCACCGGCAAGCTTGAAATTAGTTCAGAACCATATTTCAAATTCTTCATCTAATTTTGGAACTATACGGTGACACGTTCATATTGAGATTAGTTGTTCAATTGTGTTTAAGTAATAGATCAGCGAAGCCCCGGGCAGGGGCCCAGTGGCAGCAGCCGGGCCCGGGCCGGGCCGGGCCCCGGAGTCACCGTCAACCTTGAACACTGAGTCTATACTGAACAAACATCCGTGACAAAAGTTGAGTCATCAGCCTGAGTGAGATGCCTCTCACTGAGTAAATGAGCTCCTCACTCACAGCCTAGAGCCGGGCGCGACCGTCGCTGTCACCGGGCCGTGAGCGCCGCTGCCGGGGGGGCGTGTTTAAAACTTAGAGTAATGCCATCATGGCACGGTCACGAGTCAACTGTTTGAGGGCGGGCCTGACGGTACCGGGTACTACCGTAGTAAATCATTATTCCTTTTATTGACTGAAAAAGAAGGGCAAACCATGATTACCGGCCACGATGTGTCAAACATCTCAAGTTTTTTAGCAACGGTGCGGTTGTTCATTCATTTCTTGTTCACGGCTGGGGCTAACGGTATGCCGCTTCTGGTTCAGCTCGACCATGGTCATACGTGGGTTTCCCGGTCTGGTATGAGAAGCAGGTCGTCGGTGCTGAGAGCTAAGTTTAACGAGCTGAGCCAGTATCAGCTGACCCCCGAAGCCTATGAGAAACTCTTCAAAGAGGTCAGGGAGGCAGAACTTGAAGATTCTCAACAACGGACCGCAGCTGAAACACGCAGACCTACCAAACCGTCAAGCTATGTGAGCGCGCGAGGTTCTCGTTACATGTCAACTGTGCCAGTAGGAGCTTGGTCCAATGCTCACCTTGAGCAGCAAGCACGCAGGCACGAAGTGAATGTCAGTCAAATTTGTGTAGGTGATACCTTGGCTTCACAAGAAGTCGAAAGATTGAAAGCAACAAAGAAGCATCCAGGCCAGCTTGAAAGGAAGATTTTGAGCTCGAAAGGAATCCGGGACACAGTAAAAGCAACAGAACTAGCTATTCATGCGATAGAAACTCTTTCACTTCGAAACACTGATTTGTCTGATGAGGCTGACATTTTATTCGAACATATTGAAAAGTTAAAGAATGAAAGCAAGATCCAACAGGTTTGTTTCTTGTGTTTTGCGTGCTTGATTCTGATTTGATCATTTCAAGGAACTCATCAAGAAATTGAGGTCTGAAATTATGAATCAAAAGTCTGAAAATCCCATATCAACCCCGCACGAAAACGACTCCCAGCCAGCAGGCAACAGCAAATTCATAGATTCATCACCGTCGACTCGTCCAATGTCAAGTCAAAAGGCTGAAAGGAGGGAAGAGGAAGTGATAAACCGACCCAAACAACAACCAAAGAGGGAAGGATTGCAGTCAAAGTGGAAGGGTGGAGTCTGGAGGATCCAGAAAGTAGGGTATTCTTAGTTTACTCTAAGAAACGATCATACTGCCACTTGATACAAATGTGGATCTCTTGTGTCCTTCTTGCACAAACTAATGGTAGGTTTTGGTTCATCCGAATCACGTCCAAATCTCAGCTTCAAGTCTGGGATCGACAAACCTGCTCCCGCCTCCTACTTCCTCCTCGCTACAACCCTCCCCCCTGTCCTACAGTGACTTCCACTCGTTCTTTAGTATCATATGGATACCCGCAAATCATCCTATTCAATCTCATTCCAATGCATGAGGAATTCTTCAAGTGAAAACAGTGGAGAGTTTTCTCGAAACTCCTGAAAGTAAGCCACTCAAACCTCCGAAATTGGACTTTTTGGCGCTTCGCTTCCCAGGATCATTCGATTGCTCTTGTGCATCTGCATGCTCTCGGTACTCAAACACGCAATCCACCTCTGCAACCACCAGGTCATTGGCACCACCAATCCGAGATCTCCTTGAAAGTAGTATCGTCTTCCGCTCTCCTTCTTGACTTGATTCTAACAATCGATAAACCTGAAACGATGTATCAGTACGAAATATTCATTTGCGATTCACAACTGACATGCTTCTTATCCAAACCAGACACTCGGATGGCATTGATAGATATGATTTCATCACCGGCCAAGACTTCTGGTTGTGACTGCGCTACCTTACTAATCAAAAGGTCATCATCCAGCTCTATTCCAGGACACCACAAAGCTCCGGAGGAAACTGCTTGAAGATTTTGCTCAGATGGCATCGAATCATCATTGACAATCCGCGGAGTTGCCTTGTTCCGTTCCAAATTCACAACGAGCTCGTGATTTCCCCGCAGGAAAGTCAGACAAATTGCGGTTTCCGGCTCGCCCTGCATCAATGCAGAGATGTTCTTGATTGGAAGTCTTTCTGGCAAGTCAAGGCCGTCGATCCTCAACAATTTGTCTCCAATCATCACATTCCCACTCCTTTCGGCATTGCTGCCCGGAAGAATTCCGACGACCTCTCGATTTTCTCGGATCTTGATGCCAACACCAGTGTACTGGTGAATGCGATTTGCTATCTCCATCGTCATGGAAGTGATGTCTTTTGTTTCCTTGTCTAGTCTTGCTGCAGCATCCATTGCTCTTTCTTGAAGTAAATTACAAAAATGCTCTTCATTCAAATATAACCGTTTCTCCCCCGCAGAAGAAGGGAATGAATTTTCAATCTGGAAAGACATCGTGATACTGTGGAAGTAGGCCATGAATATTACAAGAGATGAAGAAAAGTTTGATTTCATGTTTGCAATGTGAGAGGAATGGAAGGATATAGGGGAAGGGGGGGGAGGAGAGGGAATGGAAGTATAGGGGAGGGGGGAGAAAGGGGGGAGGAGGGAGGAGAGGAGAGGAGAGGGAATAGAAGGATAGGTGAAAGGAGAGACAGGGGGATGGAGGTAGGGGAGAGGAGAGGGAATGGAAGGGGAGGGGAGGGGAGGAAGGGGAAGACGAGTGGGGACGAAATACCCAACAAACCCGCCTCAGAGAGATCGAGTGAGGACCGACCCGGCTCAGTGCTGGCTCGGACCCGGTACCGTGGCCGGGCCGAGTCACTGCCAGCCCGGGCCAGTGCGCCGGAGTCCGAGTCGCAGCCTGGCAGTCACTGAGTCACAGCCCGGGCCGGGCCGGGCCGCTCCGCATCTTCTTTACCATGCCGTGCTCAAAGTGAAATTAAAAATCAGTACGAGGACAAGCAGGAGAGTCGCACGGTCGAGGGGCGCGGCCAATCAATGCCGTCCGTCCTCGAGCTTCGGGCCGCGGCGTCGGGGCCCATCGGATCGTTACCCGGCGGCCCGTCCCCGGCGGCTTACCGAGTCACGCGGCGGCCCCCGGCCCCGGCCCGCCGGGCGGGCCGAGCGATCCATCAGCGCCCGCCGCCGGGCCGCATCACCATTTTTCAAACTTGACTCGAGTGCGAAAATGCGGCGGGAGGCAATGAAAGGAGGCAGTCTGAACAGTAGAGATCGGGGGGAGGGGCAACGCAGGTAGCCTGGTAGATCATCATGAGCGGCGAGCATGGAGGGGCACAAGACCCCAGCGAGCTCGATGGGAGGAGGATGGACATTGACATGGCCTACGACATCCTGGGGTTCGAGAAGTGAGTGAAGGATGTGGGCCGAGAACAGACCTGATGCGATTGACTTTGGGTGTCAGGTATGACGTACCAACGCGCAAAGATGTCACGACCCGGCGAGTAGACGAGAGCTCATGTTGGTTCGAGGTGGACGGCTGACGTCGGTTGTGCAGGTACAGGGAGAGGATGAAAATTCACCATCCCGACAAGAGTGGAGACGCCGGAAACAAAGTCGCAATGATGCTGAACCAGGCACGCGACTTCCTCTCGGCTGTCCTGTCGGTGCGGAAAAGGAGCAAATCGATTGACCCCACATGATCATCAGTTGACAGGATGAACCTTGTGATCAACTGAACGCCCCGAGGCTGCCGGAAAGATATCTGCATCTGGTGATCAAACACCTGGACAAGGAGATTGAGTTGAGGGTAAGAATTGAGCTTTGCTGGTTGCAACGGGAAACGTTGAAGGCCTGAAGGTTTCGAGCGAATCCTTGGTGGGCCAAGTGAAGGAAACCATCGCGTCAGAGGTTCAGGTTCCGGCGCAAGAGCAGAGGTTGTACAGCGTACACAGGTAGGACTTTGTCGCAGTTCATGCTCGAGATGAACTTGCTCTTATTCAGTGGCATCGAACTGCATGATCTCAGAAGATTGGGAAGCTACAGCTGGATGCTCCCGAAGCCAATGGTGATGTTATCATTGGTACCACAAGAAATTGGTTTTCGTGATTGCAAATTCAAACAAGGTCGTTCTGAAAAGGATCTTTCAGCAAGGAACCGAAGATGTCAATGTCCTATTGTATTCTTGTATCCGATGGTAGCGTTAACACTCTGAAGCAGCTGAAAGACATTTTGAGGTCAAAACCATCACACGCAAATTTGCAGCAACATGTAAGAGCTCTGCTGTATTGTGTACCCTCATTCCCTGCAAAGCTGCAGGAGGTCGAGAATGCCTTCTCAATCTTCACCGAAGAGATGTACCTGAGGGTTCGTTGCTGCTGCCACAAGCAGGTCCTGATGTGAGGTGGAAGGATCGAAAGCTGGACTGGTGCTCGAGGTTGAGGGGAAAACAGAGCTTTGAAAAGAAGCTTCCAGAGGGTAGGAGATAGTTCGTTGCAAGGGCTGCAACTGACGCTACCGTGCCGGAGAAGATGCAAATCGCCCAACAGATTGCAAGACGGGCAGCAAGAACGACTGCAAGGAGAGCACGATGTACGCTGCTCCGCGTCGGACGGATGAAACTCAGAGAGGTTGTGGGGATGAAACTGGCTTGTGAGTTGAAAGTCTTTGCGATCGAGCAGAGGCTGCTAGAGAGAGGATGAGTGAATCAGGAGACTGCAGGTGCGAGGAGCGTTGTCCATACTACCTCCGATCGTTAGACCTGCAAGCTCAGGTCCGGACATTTTCTTTCGTCCAGCTTCATTCTGGGTTGACGTCCTGCAGCTTGCAGAGGAGAAGGCAATCACAGCAAGACTGCGATATGAGATTGAAGGTGTGAGATCCAAGACTTTTTGCATGTCGGGGACTGACAAGTGAAGCAGTGGAGAAACAAAAAAGTCGAGAACTACAAGATAATCTTCGCTTGATGAAGAATCAACCAAATGCTTGAAACTACTTGAAAATCTACAGAATACAACCAAGATGATTGCAAATGTGTTATCAGAACATGCAACCTCTCGGGGCGCAATGAAACTGACAAGGATCATTACCACAAGGCTACAACCTCCTCCTATCCTGAAGGAGATCGGCACTGCTGCTCTTCCAAGGTCGTCTGACGGTAGAGCTCGGCAGCTCGCTTCTGCACATGTTGCTTGAGGACGATAAAGTCACCCATGCTCAAGTTGTCGACGAACTGTTTGAGCCTCGTGCTAACGTCCAGCTCACCATCACTAACGCACATTCTGTCGAGAGGGCCGCATGTGGACCTTACCTGCTCCTCGAAGTGTGGCGGTGGGGAGCAAGAGGCTTCTATGCTTGGAGGGTAGGAACTCTCTGCCTCCTCCCTGCTATGGGCGATTCCGTGAATGCTCACTCCCTCTCCTCCTACGAGAGTCTCCTCGCTAGGCTGAGGCGGGCTTGAAGAAAGAGGGGATGCCAACAAGTCCTTATCACTGTCCGTTACCTGAACTTGTCCTTCCACCTTGTCTCCGTGCTGATCAGTCGCCTGAGCCCGCAAAGCCCGCTCCATCCTTCTCCTCTCCCTTCCTGTTTGAATCCCCGAAGAAGGAGGGTGCGCGCGAGAGCACGGCGAGTGTGCCGAGCCAGTCTCCAATCGACTCGTTGGCGTACAACCAGGAGAAACAGAGGGGGGTGAAGGTACGAGTTCGAGTTCTGTTCCTGCCCCGTTCGGTTCGCAGCTCGCAGCTCTGCTTCGCTTCCTACTGTCAGTCTTCTGCTGCTCACGGAACCCCTTCTCCGGTGATTCACCATGGAGCTCCTGTCCTTGCTTGCAATCAGAGTCCAACTCCTTCCGAGCATCTGCTACTGTCGGAAGCGACAGAGTTTCCTGGCCTCCGCTCGACTTCCTCGGCTTCTGGCTTGTAACACCTTTCTTGCTGTTGGCCAGGAGGGCGAGGAGCGACTTGACGGTCCGAACTTGTTTGAGAGGTCCTTTACATCGTTCAACGACATTCTTATCCTTGATCAGCTCCATAGAGATCGCCTGACCTCTCCCCTTGACTCTGCCCTGCAGCATCGAGGACACGGCTGTCCTGAGTCCGGCCATGCTTCTGAACCTCGCGTAAAAATGCGGATCCTCCTCCTCGAAGAGCATCCAGTATACGTGATTGTTTGGAGCCTGCCGCATCAGCAGGTCGACGCCATGAGGAAGTGCATCAGGCGCTCCGAATCGCTGCAGGGCGTCGATCAACTGCAGCCCCAGCAAGGTTGGCGGACTTCTTATCGGGTCAACGGTGCCGACGAAGAGCGGGGCAGTATGTCGAGGGAGGGCAAACGACTTACAGGGTGCTCTCGCTTGTTCACCCTTGCTCTTCGAGGCGTTGGAAGGATTGCTCGGCCTCTTGGAGGGGCTCATGGTGGTGCACTCCCAGCAGGAGGAATTGAACTCGCTCCTACCTCGAGGAGACTCTTGCTTGCAGATGCTGGTCCTTCCAGCTGATCCCTTCAGCTCTTTGATCATCTCCCTGTGCTTGCATGCACAGGAGGCGCAGTGCATGGGATTCTCGACGCTGACCAGGTCGGGGAAGACGTTGGCGACGAGTAGAGGAATCGGGGCGTGATCGATGGCGCTCATCATCCTATCGGGAGAACCCGAGAAATCAGTCTCAACGTCATGAAGAGCTTGGAGGAGGAGGAGGAAATGCCATGGCTCGCTGGCAGAGCTCTGCTCGCAGGAAGGCAGTATGTTCCTGCGGGAGGAAGGAGCGATCAGATATCAGGAGGGGTCAGCAAGACACCTCACCATGCGATGCTCAGCGAGGGCTCTTGGTTGAGAAACTCATGCGGCATGCCAGCTGGGATGACGTAAGCGTCGCCTGCGCTGATCTCAAAAGTTCCCCATCGCACGTGCGACATTGTCCACAGGTCCTTGAGTGAGCAGGATTCCTCTTCACCGCTGAAGGATCGATCGACAGGATCGTTGGTGAGGAAGCTGGACCCTCCTGGCTTTGCGTAGGACTTGAAGCCTGCAATCTTGAGCGCCAACGAGGCGTCGCACGCCTCGACTGCAGTAACAAGTTTCTTGCCGCACTTGAGGCCGCCAATAGCGACCAGCGAGCCCATCCCATCAAGATGCATCGTGCTCCCTCCCAGCCCGTCCTTCTTGTCTCCCCGGTATCGGACTCTCCTCTTAGACATCAGAGGCTCGAACTGACATTCTTGGTTACTCAACGCGTCCTTCGCTGCTGCTTCACAACTTCCTCTCATCTTGTCCCCGCCAAACAGGTATGGACCGTACTGCATGGACTGCTCGCTGTCCAGACTGTCCCGCAGCAGGCTTGCCCTCCCCCAAGGCAAGAACTTGGAGAAAACATCGTGAGTGTTGAGAAACAGCATGTCGTCTTGATATAACATTATGTTCTTGCAAGTGAACGTCCCGAGAGCCCCACTCCATGCACATTCGAAGTTAGATAGTCCCTTCTCATAGGACCTCATCGCGCTGAGGTAGCTTCCCAGCTCAGTGCAGAGCTCGCCCTTGCGGTCTCTCCCCGACAGTTGCGCGACAAACGATGAACGGTCAGAAAGCCATTTGTCCATGTTCGTCTTGAGGACCTCGAACGCTCCCTCCATAATCAGGAAGACTCGATGCTCCATGGCAGCGTTGATCGCCGACTCTAGCTCCGAGCTCGTCATCGCCATCATCTGCTTGAAGCTGATCCTGCACAAGTTGAAGTTCGAGCCCGCAAGCGGGGAGACCAGGAACGGCCGTAGGATCTCTGGGCATTCGACCCGTTGATCAGGGTTGCGGTAGCGCAGAGGCATCCTGGGCAATCGAGTCTGAGGGTTGTTACCGATGATGGAGCTGTGGAGGAGGAGAGGAATCGTTGAGAACGACTCGTCCCACCTGCACTGAAGGCCAGCCAACACCTTCCAGTAAGCAGGGCATGCCTTGAACATACTTCTGAACCGAGAGCATACACGCGACAACAAGAATGCAGACAAGACGTCAACGTCTCTCCATACGTTCACCAACACCTCGAGCACGTCCACTGCTGGTATGGTGCCAGCGCCAGAGGGACATGCACAGGAAGTTGACGAACTTGGTTGCGCCATGTAGCTCAAGAGCAGGATCGTGCTACAGGATCATCCCTGGTCTAAGGCTCCGTGGCATCGAGCAAGTGCAGGGATGTACCGCCCCTGCAGAGATGGTAGGTCAGACAGATGCTGGAGGGAGAGGGAGAACTGGGGAAGATAGACGGAGGAGAAGGGGAGAGGAAATGCTGAAGAAGACTTGCGGGGCGTTCAGGAACGCGGCAAGGCAGACTAACTCAGGAGGAAGAGGGAGGGACGAGAGAGGATCGGGCAGAAGAACAAAATCTGGCACAGAGAGGGCGAGGGTAGGAAGAGCAGAGGAGGAAGGCTGGGGGAAAGGGGAGTGTGGGATGGTCGCAGTACGATCTTGTTTTTTACATAATCAAGGGACTTGGAAGGCCCGGGGTAATAGGGTACCCAGAATTATCTAGTGATGCACTTAATAAAAACTATAGGTTTACAGGATGTATTCATCCCATGCTTGCGAACAAGGGAACGGTTTGTGCACTACCGGATTCCCTTGGGAGGACAGCGGGTGCGAGCAGACGACGATGCCCTTGAAGCTCTCCTGCGAGATACCATCATGCTCTGTGAGCCTCCATGCCACCGCATCGTCGAGCGGATCCTGCACCATTCGCTGTCCTTGACCCTCGGCAAGTTCGGTACACAGACCGAATACATGATCCAGGGGGTCGTCATGTGAAGGAGCGCATGAAAACTTGTTGGTATATATGATGTAGAGATGCGCATCTTTATTTCGATCTCGAATCTTTCTTTGACATGACTTCACTGCCCTTGTCTTCGTTTCCACCGACAGATATCTCTGCATAGCTTGCTGGGGGAGAAGCGAGAATTAATGAACCGAGAAAGACGAAAGTTCCCCCCACCTTCCAACAGTTTTTCCGCCGTCTTCTTTCTGACTTCTTCCATCTCCCAGAACTGCCAAGTTGTCAATCCAGCCCGGAGGGTGGGGGCACACGACAGAGGTACCAAGAGCTCTTCCCTAGTAACTGGCTCCTCTTTCTCAATGCTGTATTGCTCCACCACGGAGCTATTCACCCCCCACAGCTCCAGCTGCACATCATGTAATTACGTAGCCAAACAAGACCAGAAGCACATCACATTCAAGTCTCGTCTGGATTGTATGAACTTCCCGGCTGCCTCGGCTTCCAAAGTGATGTTGTACCCCTTTTCCTTGTCCTTCGCAAAGAACAGGCTGTCAGTAAAGCACAGAATCATCCCCGTTGTCTCTTACCAGGGCCTTCTGGTGTTCACGGAACGCGACATGATAGCTTTCATCCATTGCCTCACGTAACTTTCGTTCCCTCTCCAAGGAAGCGTGATCACGAGGATAACAGTCTGTAGCCTGCTAGTTGTAAATACTGCAGCACAAAGTCACCCAGAGCCTTTGGGAACCTTTGAGGATCCCGGGAAAGAAGTAAAGTTGGTCGGACAGACTACAGGGATAACTCCAGCAGGGCAATAGTATCCTTTCCTACAGGGCTGACAGACACCAGAAATAGGAAAATTCCCTTCACCACAATCTGTGTCAAAGGTTAGAGAGCTGTCCCCGCACCGATTCAATACCGTTGACCTTGTTGGCTCCGCAACCTGCTCCTGACCTGAGCCTTGTCGTATTCTCTATTACTCATATGAACCTGCTCATGCCTGCCGATTCGTCATCGTAGGAGACATGTGTGGGGGCAACATTCAAGACTGGAGAAACGGGGGTATGACAAAGGAGATGTGTAGGACAGTCGAGGATACATACAGTCCTGTACCGTTTGGCTATCGCTTCATTGAGGCCTGCGAAGGCTTTGTCACATCCTTTCATGCTTGCTTCCTACATCGACAAGGATTCCTCAGTAAAACATGCCAACGTGCAACAACATCCTACTTTCATAGCCCTCTCAGCAGACAACTTCTCTTCAATGTTGCATTTGCAAATTCTTGTCAGTCCCTTCCCAACTGAATCGCATGATGGCATTGCACGGTCGGACGGACAGTTCTCTTTTCCTGATAATGTCGTACTGAAGAAATTGATTTTCAAACATAGGCCCAGTCCAAGAGCGTTACCTCACCATGAATCGAAAAAGCATTCAATTTTTCCACTTTGCTGTCGGAACAAAAGTTTGTTTGGCCACGTATGTGAGACAGGAAGCACGAGCAAAATTTGACGATCTCACCGTTGCATCCTTGGAGAAAGAAGGTTGTAGCTCGGGAAGCCACAAGACCCCTGACAAATTCTGATTGCAAGAAACTTCGGCCTGAGCCTGAATTTTGATCAGATCAGTCATGCAATCAGGCAGATTGCACAGTTGGAGAGATGTTGTACGTACAGCAGCATGCTTGGTGTCCTCTGACGACATTCTTGCATGCTCGATGCATATTTCTCCGAACTCTACGCACACCTCCGAGCATGACTTGCCCTCATCTCCATGCAGCCATCTTGGAGCCGGAAGAATTCCCTTCAATTTCATCAATCGTGTCGAGCTCATAATGCGTCGCATGTCTGCAAAAACATCTCGCTTCACTGCAAAGTCGCGCGACCTCCTCGGAACCAGGTACCGGCGCAGCAAGTCTCAGGGATGTTGTGGGCCTTCAGGTCGATCTGGATCTTGCCATACTCGACCGAGAAGGTATCAACCTCACACAAGGAAGCCACTGATCCCTGCAGCCACCACAGCCACACTGTCGCAGCGACCCGCCACCGGCGACTCGACATGCACTGGCAAGCCTTGAGGAACACCAGGGACAGAAAGGCGGAAGTCAAATTTGTCAAGGCCGGGGGGGCGTCGCTTTTGAAAGTTGAGCCTGGCGCCGTAGTAGTATAGTAGCCCCCCGGGCCCGCCGCCGCAGCGGCGGGCGCGCCCGGGCCAGGCCCGGCCGGAGCTTCCGCAGTCAGTGCGGCCTATCTTTTTACTCAAAGTTCAGCTAACTTGAGATCAGTACGAACCGTGACTGGTTGGCAGGATCACGAGTCAGGGAACTTAAAGGGGCTCCCATTCAACTTCGGCGTGACTCCCGTACGGTCCGGATCGCATCTGAGTCTGGTCACAGTCGGCAACTTGTCCGAGCCTTCACACTGAAGTGGCAGCCGGGTCGCACTGTTGCGGCCCGTGCCAACAAGAGGTTTGCTCCAACTGAGTTGCCGCCGGGCACATGACCGTGACGGTGACCCTGGTACACCGGCGGTGCCCCCGGGCCCCGTGTGTTCAACGGCCGGGCACGAGGGTGATCCCGGAATGCCGCAGGGAAGCAACCCGGTCTTCCGGGCCGCAGGCAGATGCCGCAGGGAAGCAACTGGGATCACGAGTCAGTCGGTCACCGGCGTGTCGACGGTCCGTGATTCTTCTGCTGTAAATGTGCTGACCACTGGCCCAAGTGGTCTTAGAGGCTTTATACGCCTCCCTACCAATGCCCGTTTAGTAGGATAAGGTTCGGTTGACTCTTTACCACACAAGAGCCTTGGAGGTTGGGCACCGTGTCGTCGTGCAAAACAGACAGCGTTGAAGGATAAAGTCAGCTCCTACTTGGATGCAATGAAATTTTGCTTCTAATTATCAAATTTCTTCTCAGAGAAAATTAAATTGGATCATGGTTCGCCTCGCTTCCGTGCCTGAAGGTCACATGGGCCCAAAGAAGCCGCTGAGAGCAAGAGATACTTGAGGTCACGCACGATCTCAACCGTTGTAATTTCAGGACGGGATTACGACCCCGACACATTTCGATATCATGAAATATTTCAAATAATAGGGAAAATTTTGAACATTGAGAGGATACCTTGAATATCCTGTGATTGTACCCATGTGATATGAATGTGAAATAACTCTTTTTGGGATTGCTATTGTGTAAGGCTGCCCTGCCAGTCACGAGGGCTCGCAACATACTCCATGGACCCCACCTCACAACATAAAACCATAGTAGTACCCCAGTGGGAACCTAGTCAGATAAAGAGCATATCAGTAGGGGTGGGGTACCCTACCCTGTGTGATCGGACGACTCCTCCGAACTAGATAAGAAGTAGTCGTGCCACTGCAAACCACTCGCTATCGCCCTCCCCTTCCCCGCTGTTCACGTCTCGCAAACAATCAGCGTGAGCCATCGCAGTCTGGATAACTGTAAGGAGTCTCGACTCCTTGCTTTCAATACACTCTAGTGAATATCGAAGCATCGAGGCCCTCCCCGCTCTATCATGTCCACGACGATTTTTGCAAACTTTGAGCGAAACAATTTCAAGGTTGGAATCCCTGGTTTGGCGAACTCGAAAAGACAAGCCATTGACATGACACAAGAGCCAGCGACGTTTTCGAAGACCCCTAGCATTGAAGATACAATGAACATCCAGCATATGATGAACTCTACCTTGAAGCAAGACAACGACACTTGCCCTCTGGATGCGATTCGGGGATATATCAAGTCCCTTGGAGAGAAATCAGACCTCAAGGGCGAATTTCAACTAGATATTTCTGGTTGCTCCTTCAAATCAGAATCGTCGGTGCGAGAAACATGCTCTGACACAGTGGAGACGGGCTCCACGGGGCGTCAGGAGGACAGAGAACATGTGATTGAGCGCGTGGCAGTGCTGCACATCGTCAACGACAAGTGGATCAAGATGCAGGTTTGTCAGGATCCTGCTCTTCCCAACTTTTGCCGGCTGCCGATGAGAAAACTCGATTCTTGCTGCTGGGATGAGATGGATTTGCCGGTGCATGAGATGGTCGAGGAGCTCTCTGGAAGAAGGTTACCAACGGACTACCAGCATTTCGATTTCCGCAGCGGGCTGCACTTTTACGAAGATGGTGATGGAAAATCTAGCTGTGTTCCTTCCTTCACAAGAGTGGTCATACGACGAGAAGGACCTGGGCATACCAAGGTAGATGTGATCGTACGCTCTGCAAATCTTGTTGCTCACTTTGTGAACAGGATATCAAGCTTTGCCCGGTCCAAAAAGTTTTGGATGGCTGGAAAGAACCGATTCACCTTTGCGAATTTTCGAAACGGATAGTACAAGAGAGCGTGAAAATGGGTCTTTTGAGGTTGTAAAGTAGGAATGAAGATCAGGAAACGCGGAGGCCTTGACATTTCCCTCGAGCATCTCGAAGAGGAGTTCGAATCCAACCTTCCTTCTCACCTTTTCTCTTCCCCTCACTTGCCACGTGCAGTGAGCACCTGCTGCAGCAAATCAGCAGCTGCTGCCTTGGGATCGGGCTTGGCGAAGATGGCAGAGACAACAGCCACTCCAGAAGCTCCCGCCCTGGAACACAACCGTCAGGAGGAGGAGGAGCCATAACGTACGAGCCTGATGGCCTCCCCGCAGTTGCTTGCGTTGAGCCCGCCGATGGCGACACATGGAATATCACAGCCCTTACACACCTACCGATCCCTTGTTAGTCAGAGTAGCGCAAAAAGAATGGCAAGCTGGGTACCTTGCTGAGGCCCTCCAAACCTATGGCTGAGCTGTCCTTAGTACTCGTCGGGTAGACAGCACCTGAGCCGATGTAGTCTGCTCCGTCCTCTTGAGCCTTGATCGCCTCTTCTCCCGTCTTGACGCTGACACCGACGATCTTGTGGGGTCCGAGGAGGCGCCTCACCTCATCACAGGGCATGTCATCCTGTCCCACATGCACGCCATCCGCGTCGCAGGCCAAGGCGATGTCGACCCGGTCGTTGACGATGAAGGGAACGTTGGCCGCCCGACAGATCGCCATGAGCTTTTTCGCCGTCTCAAGCATTTTTCTACTGTCCACGTCTTTCTGCCGCAGCTGGATGATCGTTGCTCCTCCCTCAATTGCTTGGGAGACTGCATGCGAAAGTTCCATCCCCTGACCGGCGACACAAGAGTCATCGGTGACAGCATAGAGCGAGTAGTCGACCAAACGCCCACGGTAGATGGATTGTCCTTGTGGAATGTCTGCAGTCCTGATCGCATGCATCATGGAGTGCTGGTCGTGCCAACAGACACTCTTGTAGCTGTGATGGAGAGGTCCATGGCCGCCTCCAATCAGAAGCGACGAGCTCGCCCGGATCGCGTCCCACACGAACATCTTTGCTCTCTTCACAGCCTCCACCATGCGCATCCCTTGCGCGAGCCCCGCAGCGATGCTGGAGGCAAGGGTGCAACCAGTCCCGTGGGTGTTCTCTGAATCAAGCTTCCAGGCAGGGAAGACATGGCTCTCACCGGAGGAAGAGCAGTAGAGGACGTCAGGAATTATGCGGCTCCCCTCCACGTGGCCTCCCTTGATCATGACCCACTTGGGTCCCAGCTGGGCGAGCTCTCGAGCAGCATCGAGCATGTCCTCGGCTGTTCCGGAGATCGTTCTGTTAAGGAGCGCCATCGCCTCTGGCAGGTTGGGGGTGATGATGTCGGCCAGGGGGAAGAGAAGCTTCTTGATCTTGTCAATGGCCTCTGAATTGATGAGCTTGTCTCCGCTAGTCGCCACCATGACGGGGTCGACAACCCACTTCACGATCCCCTTCCTCGCGACCGCACTTACAGCTGCTTCCACGACGCTGGCAGAGGCCAACATGCCGGTCTTGATGACGTCAGCTCCAATGTCCTCCAGACAAACTTCGATCTGCTTGCGGAGAAACGAGGGGGAAACAGGCTCTACAGCTGCCACTCCTCTCGTGTTCTGCGCCGTGAGAGCTGCGATGGCCGTCATGCTGTATGCTCCCAACGCTTGACAGGCCTTGATGTCTGCTTGAATGCCAGCACCTCCTCCACTGTCTGATCCTGCGATGATCAGAACCCTCGGAATCTTCGGACTTGACATTGGAAAGCCAGAAAACTTGCTCTTCAATAGGAGGTTGAATTTCTCTTGGCCCTGCTGAGAGACCGTAGAAGAGGGAAAGTGGTTGAGAACCGAGAAGAAGATGCTCGCGCCGGCCTTGCAGTATTCAACACAGTCTCGCTCACTCAGCCCGTGTTCGCTCGGTGCGATCTGCTCCACCTCTTTCGCCAGCTCGTCCTGAAAGCTCAGAATACCCTTGAAGGAGTCCAAAGTCGTCGACTGCAACTTGTTTGAAGCAGAGTTCTCTTGCAGGAAGTTGCAGAAAGATATGAAAGTGTGGGTGAACGAAGCGAGGATGAGGGAAGCAGCATACTTGGAGTAAGCTCTTGTGCTGTCTACCAACTCTCTCCATGAAGGGATCATGCGGAGCCAGTGCGTGCGATCAGAATCCGATAGAAGTCCATGATCCTGAAATGACGGAGTTCGGTTCACAATGCTTCCCGCAGCCCTCATTAAGGTCTCAAGTTCCTTCTCAACATTCTCGTTGAACAGGAGACACGCCATCATGCGGTGAGATAGACACCTCTGAATCTCGCTCTGTGACGACGCCAGGAGTTGGCTCAAAGGCAAATGGAGCTTCTCAGTCTTTGTGACGTCTTCGATCCTGTAAACTTTCATCTTCGAGTTTCTGTCCAGGTAAGGCGCTTCCATTTCGTAGAGATTCTCTATCATCTTCACCCTGAGAACTCCAGGATTTCGAGCATGACAAACCTCAGCAGAAACGCCGAGGAGGACAAAGGCCGCGCAAGTCGCTTCCAGCACACAGGACGGTTCGCTCGCCACACAAGACGCCACAAGAGCCGAGAGCGAGCAACCAACTCCCGTGATCTTCGTCATCAGAGCATCTCCATTGTGAACCTCGACAACGATCTTCCCGTCTGTGATGCGATCAACGCTTCCGCTGATAGCAACGACACATTCCTGACGCCGAGCCAGTGCGATCGCAGCAGGTAAAGCCTCATCCGTGGTATCGGTAGCGTCAGCTCCTCTTCCGAACGACTTTCTCTCTTCACTCTTTGTGCATGCCATGGACAGCGCGAGGATCTCGCTGGCGTTTCCTCGGATCACCGTAGGCTTGTAGTCCAGCGCCCTGACGCAGTTGTTTGTCCTGAAGGTCGTACTCCCACAGGCGACAGGGTCCAGCACCCATGGCTTGCGAAGATCCCGTGCGAACTTCATGGCTGCCTCTACCTCCACCACTCTTGCAGGAGTAAGGCTGCCCATGTTGACTGCCGCGGCATCTGCCTTCTTCATGAATTCCGCCGTTTCCTCTGCGGCGCACACCATGGCCGGAGACGAGCCCACTGCCAAGAGCACGTTAGCCGTGATGTCCATGGAGACAGGAGTCTGCAGGCACTGGATCAAGGGAACTTTCTCTCTCAGGTGCTGTAGAATCTGTCCAGGTGATCGCTGGAGCAAGTGAAGATCCGACATGTTTGGAAATTGCATAGCAAAAAGCAGCCTCCTTCCGCTGGTATTACCCAGAGCAAGTTCAAAGGGTGTTTCTCAGCTCACCACTCCCTCTGGTGGCACCCCTGGCTGATGCTGCTGCTCAAGTCCTGCAATGAAGGAAGTCACATGAACGAACGCAGCAAGATTGGAACGCAAACAGCACAAGGAAGCATGAACTTTCACTCTCTACATCTTCCTCTTCCTCATCATATCTGCTCATGTCTACTTGCTCTTCCCTTCAACATCGCTCTTTTCTTGTAATCCTCTGCTTCATCCCCATAGTCCCCCAAGCTCTTCTCGTTCCTCCCTCGCCTGCTTCCCCGGCCTCCTACGAGCCATAGCCGCGCCCTGTCTTTGTCTTTGCGGGCCGAGATCCGGCCAAATTCCCGGGGCCTGAGAGTTCCGCCGGGCCCGGACCGCCCGCTCACTGAGAGAAAAGGCCGCGCTCAGACGGTCATAGATTTCCTTCTCATAAAAGCTTTACATGACATTCAATTTACATTCCTACTCATCTACTTCCCAGCAGATGATGCGTTCAGGATCGCAGTCCAGCTGCTTCCCGAGCTCATCTCGAAGTGTCTCGACGTCAAAGTCCTCGTCCAAGAGCAGGATCAGAGTGTCGGCATCTTCCTCGTCCTCCTCACCGTCCCTGAACGCTTCCTCCACCTTCTCGTTCCAGCCCGACCGCCCGGCCTTCTCAGGCAGCTCTTGCTCTCCCATGACCAAGTTCTTCTCGAAGTCGACGCTCATGGCGTCCTGCTCCTCCTCCTCCTCCTCAGAGCCCTCGCTACTGGTCGAGATGCTCTTGAAGTCCGAGAGGGAAGAAAGTTCCTCCCTATCCACCTCGACACCGATGCGGTTCCCGTAGTTGGTGATCTTCTCTGCAAAGATCACTTTCTTCGCAGCGTCCCTGTGCATCTTGTAGTCAACCTCCTCCTCCTGCACCTGCTTCTGATAGTTGGCATCCGCCGCCAGCTCCTTCAGCATCTGCACCATCTGCGATCCGATCTGAACTTGCCTAAGGACAAACTTGAGGGCCTCGCGCGACTCTCGGATGATTTCTTCCGTCTTATCAGAGATGCGCGAGAACTCGATCTGCTTGTCCATCCGACGGTTCAGAAACGCGTCCGCGCACGCCAGGGCGATGGCGATGACAACTGGAGAAAAAGGAGGATGAGTCGCAGGGGACATGCGATCTGGTGCAGACCTGTGTTGATGACTCCGTAAAGGGTCGTGCTGACCGCCGTGAAGGAGGCGAAGCAGACAAGGAGGAAGGCGTCAAGGACAGCGAGGACGATGAAGGTGATCATGCACTGCTGGAGGATCCTGATGCGCGAATGGCCCAACTTGTGCCTCAGCCGCGCGGCCTGCAACAATCACGGTTAGACCGCAACACAGGAGGAAGGGAGGTTGAGAGACCTTCTGGTTCAAGAGGATCGCGACAAGATCTGTGTTGAAACCCCTTGACAAGACAGGAGCCACTCTTGCTATCTTATCGTCGATCGCCCGGACAATGCGCTTCTTGATGATGGAGGACTTGGAGTACCTGCGGTAGACGACGACAAACAATCCTGCTATCGCTGTCACGTACGGGCAGAACCTGGCAGTGTCAAAGAGAATGCCGAGGCAGATCCACACGATGACGGCGCAAGCGTAAGTGAGGGAGATGACGAGAGCGATGGACAGAGCGATGTAGAAGATCCTTCTCAAGATGCGCCGAAACTTGTTCATCCTGATGGTCGTGTAGTGGGCGATGAGTTCGGCGATGAAGATTCCTAGCAGGGCGGCGTCGAGGAGGTTCAAGATCAGAGTGTAGGAGCTCATCTTAGCCCGGCACTTGGCCGGGTCTGCAGCCTGAGGACAAATGAACTTGTCCTTGGCGGAGTCGATCTGTATGCCCAGCAGGAGTATGGGAAGCAGGAGGACGCAAGCGAACGCGACTTGGAAGAGCGTGACCAAGAAGGTGAGCTGGACAGACTTGGACTCCTTGGGATCGAAGAGCTGCAGCTCCACGAAGTAGAAGAAGCTCGTCTGCTTCACGATCTCTTCCTCGTCGGCGATCGAGAGGTCGTTGGAGACATTCTGCTCCTCTGCGTCGTCCCCACTCGTGTGCGCGCTCTGCAGCAGCTTCCTCTGGGCGGTTGTGTTGTCCCGCAGCATCCTGCGGTAGTCCAGGATCTCCCGGTTCGCGAGTCTCAGGATGGAGTAGACCAGGGAGAGAGCGACGAGGATAGGGATGCATATGGCCAGTACCAGGAAGACCAAGTACATCGGGCGGGTCGAGTAGCTCTCCTGTACCATCGAGTAGTCTCCTGTCTTGGGGTCGGTCTTGAACACGATGAAGGGTTTGCCCGGCTCACTGTAAGCAAGGAAGGAAGTGGAAGGGAGCTCGTTGGCTCCGATAGCAGTCCACAAGATCGAATAAGCGTTCTTGATGTAGTTGGCGTTCAGCTCGTCAGGGATCTTGGCCTGCATCAGTCTGCGCGCACTTCCTGGGTACTTGGAGCTCAACATGCTCCTGCCGTACGCGTCCAGGTTGCCTCCGAAAGTGACAGTTCCAGCCGGTAACTGCTCGGGGGCAGAGGAGGAATCGAAATACGGGCATGGTGAAGGCACAAAGTTGACAAACACGGCCGTGCTGGAGGGGACGACAATCCCAAAGGTGAGGATCTCCAGAAGCTCTCGAGTGAAGACCAGGTAGCGCGGGTCAGACACCCACACGAACTTCCCAAAGGGGGCTCCGGGCCCCTGCAGGTTGATCTCAAACCAGTCCTCCGTCGGTCGGTTGGCTCCTCCGGGATTGAAGACCGACTGCAAACCGTCTAGGCCGGAAGGCGACAACCCGACAGTTCGGTTGCCGTTGAGCCCGTCGTAGACGTAGTAGCGATCGAGCGTGCCCCTGCCTGCGAAGGGCGGTAGCCTTGTCTCCGAGATCGTGCTGTACTGAATTTCTCCTGTCTCCGATGTCAGGTCGACGTACCGCACTTGCAGACCAGGTTCGGGGCTCTTCCTGTAGGGGAGGAGAGTACCAGAGCTGTACTTGCTGCAACTCCACATGCATGCGACAGAGGTGATGTTCTTGAAGACGGTTGCAGTGGGGGAGAGCCCTAGGTTCTGCAGCTCGAACCTGTTCAACTTTACGCTGGTTGTCACGTTCCGACAGGAGATGTCGCACAGATCTTTGTATGAGAAGGAATCTGTGAGGACAGTCGGCAGGGCTGAGACGAGGCACACTTTGTTCTCGCTCTGCTTCACGCTCACCATAGATTGAATCTGCATCTTTTCATCGTCACTTGTACTCATGATGACGTCAGCATTGACGGTTGAGATCTGAACTTGGTCAAAGGAAGCGTTACGGATTGAGATCAGTCCAGCCGTGACATTGGCTTGGAACAGACGAGCCTTGGAATTGAAGAGACTCAACTTGATGATCGTTCCTTCTACCGTCAAGCTGCTCGAGCCGAGATCGAGGATGAGAGCAGATGTCTGGGTGATGGTAGTGCTCTTCTGACCCGTGTTGATGATCTTGAGAGCAGGGATCTGCGTCCTGTCGATGGGCTGAGGGATCTCAAAGACGACATCGCACTTGTAGCCATTGTACTTGGACGAACTCGGACGCGAATTGATCACCTGAAGCGACTGCACGTTTGCGCAAGTGTCCACCTTTGTCATGACGCCTGAAACGCCCCCTGTTCCGTTGGCAGTGATGTAGGCATACAGGGTGACCTGTGGCAAGGGTTCAGTGAAGGGCAGGGGAGAAAGGAAAGCAAGTCGGACCTGCTCGTTTCCTAATGGACCTTGCGGTTTGTCGGTGAAGAAGACTGAGCAGCTGTCGGTGAGCAAAGTGAAGATTTCGGCTTCTCCCAGAGCCAAGTTGATCGGTTTTTGTACGAGGACGTAACTCAGGATGGAAGGGATCATCGCGCCCAGCACAACAAGCACGCCAAGGTAGAAGATTTGGAGGTTCGAGGCTGTCTCGGGAGGGAGCAGCTTCAGTTTCCTGCCATCGATCAGCAGCTGCTTGCCCTGGAAAGAAGAACAAAGTCAGGAGAATCGCAGGCAACCTCCGACAGGTCACCGTCTTCAGGATGTAAATCGGCAGACTGCCATGCATCTTCCTGCTCCACATGAAGAGGAGGTGAAAGGTGACAATAGCGATGAAGAGCAACGGAGCTCCCACAGCGCCTCGGATCCAAGACCTGTCCAAGGGAAACTCGCACATGTTCCAGAGAAGGCATCGACCTGCAATGCAGAGAGGCTCGCAGTAGCCGTAAAATGGTTTGCCTCCGAAGGAAAGCGCGTCTCGACACTTCCCCGCTCCACCGCAGCTGGAGGGGCACCAACCACAAGGCTCAACCAGCTGGTTTATGCACTCAGAGCAAGTCTGGTACTGGCAGGTTGGGGGTTTGGTGACAAAGATCTCGAGAGCAAGGAGAACTGGCCCAGCAGCCATGTCCTTGACGAGGGTGGATGAATTTCCTCCTTTGAAGCAGTAGGGATTGCAAGGGGACTGGTCGTCCACCTGAATCAGCATAGATTCCACCCCGATCATCTGGGGGTCACTCTTGTACTGCAAGATCATCATCAAGACGTTAATGTCCTGCAGGCTGCCCGTCGCCTGGACTTTTGACCCGCCGACGGCCACGAAGACGTCGAGGTTCGGTACCTTGGAGGCGTTGAACGACAAGACACCACCAGACCTCACAGAGATCTCTATCGTCATACTTTGAAGCGGATTGAAGTCCACGTCGACAATCTGGAAGTAAGGAAGGTGCATGGTGATGTTCTGTTGCGCCTGAATGGTTTGAATCCCGGCGATAGGCCGGCCGAACATGTCGTGCATGATGATGTAGGGCTTGTTGTTAATCGGCATCACAGTGACAGCGATCTCCTTCTTGGCTTCTTGCGCAACATAGGGGTAGGACTTGTTGCAGTGCTCGAAGTGGAGGTTGGTTGGCAGGTCCGTGGGGACTGGGCAGGGGAACCGGATGCCAGTGCGACCCATGTCGTTGGCCTTGACGACGATCTTTTCGTTTCCTGAGGTTTGACGGGTCAGAATCATACCGCAAGGAGGCCTCAACAAAGTTTACCGTTGAAGTAGAGGTCGGGTTGGTAGGAGACCGAGGAATCTTTCAGTGTCTGCCTAAGTGCACTGGCTGTGCTCCACATGACAAGAAACTTAGAGCTGGTGAAGACGATGGGTTTGCTCTTTGCGGAGAATACCAACCGACTTTGAAACTGCACCAACGTATTGATCTCGGAAGAAGTAAGAACGTCAGTCAGTCCCTGCTCGGCCGCCTTCCTGTTCAACAAATCTTTGCACACGGTGAAGCTGCGGGTGACGGGATCGAGGATGCTTCGAACGAAGACGCAGAAGGGAAGTTTCTCGTTTACGCACTGGGACAAGGTCTGATACTGCGGCACGATGGCGCAAGGAGAGTCGTAGCTGAGGCCGAGCTGTTGCCCTGAAGAAGAGACTGTCTCGTCGTCACACCACCTCCTCCATATGCACTCGTAGACGTCGGGCTCGGAGTAGATGCCCCGAGAGGGATCCCCATAATCTCGATTCTTAAGGCTGTTGAAAGCGTACACTGACAGAGCAGGGTCGACAGAGAATGTCCCGTTGTTGGCTATGAACTGCACCTGGATAACTCCAGGGCTGGACGAACACACTCCGTCCTTACACTTCTGCTCGTCGATGTCGACATCAGTCACAGTAATGCCTGCAAGGGCTGGAACGTCTCCTTCGTACATCTGAAGTTTGGAGTTCTGAATGCCGACCACTGGTGGGTCGTTGACAGCCAGGACGGAAACCTGCAGCGTCCTCAGCGAGTCTGTGGAGGGAATCACTCCTCCAGGGAGAGGGACTTCGACGTTCTGACGGTCGTTGATCCGGAACCGAAGAGTCTCGGGGCCGATGTTGTCCGTGTTGAAGTTGCTGTTTCCCAAGTAGAAGATGTTGTTCTTCAGCACGTCCGAAAGGTTCTGCGCAGTCCCTGTCATGAACACACGCGCGGTCGGTATAATCTTCTGTGCTTTGAGAGTCTCTCCTGCAGCTGCGGGCACCATTGTGGTGAGGTTGAACTGAACGTCAAACAGGGGGAGGCGCATGCAAGGAGACACGGGAGTCCCTTGACCTACCCAGGTGAAGGGTACTGGGGGATTACACCCGAGGCAGATGTCAGGACAGACCGAGCGGAAGGTCGTCTTGTTGGCCCAGGCCGAGACCCCGCACTTGATGCCGTAGGCGATGCGCTGCTGGTCTGTCATGATGATGGAGGGCTCGAAGGCCTCGTTGGGGTTGTTGACGGGAGGCATGATCTGACAGTCGTCGGGGGCAAGGAGGTTGAACGTGCCCTGCAGGGCCGTGACCTCGAGATCGAAGAAGATGTTGGGGTTGGCCCTTGTCTTGACCCATTCAAGCACGTATGGCGTGATGTCCGGGTCGACCACATCGAGACCTTGGAGGTAGTGAGAAGTGTCTTCGGTCATATAGATCTTCGTGCACTCGAGCTTCAGGTCGTCCACGTAGACCATCTGATTACCTCCATTGGTCTGCTCTGATCGCATTCGAATCGCGTACATAGGGCTGTGGGCGATGAATGTGATTGGCTGAAACTGTGCAAAGGGCACCGATGCCGTGCCGGGATTCACTCGATCTTGCTGGGCAGACAGCACACACCATGCTCTGCAAGGTACCCACGTGTCAACCCCGAGCCTCCCTGCCGTGTACGTGTTTGCAACCAGGCCTACAGACCAGTTCTGCAGCCAAACGGCTCGTTCAAAGGCTGTCAGGGACATGTTCCCAGCCACCGGGTTCTCTATCAGGCTGACGTTGAGCATAGTCCCTCGATCACGATCGTTACGCGCAGACACCATCAGACTGAGGGTGTACTCGTACCCCAGACTGAAACCTGACACGTTCTGCGTCACGGCAGCCACGGGGCTCGAAGTGATGGTGTGAAGATAAAGATGCTGCTCCCCCTCCTGCGACACGGCATCGCCTGTCCACCCGTAGAACGACAACCCCGCAAGTCCTTCTGTGGTCCATCCCTCAATGTTCCCTTGCTGGATCCCTGAACATTAGAGTCAAGAGGTTGATCCTCGTACACTACAACCCTACCAACACAGGACGCGAAGTCGTCGTAGCAGATTCTTGTGCCCTCACAGATAGGCGGGTTTTCAAACCCCAAGTTCGCAGCCTTTGGAAAGAAGCCGACAGTGGCGTTGTTGTTGATGGGACGAATAGAGATCCCGATTGAGCCTTCGATGGGAGCGAAGTCAAAACTGCTCGGAACCGTCAGGTCTCCAACCGAGGAATCGGCAATGCTCACGTTGCGGCAGGAGTTCCGCAGTAGTACTGGTAGGAGGTCGCGTTATCCGGCCACACCTGATCTGATGCTGACACTGTCAAGGCCTCTTGCTCCTGGTACGTGAGGTAGTTGAAGTAGGGTCGGGGATTGTATCTGAAGGGAAGGCAGGGGACGTAAGGCGCTGGGCTCATTAGAGGACAAGCACTCACTGCAAGACACGCATGGCCTCCTGGACTGCCACGCTCGGGCCCCGGAACTTGAGAGTTCTGCACTGGCTGCCCGGATTCACCTGACGGCTCAAACCTCAGTGTCGTTGCGGCCGGAGAGAGCGGGCAAGGGCAACCTTGCGGCACCAGCATCCCTTGCCGTTCCATGTACAGCCATTCGCGCCGGCACAGGAATCAGCAGTGATGTAGCTATGACACCTGCCGAAGGAGTTAAGAGGCTGCCTGCCGTCCAGGGGAGCACGAACGTGATCTCAGAACAGCTGGGGTCCTCCCAGAACTCCAGCTGGCTCTTCATGGCATCGGAGAGGGGGATGATGCCGGGCTCGGACTGAGAAACGATGGTCAACCTGCCGAAGATCACGGAGGTCTGGACGGTGATGGATCCGTCCTACAACACGGAGGAGAAAGACAAGGTCAGGAGGCCGAACACTCCTCGCGCCCTGGCTCTTACCATCCACTCTCCCTCAAGCTTCGTCACAGGATCTACTGAGTTCTCACACCTGCAGTCGAGTCAATGGAGCATGGGAAACTCAGAGGACTGTCACGTGGCTTTCTGAGAGATTGGGAAGGTCCCGTCCTGGATGGTGCAGGAGCCGCACTCAAAGGCGTCCACGTCGATGACGTTGAGCCCCGACGGGCCTGAGGGGATTGCTCTGAGGGAGAGAAGGTCAGAGGGGAGGCGGCAAGAGGAGATGGAAGTCACTTGGACTGCAGTAGAGGGGAGACTCCCTCGTCGAAGGCGATCGGGTCGGTGATTCGTGGGAGGGTGATGACCGGGGGGTCGTTGACGGGTTGGATCAGAATGTTGATCACAATCTAGAGAGAACGCGATGAGTCAGCTGGGCAGGAGGCAGTGAGGCACGAGAGCTTACCGTCGATGTCTGAGACGATCCCTCGAATTCGCCAGTCTGATCGCCACCGCTGTAACCCTGATCGCTTATCTGGAATGTGACCTGTTGAAGGCAAAAGATCAACAGGCTCTTGACTGGTTGGCAGGTGCGCTTACGGTCTCTATTCCTCTATTGGAGTTGAAGTTCTGCTGATTGGTGCCCATCTTGTACGAGATCATCCTCATAGCAATGTTGCAATCGATGGGATGGCCAATGAATGCAATCTCTTGCGCAAACTGAGACTGACCACCGACGTAGATGTAGAGGTATTCTCTGTTGTTGAGGGAAACCTGCAAAGAATCAGACTTGAAGTTACCCTAGGGAAAGACTTACTTCTCCTTTCAGAGCTGAGATCTTCACGTTCAACTGCGGACAATCTGACACCCATGTCGGCAACGTGTACGACTCTCCTCGCTTTGCAAGCTCGGCAGTCAGCAGGTTGATGCATTCGATTCGACTGGAGTCATACAAGTCGATGGGTTTCGTCACCAAACCTCTGTAAGCACGAGTCATATACAGGTCATGAAGCAGCAGCAAAGAGATTCTCACCCAAGCCTGACGGCAGTTTGATCATCCTCCAGGTAATTGACTGTGATGTTGGCCAGAAGATCATAAGGGTTTCCAGCCGAAGTCACAACATCTCGAACGTTGTTGAATACAGGGCTGCACTTGTTTGCAAGGTTGCTCGTCGCACATCGCTGGCGACAACCGTCGGAAACTGTGTTTCCAAAGATGATGCAAGGCCGATCGTTGATAGCCAGCGTGTAGAAGTTGTACAAGAGAACTTGAGCAAAACCCTTGGTGCCCATTCCTGTGACTGCATTGTCTTCGAAGGTGATAACAAGAGTTTCAAGATACACATAGCTGGCATCTTCCATCGACGGGTTGATACTCTTGTTGAAGTCATTGACGCGGTTGAAGATATACTGGGAGCAAGACTGCTCGCAACCTGCTGCTTCCTTGGTGTTCAAGAAGGCAGGAGGGCCGATGTCTGAGAGGAAGCAGGGTCTAGAGCACTTTCCAACGTACTGATTCTTGTACTGGATGCTTTGATCCTGCAGCGTGTAGTACATAAGGCTCTGAATGATGTCTCGAATGTGGTCAGTGTAGCCATCGAAGCGGACAATGCGGTCACGGTAACCACTCCCCTTGGAGAAAGACAGCAGTTTCCTCTTGCTCTTCGGGATTGTGATCGTACCCAGCTTGCTGGATATCTCTACTGTGAACAAGCCCTTCGCAGTCTCGCCTAGTGACAACGATGGCGACACTTTGAGCTTCGTCGGACATTCACCGTCGCAGTTTTCACAATCCTGAACTGGTCGGTTCCCACAATCTTCCAACATGACATAGGCAGGAAGGAGCCCATTGTTGAGGCGATCTTGTAGCCATGGCTCATCGTAAACTGGAATCATCTTCACAGGCAGAGGGTCAGTCTTGATCGGAATCGATATGATGGAGACATTGGTTCTTGCAGTGTACCTTGCAACTTCACTCGGTTGGTACCAACCATTGTTGTCAATGGTGTTGTACACTGCCCTCTCGTCCTTGAGAGCGAATGAGATGTTCACTTTGTTCGATCCCTCAGCGTTGCTGAAGTTTGATTTCATTTCGAATGTCATTTCGTTTAGCAGCGAGTTCATGGTGATCATGTCAGTGCTGAAGAGCAAGTTCGAGTCTCCAATCCCTGAGCCAGCGGCCACCTCAATCACGCAAGGAGCAGTTCCTCGGTCGTTGCTCTTGGTGTTTTGACAAGCCTTGCTGTAGATGTTTGATCCGTCGCCTCCCGAGCAGTCCAGTGAGCAACTTGATCCGGTGCAGTTGTAGGATCGCCCTCGCACGAGGATCAGCTCAGCATTAGGAGGGTATGGCCAACCATCCCCCAACTTCGGATCGGTTGTTGGGTCCTGGCGATCGGAGCTATAGAAGAACACAGTCTCGTTGATACTGCGGTCAGGAACGAGACTGAAGCAGAGAAGACCATCCTTAGCCACCTGAGCTTTGACCAGGTCCATGTTCAACGGAAACTCCATCCAAGTCTCAATGCTGTTCGTCATGTACAGTTGACTGACTTGGACGGGAGGGAAGGAAACATCAAGCACTTTGGTCTGGTCGTAGGTCAAGGTGTTGTCAAAAGAGCAAGAGACCATGTTCAAGGTCACTGTCCCTTGAGTTACACACTGCTGTGGACAACACACTGGCTTGTTGGTGCCAGTCACCCCTTGGTCTACACAGTCTACTGAGCAGCTCTCCGCGATGCAGTTCACCTTGTAGATACGCAGAGTGAGAGTAGCTGAAGGGTACGAGAGCAACTGGGACAGGATAGGAGCAGTCTGAAACTTGAGGTATGGCAACCTGGAGCATTCGTTGATTTGCTGACCGGCCGCTGACAGGCAAGTTTTCTGACCGGACATCATGACCCCGTACTTGTTCGTAACAAACTGAGCTGAAGTGACTCGGGCATCGACGTTGACTATCACAAGCGGAGTGCTGACATTGAGGATCGGTCTGAATTGCACGAAGCAGCTCGTGTCAGCGAAGTTCATCTTGATTTTGCCTACGTCACATGACACCTGCAGAGAGTAGTTGGTGTTGGCTGTGGTTGACCCTGGCGCCAAATACTGTTGCACATCGAAATCCTCCATGTGACCGCCTTCAAGTTTGGATGACTGACCTTGGATGATCATTACAAACTCTTGCAGGATCAAGACAGGAGGATCATTCTCGTCGTCAACATTCAGAGTGAGCTGTTTCGAATTCGATAGCGGTTTGCTGAGATCGGTGGCAGCCCTAGTAGTCTTGTTCTGATCCGAATATCCGTTGTCATTGACAACAACTTGGATGTTGTCATCAACATTATTTACATTCGGACCAGAGATATATTCGAGATTTCCAAGCCCCGTAGTGTTCATGATTGTGATAGAGCTGATCAGAGACAGCTGCTCGTTCACAACGTACCATGGAATTAGCGCTGGGCTACCGGCCAAACATTTACACAAGATGGAAGTGACGATCATGATTTGATCTCCGGGACATCTTGGACAGACGGGGAACAACCTGGAGCCTCCGATGCTGATGCTGCCGTGCTTGAGCGCCTGGAGCGTCACTGAGATCTGGTTCCCGTCTTGAAATCCTGCATCGTCGGTGATCCACACGGCTGATATAGGAGCGTTGGCGATCGTAGTGAGCGCAGCAGGCCTGTCCTCCTGCACTCGGAAGACGGTGGTGCCGTCAACAGCGGGAGGGGAGTTGACTGGGTACACGGTGATGTTGAGATCCTTCCTGTAGACGACCGGGTCGAAGGCGTCGAGTGTCATGCGGAAGACAAGGAAGAGCCTGGCGGGTTTGCCTGAGGAGAAGAGCTTAGGGGGGATGTACTTGAGGCCGTTGAGGGCGGCACTGACAGCCGATCTAGTTCCCCTGCACGTGACAAACGAGGACGAAGCCGGATGACCGGGCACAGAGTTGCTGTTCTGGTTCTGACAGATCGTTAGCCCGTTGGGCACTTCGATGGCTCCACCTGCACAGAAAATCGAACCGTCCAGGAAGTCAAAGTACGACCCACACTGCTGGGCACAGGTGGGGACGTTGGAGATCAGGTCTCGGCATCGCGGGGGTTTGCCCAAGTCCTTTCCGGCCTCCCAGAGGTAGTTGGCGCATGCCGTGTTGATCATGCAGAGCTCGAGGACGACGGTAGGCTGGGAGCCCACGAGCGTGAGCTCTCCGCTAGACATTATGTAGGGAGTGTCTTCGTTGACCGCAAAGGATCGAGAATCTACACTCCTTGTGGTCACTTTGACATCGAAGCAGGAAGGCCCCGAACATGGTGCCTTGACGCAGGTGCTAGTGCCGGTAGGACAAGCGCCTACTGAGAACTGATATTGTTTATATTGAGTAACCTGCTTGGACAAGAAGACGATGAGCAGTAAAGGACACTGACTAGCCTGCAGACACAAAAAGCATGAGGTCGGGTCAGATGTGGCAAAGAAGAGACCGTGTATTGTGGACAGTTTGTCAAGCATTTTTCACCACAAAACCCGCAGACATCATCGAAGTATACTGCTGGGAACTCATTCATACAACCTGAAATGAATCACTTCATTCGCCAGCTCCAATTTCTCATTTGTTTACCTTGCTGGCACTGATTGTACCCGCCGCACTTTCCGCAGCGATCGCACACCTTCCTCGTACCTGGATACACTCCTCCCCTTGCATACTCCAACTGTCCCACATTGAAGTCGATGCTTGACCGCAAACTGCTGGTGGAACTGAGGAGGCCCTGGCAGTCTGATCGCTCCGTCACGATCCCGTAGATCCCCTGCGGCGTCAGGCCCTTGGAAATCGCCTTCGTCCTGTCCGCGCTGGTGAAGTAACATCCGACCCTGGAACGCTTGTGAGGAGGACAGAGGGATTATGAGGGAAAGACAAGGAAAAAGTGATTTCAACAGAGGGCACGATTCTCGACTCTCACCTTCCTCCTGCTATCTTCTCCGGCGCGGGTTCAACGCCATAGGTGTGGACCTTGATGCAGGCGTCTGCCTCAGGGGCCGAGTAGTACCCATCTTGGTTGATTGGATTCCCAGAAGAGTCGAAGATCAGCGTGTGATTGGCAAAATCCGACTCCACCCAACTTCCGGAAGACTGAGTTTGTCCCTGCGCCCACTGAAAGAACGTGCGTCAAGGCTGGAACGAGACAGAGGTGAACGTTTCTTCACCTGCTCACACACTCCGGCAAAGAATATGTCATGATACGCAAGCATGTTGTAAGGTGCGGAAAATGCAGACTTGGTCGGGGGAAACCAGTTCCGTACAATTGTTGTATCAAACGAGAGATCGAAGTCTATCCTCAAATCCGCATTCAGCTGGATGCCGGAGCCTGCATACCTCACCAGAACCCTGGAAGGAGGTCACGTACAAGGTTTTGAACGGATTAAAAACTCACTTTACAGGACAAACCTTCTTGTTGATTGGCCATTCTACTCCGTAAAGCCCCTGAGAAGTGCCATCTGAATCGGTTGATGCAGTTGTTGCAGCATTGTAGTTAACAGGATTGTATCGAAACACTGCTACACAGATGTCAACTTTCTGCTGACCCAAACCATTGAGCACAGTGACTTTGGTGTCACCACAGAGTGAAGTGGAGGCTGTTGCGTACGCAGGAGCTGTCATGCTGAAGTCGGAGGTCGTTTGCTCCGAAGCCCTTCGGAAGACGTATGTGATAGTGGAGCTCTCGATCACGACCTCCTTCTCGTCACCGTTGAGCCCTTCAAGTTTGAGGGCGCAGAACGAGTCTAGAGTGGACGCCGCGAAGTTCGACGCAGCCAGGATGTTTGACTCAAAGTTGGTCAGAGCTTGAAGCTTCCTTGTACGTCTCAGAAGGTTTGGACGGCAATTCGGGTTGGAGAGACTAGATAAAGCAGCAGAGGAGGCAGCAATGTAGTTGGACAGAACGGAATCACTCAGCTTCACCTTGGCGTTCTTCGCATTACTCATGATGCTTTGAAGGGTGTTGAGGATCCTGTAAACCTCAGTTGATGTGGAATCACACAAGGCATTGAGGCCTTGGTCTGTAGCGAAAGTCTCATAATACACGGAAGACAGTTGCTCAAGGGAGTCCGACGTGTATGAGATCAAGTTGAAGCTCAACAAATCATCAAAAAGCCGAGAGAGATCCATGCGGTACGATGCCTGTAAGCTAGCTTGATTGATCATCGAGGCATACAATCTCATACTCGAGACAGCATCCGAACCTGATTGGGACACAAACCCAGACACCTTGATGTTGCCGAGAAGCTGATCTTGCAACGTTGACATGAGCGGCAAAGGGAACGCGTTGCACTGAGTAAATTGAGGACTCAAAACCAAATCAGGAGTCCCTAAGTACAGAGTCTTCCAAACATCAACTGTTTCTGTCTGATATTGAGTTGCATCGAATACGTCCTTCACTCGCAGCTGAATCTGCACCAACGAGCAAGAAGGGTCTGTAGGAGCAGCGGAGCAGCGGCTTCCAGTCTCGCAGTATGTGAGCTTGCCTTGAGACACCGTTGAGAAAGTGTAATCGGTGAAGAGAGTTGCCGAGGGATCACACCCTGGGCGTTGGTATGCAAACGCGTAAGACAAGGGCAAGTTATCAGCGTCGTCATTCCACGAAACTGGCAGGATCAATCAGCTTCACATCGAAGAAACAAACAAAAACAAGATACCTGCAATGAAATTGAAGGGAGTGACAAGGGCTACGCCGCATGATGGTGATACGTCGATGTAACCGTTCCTCGGCAAGTTGTTCACCGTCACCTGAACTTCAGTCCAGGCGACTGTGTATTGCTGGAGCACAAGAGACTCTCTGCCCTTGACCAACGAGAGCCTGACAAAGAAGTTGCTGTTGGCATTGGTTGCAATAGGGTTGAGACCGAAGAGACCAACGCTCGAGTAAGGCTGGTACTGATTGAAGCGACTTATTGACGGGTCGTTCAAGTTTGCATTGTTCATCTCTTCCCTGTAGATGCAAAAGTTCAGATGAGTGTCAAAAGAACGACTAGCAGCACTTACCATTGGTACCAGCAAAAATTGTTGATGTCACTGTTGAAGTCTGGAATGCCACTGTTGCAAGAGTATTGAGTGCCCACTAACTGACCTCGAATAAGAAGAAGCTCATTCGGGATGAAGTTGTTATACAGAAAGTTGAAGGGATGTTCAGAGGCATTGAAGCCAGTCAACACGCTGGGGTCGATCGTCAGCACCAGGTTGTTGATGGGATCAAGCATCCCAGACTGATAGTCTCGAGCTGTTCTTGGGTAGACTGTGAAGCGAACGGCCGTGGTTGCTGTTCGCAACGGGTTGCCGTTGTAGAGTTCTGTTACCGTAGCAACTATCTGTATCGTGATGTTCCACATGCCATTCATATTCCTTGAGAACAAAGTGATATTGGATGATTGAGAATCCAGAGTTTGCAAATCGCTCCAGGTCTTGAAGCACCTTTCAGCCGTGCAGGAGCAGGCGCTTACAATCTCAGGTGGAAGAGAAAAAAAGGATGATAGTTGCCAGTATGTGTAGATGTCTTTTGTCCATGTATAGCAGTCCCACTTGAACTGATACTTCGTCCCCGGAAGCTTCAGCGGATTCGCGACACTGATGAACACTTTGATAGCCTGGGAGGAGCTGGATGAATCGTCGATCACGATTCCGTAGTTAGAAGCCCTCCTGTATCCGCCTCGAGGTGTTGCCATCGTAGAAGAGTCGAAGACCCCACTGAATGCATCAAGATTGAGAGCGGAATAGTTCGTGCGGATACCCACGGCACTGCATGGGAAGAGCGATGTGTCCGTGCTGATCCTGGCCACAGCTCGGACGACGTACGACACGTTACTTTTCAACGAATTTGACGGCAGTTGCCAGGTGCTTCCCTGACCGAAGGCTGAATATAAGAGACAGGCCTGAGTGCTGCCTGCCACACAAGCGGTGGTTGGAGGATTAAAACATACAGATAGTGTCTCTGCCTGGTAAAAATTTGCGTATACTTGCCAATCGTACCGAATCAGGTTGTTCAGGGTAGAGGTTTGAGTGCCAAGTGCTGTTGATGTGCTGAAAGTATTCTTCAAAGCCACAGAAATGTTGCCATTGCATGCAAGAACACTGTCATACAGCAGCCTGAGCTTCAAAACCAAGGGACTCAACAGGTCAGTCAGAGTCAATATAGAAGGTCCAAGGATTTGAACCTCGGGTGCCGGACTCAGGTACATGCGGGTAGAAGCTGAAGCCCATGGCGCACAAACAGTATTGGCATCATTGTCATTGCATCCAGTCAAGTCCGATGTAGTCATACTCATTGCAGGACAATAGACGTATTGCTCTGGTGCAGTCCAGAAGTCAGAAGGAATAGGAGAAGGTCCACACTTGCTCGATAAGCTCCACAACCAGCTCCAGGTTACCAGCTTCCAGGTATAAGAGTAGTCAGGCTGCAAGTCGCACGTCTTGGTGGTAGAAACGCAAGCCGTCAAAGTGTTTCCTGTCGACGCTATGGTATCACTGTACACGATGTTGATGCGGGCCACCTGGATTTGCGCAAGCCTGTTATTCAAGCTCTGCACCCAGTCCAAACAGTCGCAATTTCCAGAACCACAAGCAGGGCATCCCAAAAGATTTCCAGTCGTGAGGTCGATCTTCTTGACTTCCACATGCCAACCATAACCCATTGCCCGTCCTCCTCCACCTTTTGACTGGATCCCGCTTAGAGTCCAGTTGCTGCAGAAACTCATTCTCAGCGGAGCGGTGATGACCGCAGTGGTTGGAGGTTTCAAGTCCTCCGGGACAGGTTTGGCAAGGAACACACCATCCGCAAACGCGTAGGGGTCGAGGTATGACGCGACGGTGAAAGGCCTCAACTGAATGAAAGTGTTCCATGTGACTGTAGGATTCTGACCGAAAGAAATGAGCATCTTCAATCTTGAGGGCCAAGTGACATAGGCTCCGACACCAAAAGTGCTTGCGGGGTTCGTGAAGAGTTCAACTGTGGTCTGATAAACTGGTTGATCGGATGGGGTCCCTCGAGATCCTCGGTCTGTTGATGTGTCAAACTCGATCTCCATTCCTGTCACGTCCGGGGTGAATTGAGCGCCAACAACTACCGGAGGTCCGCCGCCTGTGTAGAAGAAAAGGCCATACCGAATTCTTTGCCCACTGGTATCATCACCTGCCAGAAAGTATCAAAACCCAGCTCAACAATATGATACACATTGCACAGAGTGTCCACTAAAAGTTGTACCTTGTGGGAACGCAGCAAAAAGAAGGTTGAACTCGAGGTCTTGGAATGTGGCTTGAGTGGCTCTACACTTCCCCAACTTAGTGAAATTGTCACCAGTAGGACATGTAGCCACGAAATCTTTGCACTGATGCACACAGCCATCCAAAGTCTGCGACTTCTGGAGAGGGCAGAGTGCATTGGTCAAACAGTACTCGTGTGGAATGAGTGGCGTCTTGCAGTAGAAAGAACAATAGAGCTCAGTTATTGGGCCAATAGTCACGTTCCTGCAAGTATCCTGGTTGAAGGTAGGATGTAAGTCATACATGTAGACCCCTGGGTCTAGGTAACTCCCAAACTCACATCTGCTGTTTTCAAGTTCCAGCACGTTGTTCCATTTCAACTTATCGATATTGACTCCGCTGATCTGTACCACCGTTCCTCCTTTTGCACTCCCTGAGTATCTTGGTAGTACCTCAGATATTCCCGTTGTGAAAAAGACAAACCGTTGAGTCTCCAACGACCACACCACTCCTGACAATGAAACCTGAAGTAGAGCAATGTGCGGAGAGGACAACGGCGGAGTGTAACAGATCATGTATGTGGCATTGACGAACTTAACTTTAGAAGCTGAAAATCTGCAGCGCTGAAAGTAAGTGTCCGCTGGACTCAACGGACATTCCTCCAGAATAATAGTAAACCGACAAGAGAGGGTGGAAGTATCTACAAAAGGTCCTCCAAATACATTGACAACTCCACCTCCATCAATGTGCGCAAAGGGAGGATAAATAGATGCGGCCTGAGGAATAGTAGTAGATTGAGCTTCAATTCCAGTAAAGATCAATCCTTCTTCAATCGTGATGTTGTTCAATTGAGAAATCGCTGTGAAATCTTTGTCGAAAGAGATTGTTTTCAACGATCCTTGTGTAACAAGGTTTACCTCGGTGATATTCCCTGTCTCGTTCTTCTTGAGAGCTTTCTGCAGAGAGGAAGTCAACAAGATGCATTCTCCTTGTGCAACTCAAACAAGCATATACCTGACGTGTCATGTACGAGAATGAGTTCAATTTCAATTCTCCTTTGGGGTCTGTTCGGTCTAACATGCCAAATCCAAGAGGCGCAAAGGACGAGATACTCCATGCAACGCTCACGTCCGACGAAGCCATCTCGTATACGTTCATTACGTTGCCAGTGTTCAACTCAAGCTTGTAGAAATAATGTCCACTGGTGTTGTGAATCATGGTGTAGATTTCTTTGAGTTGTCCGTAGACTTTCATGGACTGCATATATGAGTCAATGACAATGTATTTCAGGAAGAAAGACAACGAATTTACCGTAACCACCCCTGGAATTCTCCTTTTCCATAGAAAGCATCCAACGCATTCTGAGCAGACACTCGTTTGTACTTTATCGCCGCAATCTTTTGGGTTTCCTGTAGCGATCATGTCAAGAAACATGCTGCCATCCGGTCAACTGTAAGCATAGACACGTACCTCCTGGGTCCATTCCGGTTCTGAGCGCAAGGAGGTATGGCTCGTCTTCTACTACGACCATCAAGTAGATCTGTTCTGACGGCTCTAAGGCCGAGATTGCTGGAACAATTCCACTGGCATTGTACAAGTAATATATGTGTTGGAAGTAAAGAGATTGCATGTCCCCTCCCACGTCGTTGCTGGATCTGTACACGTAATCTCCAGTCCAGGTTTTAATGACAATTTTGACAAGATAGTGCTGCCCTGAAGAATAAGTCACGACCCCAAAGATGCTTCGATCTGCTCGATTGTATTCAGTGGAAGAGAGAGTGAAGGAGACAGGGTCCGTGGTGTCAATGGCTGCTTGGCCGATGCTTCCACCCCTCAACAACTCAACGCTGGTGAGGTAAGCGCTTGCAAACCCGTCCTCTCCATTAGCATGATACCAAACTTGATTGATGGAATCGAAGGTACTTAGCCCAAGTGATGGATTCGACCTTCCATGAGTTGTCCCACTGACCTCCACATACTCTTGAACGCATTTGTAATAGTTTGATGCCGGATCGAGACTAGAGTACCCTTGATCAACGCACAATTGAAGCAAGAGCTTGTCTGTATCTGGCCCGAAACTGACCACGTGGCTCGACCTATCTCCGATTCTTCTGATCAACCCGGTGTACATTGCCTTTGCTGGATCTATACCCCGGCCATTCGGTGCCTGTGATCTCGCGAAGCCAAGCAGCAGGCTCAGGCAGAGAAATTTCCCTGATCCTTTCATTCTTTCCTCTTTTTCACCTAGATATGGCGATCATGAGCGAGAGCACTTTGATGGCTTCAGTGCATTGAGCTCGAATGCACCGAAAGATTCGTAACCGCTGCCATGTTTTATCTCCTCGCAATCATCCCCATCTCAGCGAATGCCATGACCACCACTTGCCAAAGGTCGCACCCCCCTAGACCACCGCCTCAGTCTTGTTTCCCACCCCACCCCTTCTTTCCTCATGAAGTACCCGTTCTTTCAACTATTCTGCACTACCCTACCCGCTCCTGCTTTCCTTCCATCAAAGCAGTCAAGAGCCGGGACTCACTGAGATGACTCGGACCCGGCTTGCTCGCCGGACGGCGGGCCCGGTGCCAGTGACTGGCCGCAGAACGGAACCTTCCGAGACCGTGCCAACGGTGGCACTGATCAGCCTGCTGATCAGCTCTCATCATTGTGAGAGTCCTCGTACTGATCAGTCACTAGTAACCTGTCCTAATTGTCCTGATGTTTAACTTAACTTCAAGTTGAGTAAAGAAGATCAGTAAAGAAGACCAGTAAAGAAGAGATCAGCCTGACCGTACACGTGACTGTCGCACAGGCCGCCGTCACAGACCGTGAGCCAGTGTGTACGGTCCAATCGGCGGCGAGCGGCCGCCCGGCCGCAGTCACTGAGTCGCGGCCCGGGCCCGGGGGGCAGTCCCCCCGGGCCCGCGGGCCGCTGACAATTCTCTCGACAAAGAGTTGGGTAAAGTTGAAATACGATCAAGTTGTGATGCGATCCCTGATGAGCAGGGACGGCATGGGGCAGTAGAGCTTCAAGCTATGGAGATTGAAAACTTTCTGAACGCATTTGAATTCCCGAAAGAGGCCATATCAACGTCTTTGAGCATCGAATATTCAGACGATACACGTAAGGGCAAAGATCATGATGATGGTGACGGAGGCGAAGAATTCAGCGAACAATCAAAAAGAAATGCAATTGAGCTTGATAAAGAGGATGCAGCGTTCTATCTGGGCGACGATCCCGAAATCTTTGTCCGATCAGTGACAACCAATTCTCATGATTCAATACTTCCTATCGAAAGGGACAATGAGATCCTGAGCAGAGTTTATTACATTCCAGAATGCTTTGAAGAACCCTTTCTAGATGTAACCAAAACCAACTTTTAGTGTTGCAATCCTTGACAATTGATCAGAATTTGGCGCAACTTGCAAGGAAGTTGGAGGGCAACTCACACTCGCACAACATGTCGGTATGTTTCGAGTGCGACATGGGCCCTGTGCCTTTGCACTGAGCTTGTACCAAGGCTACTCGCCGGTTCTTCTACTCGGAAATCATCGCAGATGCCATTCTTTCGCGACTTCCGCCATCCCTAGGATTTCAACGAATTCTACCTGTGATCTGGCAGTATCCTCTCCCTGAACATGAATTGACTGTTGACTGTGAAGGACATGCGCTTCATTGAGTACGGAGTAGGAGGCTTCATCGCTCCCCATACGGATGGGGTGATGTTCGACGCCAAGACGTGAGATGGTCTGCGATGAACTGCGATGAGTTCCTGACCAGCCGCAGAGGGAGACAGTCAACAACATCTTTTCTCCTGTACCTCTCGTCCACCACTGAGGGAGGCTCCACCGATTTCTTGAGCAGCGTGCAAGGAGGAGAAATTCTACATCAGGTATGACCGGATGTAGTGGTGGAGTGCAGGGCTGAGACAGGAGCAGGTATGGCCAAGAAGAGGATGGATCCTCCTCTTTCCGCATGACTCTCCTCATGAAGGAACTGCAGTGTCTACTCAGCACAAATTTCTGCTGCGTGGCGATCTGTACTGAGTGGGGGAACGTTTATTGCAACACCTTGAGGTCTTCGGATAAGTTAATGTTGAGCTTACATCTGCAGCCTTCGTCTTGTAGCTCATGTCTTGCTCCTCCACCCGTCACTCGCACGTTGCAAGTGTCAGCTTCACCCATGTTGCTGCTGAACTGCATGTTTCCACCCAGGTAAGCACAAGACTGTGCTTGTATCAGCATCCCGCCTCCCCTGTTGTCCTTGATCGTGCATCCATCGACTTCTGCTCTTGAGTGTTCATCTTCCACCAGAACACCACACTGACGTCCCCGTAGCACTTGGCAGTCACGCATGTACAGGCTTCCTCCCCATTTCACATGCACCCCCGCGAACTTGCATTCTGATATGAGTGATGCTTCAATATGAGCGCGTCCGTTCGAATGCACAAACAGTCCGCCCTTCTGGCTCTTGCATACTTCACAATTTTTGATGTGAATCATTGCAGTCTCGATGCATTCTATAGCTGCATATCCATTCTGCCAAAGTTTACAACCCTCCAACTGACAGATTGCATTTTGCCGCAGAAACAATCCAGACTTTCTGTTGGAATTCAATTCACTCCTCGAGCAGAGAAGTCTACCCATTCCCCTCAGCTCTATACCTGATCCACTTGTCTGACATATCTTGGAGTCTTCCAAAATTAGATTTCCCTTACCACACACGCAAAACCCGCCTCCATGGGAATTTGAAAAGTTAGATCGAGAAACAGCCATAATGCCGTTACCACCTATCGTACAGCAATAACGAGAATGACAAAAAAGGGTGCAGTCTTTTAAAGCCATGGATCCGCCTTTCAATTCAATGCAATTCCAAGTTGAGCTTGCCTTTCGCTTCTTGTTGGCATTACAGTTTTCATTCTCGTGCGATTGAAAGTGTCGTATGGTCAGATTACAAAGCTCCACCTGAGTTTCTCGTGCGTGTGCCCCCTCCAACTGCACCTGAACAACCATAAAAGGAAGCTTTTCTACAATCAGAACAACTTCGGATGGATTGCCAATTCCGTAAATCTTGAGCGGTTTGCTTATTGTTTTGCGAATGTTATATGATCCTTTACCTAGCTGGATAGAATCGCCGGGTTTGAAATTTCTTACTGCTTCAAAAAATTTGCTTTCAGCATCGTCACCACCGACTCTAAACAGACATGGTTCGTGGGTGATTTCGCAGCACGTTGCCTGAGTTTCACACAACTTAGCTTGCAGGCTTGATGGCTCCATGGCCTCCCCTTGACCGAACAACAGCTTCCTTCTTTGCCGTCGATTCATTTTTCCCTCACATTCCTTCAGCTGAGCGTTGACCTGTGGGACTACGTCCAACTGCCCTACAGTCTGTTGACCTTCACCTCGTGGCACTGGAGGTTCTTCCAGCTTTGCACTCTGGTCTCTACATCGTTTGAACCTGATTTTCACACCACTGGGACTCACCAACTTCTGCAGCATCTGTGTTAAGAAAGAATTTGGCGCATCAGTCTTCACTGCAAGATTCACTGCTGTGTGGGAGTGAGAAACCTTGTATCCGGCTTTTTCAATAGTACGCAATATATTGGTCCTGTCGAAGCTGTTGTCACTCCTTGCTGAACATCTCGAGAAGAATGAGAAGTCATAAAACAATGGATTCGGTAATTCTGCACTCAACTCCCTGAAAAGAATCGACAGATTATCTGCATCCGCTATGTTTCTCTCCATCTGAACCTTCTCCAATGTTCGTTTGCAAACTGAAAAGAAGTTTTTGTCTACCAGACTTGCAGACCATATGGGACCTCCCAGCTCTTTCTCCTGGTTTCCACAAACTTCACACTTCTTGCTGACTGAGCTATCGGCTCCCACCATTTCCCAGTACTCGCAGTTGGTGCACTTCCAAACCATGTGATGACTTCCCACATGTTTGCTGTCGCAAACATGTTCGTGATCTTGATGTGTTACCCTAGCGATGATGCGGACACAACAATTCACATATGCACAGATGAGGGGCTCTAAATTCCTGTCCAATTGTAAGGCAAACTTTGAGACACATGCCAGGGCCTGGATAAAGGATCACAAGCGGGGAGCAAGACGAGTGTGTTCTTACGATTCGGATCCCCAACTCTTTCGAGCATCGCATGTTCAGTGGTTGTGCACCATAACGTGAGAAGCAGAGCTCGCTGCTTCCATGGCCGAACCCAGTCAAAACCTGAGGGTACTTTCTCAGAATCCTCTGCTTGAACAATGACCTAGAAGTCTTCACACCTGAACATCGAAGAAGGCCATGGAAAGAAGTCCACCATGTTTGAGGCATCTCAGGGCAGAGGGAACTATGTTGATGGGTGATCCAAACGGATCCAAGTCGATGAAATCCACCAACTAGGTATTTCCCTCAGTTTGATAAAAATACAGCAGCTGAGCAAACTCCTTACCTCTTTCTGCGATGCCAAGTCCGTGAGCAACGTGGCTGCATCCTCACAAGAAGTGAGCAATTTTACTTCACAGCCAGCTAACGAAGCTTTGCTTTCCTCTACGTTCTTGCATAGACACCTGAAGGCATCTGGAGAATTGTCATTGGCAAAAATCTTGCCAACTTGCGGGACCTGCAAATAGACATTAGGAGCATCATTCCGCATGATCTTCATACTGCACCTCTCGTGCTATGCGAAGAGATCTCAACCCCGTCGCTGCAAGTGCATCGACCACAACTAGGGAGTTGAGAGGAGCCCGGGTGGTTTCAGCATGGGCGAGGAGAGCGATGATGGTGAGGTCGCGTTGATCCCTCCCGTCAGAGTTGAGGAAAGCACCGTCCCTTGCCACATGCTCTGCGCCGCCTTCGCTCACTCTGTCTGTGTGGGGAGAGAGCATCGAGCCCGAGCTCTGACGCCTCACAGCCGCACTGCGATGCGCCATCGCAAGCCAGATTCCGACATGGGCGGAGCAAGATGGAGGCCCGCCTCAGTTTTTCACAGGGATGGTATTAGTAACGGAAATAACCGATGCGTGACGTCGAAGAGAGGGAGAGATCATGGAGCAAGGAAGGGAGGGAAGGGAGGGAGAGGGAGAGGGAGGCGAGGGGGCGAGAGGAAGCCAACAGGAAGGACGAGAAGAGGATGAGGAGAAGGCTGACAAAAGCCGGCGGAGCGAGAGGATGGGTGTACCAAGAGCATGCATAGTGCAGAAGAAAGCAGAAATGGTACAGTATCTGGAGATGGGGTAGGGGAGCCAGGGAAGAGGAGGATGAGGATAAGAAATGCGAGTTTTGAGCAGGCAAGATAAGATTTCTTGACACAAAAGGATGAAGGAGGTACGACAATGCAACATTTGTTAGGCCAATGGATGTTTGAACAAGCGCAGGGTGCACCGAGTTCAAGGTGAAAATAGAAATGTACAATCTGAGGAATGAAGCCTAATGGAGGGATGGCAAGTGACAGTCGAGGACGGTTGATAGTAGAAGGAGTAGAGAAGGAGGGTGGAGTCTCCTCGTGAGGTCTCATGGAACATCCCGATGAGTTTGTTTGGGCTGACAAGAGCTTCGCCAGCTCCGCATCGTCAGCATGTGGATGCTTCGCTTGCTCCCTGGAATGGGACCGGAAACGAAGAAACCGGATGAGTACAACACGACAAAGAGAGAAAAGATCATTCTTCGTCCTTCAGCAGCCCTGCCTCCTGCCAACGTGAACGCGAAACAGATAGCCAACAAGTTTACCAGTCAGATCAGAGAAATGCACAAGATGTGTGGGGGAAGGTTGGACCTCATTCATATGATGTTTTGTCAGATTGCGGAACACAATGGAAAGCCCCCCATTCCTCCTCAAAGCATGCTCCTCCTCCTCGAACTGACCCCTGAAGACTGCAAGGAACATCCGGTGATTGTCAGTGACGTGGCGCTGGAGAAGGCGTTTGCAAAGATGATTAAGCCGGAAGACAATGCCGACGTGTTCTACACTAAAGTGATTTCTGTTGTGGAGCAGCAAGTGGCGAGATCAAAGCATGCGACAGTTGAGATCGAGAAACTCAGACCTGCCTTCAAGGAGCTGCATGAGGCCTGCGGAGGATCCTCAAAGGCTCTCTTCGCGTTCTTCATGGAGCTGCTGCCTGAGGAGCAACGTGGCCAATATTCGCTCCCCATGTGGGTCAGCATGGTGATGAAACTTCCCCCTCAGACAACCCACATCGAGCTCGATCACTTCACGGATTGCTTTGCTCAAGCTATGGACAGCACTGATACTGCAGAATCCATCCTCCCCAAGGTCCGCAAGCATATCGAGCTCAATCAGGACCCCAAAGCTGCAGCTGCCAAGGCTGCCGAAATTGACCGACAGGCCAAGGAGATTGCAGAGAGAGAAAAGTGAGTAGCTCATGTTGGATCCTTCTACTCATTTCGTTGCTTCCAGGGCCGCACAAGCTCATGCCCAGAGTGGACCCAGTGCAGAGGCTGTTGAGCTCGTGAACAAATTTGCGACCAACATCAAGGAATTGCATTCCGCCACTGGTGATAGCGACGATTTTCTATTGAGCACCGAGTGATGAACGAGCTTGTCACACAGAGGGACGAGTCAGCTTGATTCATGCTGCGTTTTGCTCTGTGGCTGAGTCCAACGGAAAGCCTAGAATTCCTCCTCAAGCGATGGGAAGTTTGTTGGAGCTCACAAAGGAGGTGCTCAAACGAACACAGCAAGTCTCTTTCTGAATACTGTGTTCAGGACACCATGAAAAATCCAGTGACTGCTTCTCTGGAGCAACTGACAAAGGTGCATCAGGACCTCTCTTGCCTTGTGTCTAATAGCCTATCATCAGGCCTTTGCAAAGTTAGTGAGACCAGAAGAAACAGTAGAAAACTTTCAGTCTAAAGTTGTCGAGGTTTGTCATGTCAGACAGACTTGAATGATCTTCTGACAATGAAACGCGTTCAGGTCGTGGATAAATGCACCCGTAGAGCTCAACATGCGAGCAAGCAAATTTCCATTTTGTCGCCTGCATTAACCAAGTTACACGAAGCATGCGAAGGATCGAGCAAGAGCTTGTTCGAGGTCAGAATCTAAGAATCAGTGGTCGACAGCTTCCTGATGCTTTCTTCTCAGTTTTTCATGGACCTTGTGCCGGAGGCCCAACGTCCTGGACTCACGCAAGAACAGGTTTCCTGAATGGAATCTGTGTTGAGGATGGTAACCTTGTTCACAGTGGAATTCTCTCATTATGAAAGTTCATCCGAAGACTGAGAAGGTATGCCTTTGTGGCTACTCAGCAGATCAAGCTTACTCTGTATTTCAGATCCCGCTGGATGTTTTCATTCTTAGCTTTCAGGATTCGATGGATGACAGCGATGATTCATCCAAGATCCTTGTATCTTATCTGTCGGGTTAGCCCTATCGCTGATCTCTGCCATGCAGCCTGTGTTAGAAAAGCACATCGAAATGCTCAACTCGGGCGGGGCAGCACGAGGCAAGACGAGTCAAGAAGAAGAAGCAACCAATGTAAACCCCTCGTGAAAGTTTGTTCTTGCTTGTTGGCCATGCTGACGTCTCGCTATGGCATCAGAGCTCCGAGGACATGGGAGGCGCTGCTGAGAAAGCTGAGTCAAGAGGCGAAGGTCAAACTGTGGGAGAGGGTAACGAAGGAGAATCGCAGCCTGGTGGTGAATTAGGGGAATGATGTTGACTTCGGCTAGGGGGAATTCTTCATTAAATGTTTTGATAGAGATTCACATAAAATGTGTACGAAGAGCGTGTAGAAGGGAACAGGTCGATGTGGAAAAGAAAGAATAACATGTCAAAGAGCAATAATAGTAGTCGCTATCCTACAACAGTGTCAAAAGGTGGTTTCAGCGCCTTCTGCTTCATGGCGGTGGCACGGGGATCGGTGCTTCGGGGTAGAGTGGGTTGTACTGCTTGATAGGAACGCCACGCCCTTGATTGCCATAGTAGAAGTAAGGAGGAGTGGGGAAATCCGCCTCGTAGAAATAGGGGTTGGGAGTTGCCTGCGGAGCCTGCGCTGTTTCAGAGATTCGAGTTAAAATTACTCCCATTACCATGCACTTGTCGAACTTAGAAGTTGATGGCAATATGCATATCCTTTTCCCCTCCAGATTTTCGTACTGGTCGCTGCGGAGGAGATCGGGATTGAGTTCCTGGTTTTACAACTTCATCAGCTTACACAGGAAATAACAAAGCATTACCAAGAGGTTATAAAACGACACGCCAAATTGCTTGGCAACATTCAATAAATGGTCTGACGCTTTCATATGATACACCATGCCAAGTCGAATCTTCTCCAGCGTTGGAATGACAAGGTAGAAAATATCATTGTTGTCGACCAAGGGCCCGTCCACGCTATTCATGGTCAGTCAAGATGTAACAGGGTCTGCTTTACCTTCGATTTGCTTCTGTGAAATAGCGATGGTTCACACTGTATAAATCAAGCCAGGTGCCTCCATAGACGTTGGATATCGATGAAAGTGTCTCATTTTTCAACACACATTTGAGACATTTGGGCACTACAACGTAAAAGCAATTTCGTGTAGAATACTCAATGTCAAATTTGAACATCGCGTGTTGCAGAATAATGCAAATCTTGTAAGCGGAGCCTTCATACCCATGAATTAAAGTCCATGAAATCGATCCGTGTATTTCATCCCCGAATGAAGAAGTAATCAGTTCGAAGTCCGATGGTTGCAACAGATAGTCAGCAATGGGCAGGACTCTTTGTGGCTGGTTCAAGAACCACCAGGACTGTGATAGCGTTAGGGTAGAAGCATCGAGCGCAAAAATGCAAGACCTTTCGAGGAATGCTTACTGAATGTAAATTTAATCGTACAGTCTCTGGACCAATGCAAAATTGATTGGTATCATAACCGTCAACCTTGCAGATGTCACTCCGTTTGAAGAAGGGTGCAGATTGTCATACCCAAGACGTATTGTAGAAGTACACAGGAGGTAAAGCAGTTGTAGATGTCATAATCTACGGATGAAAATGTAAACGATTTTGCAAGAAGATTCAAAAGAGACCTCATTTTCAGTTGGTGTATAATTGGTATTCAACACAAGAAAATCTGAATCAAGATTTGGAGTGAGGACGGTATACTCCATATGTGCACGGAGAAAAGAGAGCCCTGAAGAAAACACTTTGAGAAATTGTATGAGAAGTCACATGTAGATTACCTCCATATGCAGAAAAGTTTAGATTGAGCTTCCCGCAATCAAGTGTTTCAACAAAAATTGAATTTTGAAATGTGGTATTTGACATATTCCACTGGGCTGGTTCTGATGGTAGATGATTCAGACCAAATACCAGTACAGAATTACTCACTTAGAAAGTAGAAAACCAGCTGTCCTATGTATGTAGATACAACCTGTTCTCCATTCCTGTTCAAAGAAAATATCGTTTGACCGATATTCGTATAATTCGGAGGATTCCAAGGAGGAGGGAAACCTGAAAGGTCTGCTTGATCACATCCTTTGCAAACAAACAAATCTTACATGTCAATAGAAAAGGAGTTTTGAATTCACAAGGCCCTTCCAAGTAATTTTGTATATCCACTGGAAAGGTGCTGACAGCTTCTGTGCATAGTCGTGCTGGCCTAACAGTGATACTGAACCTTGCCTTATAGCTTGAGCATACTTGTCAATGTTTGGAAAACATTACTCTGTAATCTTACCTTGTATTCATGAAATTCCGCCCATAAACTTCAATTCTCCCCCCGCCGGCAGCGGACGCTGATTGCTTCGAAATATCGCTCCAGGTATCTGGTATTCAATCATTCATTCGGACTGCCTCACCATCAGAAGCGAGTTACCGTAGAAGGAAACGGGAACGCTTCTGTAAAAAAAGGCTCCAGCGAGAAATCTCGTGAGAAAATTGACGTAATGTGTTATGATTGGTTGTGGCTGATTCAATGTTTCAGAAACGCAACCACAAGGAGCTTTCGTGAGACGACAGACCTTTCCTCGATTTACTGGCCGAAGAGAGTCAAAGATGTAGTTCTGGTATGCAATGGAAACATTCGCTGAAAAGGCAGACTCGTTCGTAGAGATCGGGCAGAGTCCCGTGGAAACGTTGACTACCTATAGAAATTCATTTAAACAGATTTCACCACATGAATGCGAAGCTGTTTTGACCTGCATTGGTATTCCGTTCGACAAATTCAGGCTAGAATAACCCTGAAGACTCAAAGGTTTCCATCCTCCTTCCCGAAACAGAAAACAGCTGGACAGATTAAGAATGAAATTGCCATGAAGAAGGTAGAACAAGATCAGCCCTCTTATCACAATCCTTTTTCATGTACATCACCTGTACTGCTTGCTTTTCACAAATCCAGCACCGCGAATAGTCATCAATTGATCAAACCCACTCAAAGGATTGGGAATGATCTCCGAGATGTCCTCTAGTAAGAAACAAAATTAGTATCTGAATGTATGTGCGAAGCGTGATACCCATCATGTATATGTAGAAATGGATGAACGGACCATTCTCAAGCTTGAGAGCCTTCATATCTTTGTAAATCTTGAGTTCTACTTTCGTTGCCTCGTAGGTCAAACCCCATTGGGCTACTGGGCAATACAATTTTGTCTCGTTCGAAAATATTGCCGAGGTACACATTTGAAGGTTATTTCTTGAAAAGCAACATTGATAACAGCTGAAGGATATCATCAGCTTAGCAACGCAAACTCCATGAAAACACCTGATAAGTTGATTGGAGCAATTTGAAAAGGAGCCTTGTATGCTCAAACTGGTATCTCCCAATGAGCTGCGCAGAACAGGGACTGGACGATGAATGTCAGCTCAAACACAGCAAATGAACATTACCATAAATATTTCCGGAACCACCAGCGTTCGCATGTACAGTCTGATAATAATCCCAGTAATCTTGTGATGCTGTTTGAGCCGGCAAAGCAAGGCAAAGAAGTGCTATTATCCAGCCCTTGGACATCCCTTTTCCCTATACAACTTTTGAGTTCAGCAAAGTCGAACAACGCATCGATCCTTACCCCGAGATGAATTAAGATGTCATGGCGACCTAATCTGCATCAACGCGTCTACCTTGGTGCACTGTTGCCTCCTAGATGAATAGACCTCTCTCATACACACACACACCTCATCCCTTCTCTTTCACCAGCATAGTCCACCATATCTCGGCTCTCCCCTCCAATGGCCATGGACTACCCCAGGGCATCTCACTACCCTTCTGTCTTGGTCAATTCACCCGTCTCCCACCCAGATGCCACTGAGTTGGGTAAAAATGTGAGTACTTTCGCGGAAGGTATGGACACCGGCGACCGGGCCCGGTCTACCGTACCACTCGCAACTTTGAAGTAAAATGACCGATAGAGCCCGTCAGTGCAGCACTGGCATGCCCCGACTGGATATAACCCGCGACTGTCATCAGTAACTCAGTTACTATTTACTGACCTCATCAGTATGACAAGTGCAGGCTGTCTTTCTGTTTGAATCGGATCGGGCCTGAGGCGGGCTGTCTTTCTCTGATTTCATGGGGCTCATCGACATGGTAGGCCCGAAGGAACTGCAAGGCCAGGGGAGGTGAGCTGAGGAAGAGCGCGGGGGCAGGTGAGATATCCTCTGCATCGCTGAGAGTGCGGGCACTCAGAGTCAGCAAGACCAGCATCGTTGCGCTCCCTGAAGATGGATGCATTCGTGAGGCGGATGAGTTCATGGAAAGACAACTACGATGATCAGGTTGAAAATTATTTGGACTCCAGGCATAGATGGATTATCAGCCGATTAAAGACTGCCTTCGGTCCAGAGGTGGAACTTCGCAACCTGGAGAATTTCTTCCTCAGTCCTGAAATGTTTCAGAGAGTGAATCAATTCCTTGATTCTGGCAGCTCCAGGGTTTTGCTTTTTACAGTCAAAAAGCCAGATCCCATGTTCATATTTGGACAAGAAAGCGATGAATTAGAACGGCAAAATGAATTGATATTGATAGAGGATGATAGAAATCAAAAACTGGAAGTTAAAGGAGTTTACTTTTTTCGTATGTTGTATAACTTTGAGGGTGAGCACACCACGGAAATTCGAGATCCTGACAACGAGATCGGATACGGTGAGATGTCGCCGAATGTTCTTGAGAGCTACAACGACTATTTGCAACAAGTTATGCTACCGCGACAATCAGACGAAAGCTTACACACTTGGGGTCAAGCAGATAGCGAACATATGAAGAACTTCAGCACTGACGTGCGGAGGTTTGCGAACATAGTACATGATGCTGTACGAAGTCTCCAGGTATGTCACTATTGTGCTGATGTGAGTAGGTGAAGTAATCTATGATCAGGGTGGAATAGAGCTTCGAAGGCCTGAAGAACGATTTATCATCGAAAACAAACAGCAAAGCTACCTCAGAGCTGCGTCAGACCCTGACATTTTATCCGTCTATGAGGGAATCATGGAGAGTTGGTGTGAGCAGTGTGAGAATTTTATGGCTGAGAGTGAATCTGTCTATGATTCAGCCAACGATAATTCAGGCCCTGAAAGCGAATTCGATTTTTGGAGGAGTAGAATGACAAAGTTCAACAGCATCGCGGAGCAGCTCAAGTCGAGAGAATGCAAGTGTGTACTTGGAGTTGTCGGTCAGAGCAGGCACAACAAGACATGGAAAAAATGGAAAGTAATCGACAAAATGATCACAGATGCTCTAAATGAGGCCAGAGACAACGTGAAATACCTCTCTACACTAGAGAAAGTGTCACAGCCTCTGTATTCAGGCGAACCTGTCGAAATTATCGAGGCTTTGCCTGCAATTTTCAATAGTGTAAAAGTCATTTTTACAATCGCTCGATACTACGGGACGAGGGATAGAATCAGCATTCTTTTATCGAAAATTAGCAATCAATTAATTCTGAATTGCAGAGAACACATTCGTAGACCTCCAAATTCGTTTGGGAATGTGAGGCTTTGGGATCAAGAAAGCACAAATCTGATTGCACGATTGGCTCTTACGATCAAGCTGCAAGAAGAATATGTAAATGCATACCAAAGCATGAAAGAAAAGTTGATGTCTCAACCAAAAGGGAAACAGTTCGAGCTGAATGAATCTCAGATATTTGGTAAGCTGGATTCATTCGTAAAACGGGTTCAGAAAGTGTTAGATATGTTTGTTACATTCAATCAATTCAAATCCCTAGCCTCTCACAACATCGAAGGGATGGAATTTCTCGTCAAAACATTTTTTGATATAATGTCTGAATTTAAACGTAAACCCTATGATCTTCTTGACTACAGCAAAACAGCATTTGATCGTGATTACCTGGAGTACACCTCACAAATAAATGAATTAGAGGAACAAGTGCAGACCTTTATTAATGCAAGCTTCGAGAACATAAACAGTACTGAACAAGCGTTGTCCTTGCTGAAAGAATTTGAGGATATTCTAGTCAGGTATGTTGAGTAATTTTATGCGATCGAATCTAATTCATGCTTCATAGGGATTCTTTCAAATCTGTGTTGGATAGCAAGTATACAGTAATATTCTACAACTACATTTTGGATCTGGAAAGGATTCAGAAAATCTATGAAAAGCAAAAAGTTTCACCACCAACTGTATGGAATTTGCCTCCGGTGTCTGCAAACATCATATGGGCAAAACAGTTGTTGGCAAAAATTGAGGAGCCCATGAAAAAATTCAGGGACCATGAAATCTTGATGAGAGAGTCAAAGGAGGCCAAACGGATCATAAAGCAATACAACAAGGTCGCCAGAGTCCTAGTGGAGTATGAAACACTGTGGCAAGATGCCTGGATCCGTTCGATTGAAGCTGCTAAATCCGGATTACAGGCTACATTAATTATTCGACATCCAATCACTGGTCGTTACTTCGTCAACTTTGATAGGGAGATCATTCAGCTCATACGGGAGACCAAGGTCCTGCAAAGATGTGGAATTGATATTCCAGATACTGCAAAGACAGTAATGGTGCAAGAAGAGAAATTCAAATCTTATTATCATCAACTATCCTTTGTTTTGTACGAATATGAGAGGGTTACCAAGATGGTGGTCCCGATTGTGCGTCCATTGCTGAAGGTACACATCGCAGATTTAGAATCAACATTACAACCTGGCATGGTGCTGCTCACCTGGCATTCGATGAATATTGAAAGCTTTCTTGAAAGAATACATGTTTCCCTGAATAGATTTGAAGACCTTGTCAGAGGTATAAATGATATTGTGGAAAACAGAATCGAAAGGAATCTTAAAATCATCAGCAGATCACTCCTGGTAGATCTGCCTACAAATGAATCTTTTACACTCGAGCAATTCATCATGTTGCAAGAAAAAACAATCAAATTAAGAACGATAATGATACAATCCAAAAACAATGAAATAGAGCAATCCCTCCGCGACCTTATCAACATAGTTCTTGCATTTCCATTGCAGACCGATGAAAGAATAGAAGAGAACGTAGTTGATTCATTATGGAACCATTATGCGAATCTTGTTTACGTATCGGTTCTGCGATGTACAAAACAGTCCTTTTTCGCTTTGAAACGTCGGCTTGCTTCTAAATCTCATGGTGGTTTTCTGTACATGGAGCGCCCTTTCTTTGATGTTGACATTGAGTTAGCCAATTCAACCGTGACAATGAATCCTAGTCTGGATGAAATCCAAAATGCAGTGAACAGATGTGCATTAAACATATTGAGGACTTCGAAGTTGATTTTTCAATGGTCTGCATCGATTGAAATGAATGACATTCACCGTGAGTCATTCCATCCTCTAATAGCAAAAGACTATCAAATAGTTTCTGTATGCTTGATTTTGACAGGAGCAATCGAAGGCATAAAAAAACAGGTTCACGACTATTTGCAGACTTTCATGAGATATGATTTCTTTTGGAAAACGGATAAGCATGTCGTCTATGGTGAGTTTGAGAACAGTATTCCCGGTACGGAAGAGTTTGAAAGAGAAATTCAGAAATATCAGGAGATCGGTAAGAAAGTGAATGAAATTCCTCCAGTGCACAATATCGGTTGTCTTTCATTAGAAACCGGACCCCTTAAAAAATCCTTGAAGTATGAAATTTCTCAATGGGAAGAAATGTACAGTATGAACCTTCATAAAAGGGCGCTAAATGAACTCAACAAGATTCAAGAAGAATTTAGGATGATAGATGAAGGCGTGGATATGGAAATCAAAAATTTGGAATCTGTGCAACAGATCTTTCAGGTAAATTGCTTTCTGTCCCGAAGAATTGATTGACTTCGATGTGAGCAGATTCTGAAGATGGCTCGAAATATGGAAGGAAATGTTGAGAGCAGGATCTTTCCTATCCAATTGAAGTACACAACGCTTTTGAATTATTCCGTCAAGCTTGATGAACAAGAAGTTCAAAGGCAGCAGAATTTAATCTTTCAGTGGCAAGCGATTAAGAAGAAAATACAAGCTGTATCCGACAATCTCTTCGAAAGGCAATTAGTGTTTCAAAACCGTCTCATTGAAGATATCAAATTCTTTGCCGAAGAGATCCGAATTTTCCGAGCTGACTTTGTCGAACACGGTCCGATGGAATCTGGTAACTGAATTGCAATTTCTTACCTGTCTCCACTTATGCGCTTCACAGGCATAAGTACGCATGAAGCCTCCAACAGAGTTGAAAAGTACAAGCAAATCTGTGGAGAAAAAGAAAGTGAGTTCAACTTGGTGGAAATTTCCATCCCTCAATTCTGATTCAACATTTTTCATAGAAAAGTGGAAGAAGATTGCTGACGGAGAGCATCTCTTTGGGTTGCCAGTCACTAGATACGCAGACCTCATAGTAACCAAAAAAGAGCTCGAACTCCTTGAAAATCTCTATATCTTGCATGACAATGTGATACAGTCCTTAAAATCCTATAAGAGGATGAAATGGAAGGAATTGATAGATCGGCTTCCTGAGATTATTCAAGAAATTGATATACTGCAGAACAAATGTAAACAGATTCCTCGCAAGCTGGCTAATTGGGAAGCATATCGTGAAACACAAAAATCGCTTCAAGAGATCCAAGAGGTATTGATGGCTATTTCAGGAGAAGTACTAACATATTTGTTATCCAGTTCATTCCTGTCGTGGAAGCGCTTAATAATCACGCTTTGCGAGAAAGACATATTGTTGTGATCAACGGCCTCTCCGGACTTGACATCAAGTCATCGCTGTCAGCACTTACGCTGGATGGAATTATGCAGAGCGAGCTGGTGAAGAACAAGAAGTTGCTTGACGAGATTGGGGAAAGAGCCATTCATGAGCTATCCATCGAGAGGAAGCTAATCGAAATCGAAATTGAATGGTCTGATCTCAAGCTAGAATTTTCGAGTTTCAAGTCACGTGGACCAGTTTTAATCAAGATCGAAACTTCAAATATGATATTACAAAAAGTTGGAGAGTCAACAACTCAATTAGATCAGATTCAAACCAGCAAATATCAGGATTTCTTCGCGGAATCAATTGTTGGTTGGATCGACAAGCTGAACAATGTTGAGCTGGTTCTGGAAAAATTGATTCAAATTCAGGGCATTTGGCACAGATTAGAAACAATTTTCTCTTCTTTGGATGCAAAGAAGCATTTGCCACAAGAAGCCAAACGGTTTGACAAAATCGACAAAGCATACATGAAGCTGACTTCTAATGCATTTGAGACTCCATATATCCTAAAATTCTGTACGATGGCAACAAATTTATACTCGTCATTAGAATCTCTCGGAAGGGACCTTGAGATCTGCCAAGCATCAATTTCGAATTTCTTGGATATCAAACGGCTTGATTTTCCGAGGTTTTGTTTCGTCCCAGAGGATTGTTTGGTAGATATTCTCTGTATGTCCATCTCACAAACTGTCGCGATGAGTCAGCTATCCATTCTATTCAACAGCCTAAGGTTTGTGGTGCTGAGCGAATCCTCTCCTCACATCGCCACTGGCATGACTTCGAGTGCTTTCGAATCAGTGACATTCACTCAACCGATAGACATTTCCAACGATGTGACCAAATTTCTTGCTCAAGTTGAGTCGGGAATGCAGACAAGTCTAAACAGTCTTATTTTGCAATCACTAAGTGCTGTTGAGGACCTTGACCAATTGCTTGAAAACTTTCCATCACAACTCTGCCTGCTTGCAATGAATTTAAATGTCACACAGAAAGTAGAAGAATACATAGTTCGAATTTTTGCACCAGAGTCCATTAGTCAGGGCAACGTGAGAAAGTTTCTTGATCGAAACCAAGAACAGCTTGTTTCGAAGGTGAAATCAGGGAAGCTAAATCCCGTGCAAAGAGACAAGGTCCAGCTGCTGTTGATGTCTATCATCCTTCAGACAGAAATGATTCAGACTCAAATCTTTGGCCACGTGGAATCTACCAGTGATTATGATTGGATGAAGCAGGCTAAAATTACGTACTCGAAAAGCACCGATGAAGCAGTGATTGAAATGCTTCATTTCAAGATGTCTTACAGCAATGAATTGATCAGCTGTAAAGACAGAATCATCGTCACTCCCCCCACAGAAAGATGTTTCCTGTTGATGGCGTTGTCGATCGCTGCTTTCAACGGCAGTCTTGTTTGTGGTCTTTCCGGTTCTGGAAAGTCAGAGGTAGTTGCCGAATTTGCACGTCTCATTGGAGTTTTTGCTGTCTTTTATCATTGCCCAAGATGGTTGGATGAAAATAGACTTGAAACAATCTTCAAAGGCGTAGCCACGATGGGCTGTTGGTTTTGTTACGAAAATTTTCATTCAATGACAGTCTTAGCATCAATGATTTCCTCAAAGATGATCTGCAACATCTTGGACACGCTCAAACAAAGAAGAAATACTTTGACGTTGATGGATGGCCAGACTTGTAGATTGATGAAGAATACGGCAATATTTTTGACACACACCATGCCCTGTGAATTGCAGACTTGCTCGTTCGAAAAATCTCTCTCACGGCGATTCTTTCGAACCGTCAGTGTTCAAGCACCTGATTTTCGCGCAATTATTCGAATCAAGCTTCAATCCGTAGGGCTCTTGCATCCAGAGCAGCTTGCCGATGATCTTGCTAAAATCACAGAAATCGGAAGAGATGTCATTGGAATGAAAATTCGAACGGATTACATTCATTCACAAACTTTCTTTCAAATCATCGATCACTTTTTTCTCCAAAATCGATTCTCGAAAGATTATTCTGAATCAGTTCTGTTGAATCTGGTTATTGACTTGTACACGACACAGATGGACCATGGGGAGACTGTAGCATTTACAAAGCTGCTGGAATTGAATTTGACTGGTAAGGTGGGCAACCATCAAAGCTCCGATTGGAATTCAGAATTCAGTCAGATTGTGCAAAATCAAGGACTAGAATTCGAATCTACATCCGCTCAAACATGGTATGCAAAGCTAAAGCTTTTGTCAGAATTTCTCGATATTCACTTCAGTGTTGGGGTCTTTGGACAAGCTCTGACAGGGAAATCAAGTTTGTTTGAATGCATGAAACTTGCATTTCAAACGAAATGTAAAAAGCCGATTCAAATACGGAAATTGTACAGTAGGAGTAACTCAAATGACGATTTATTTGGTTTTACAGACCTTGACAAAAAGAGTTGGCAACCAGGGTTGTTCGAAAAAATCCTGAAAACATCCCAAGAAGACAAAAACACAATCTTCTGGATTATACTCGACGGTCCATTGAATTATGAATGGAATGAACATCTCCATCGTCTTCTTGACGCACATGGAATCTTCACATCATTTTATAACATCGTTGAGTTGCAACAAAATTGCAAATTGATGTTTGAAAATGATGACATGAGCAACATGTCACCTTCAACGGTCTCGCGCATAGGGATCGTGTATTTGGATCCTTCTAGTTTGGGGTGGCAATCAATCTTCAAGAGCCTTTTTCTGCAATCTTTCACTGCAGGCACTGATGGAATCATGATGCATCGTCTGCAGGAATGTTTGTCGAGTTGCTTTCAAGTAGCCAAGGCACCCAACTACATGAACAGCCACTATGTCAAGGTCTTGTTTCAGCACATGAAATCGCTGCTGGTTTCCCTGGACGAAAAAATTTCTGTCCTCGAACGAAAACTAGGCTTCGCCATCCTATGGACGTATGGCATGTGTATTGAGGCGGATCTTCTATCACGGATAGAACGATGCATCCTCGACGCCTTTCCGGAGGCCACGCCGCCAGGCAACGGGAGCATGACCAATTACTTTCTCGACGAGGACAACAACTGGAAGACATTTCATACCGGCATCATGGAGATTGTCGGGAAAGATCAGGCAATTCAGGTCTATTTCCCTTCTCAGCGTCAAGTACAAATTTCCCACATGTTGGAGATGAACTTGAAGAATGGGCTTCCCTCGTTTCTGATTGGTGATAGAGGATCGTCCAAGACCTTTCTCTTGAACATTCTCCATGCTCGCAGCAAAGCTCTAAACTTGACTTACAAGAACATATGCATATCTTCTGAGTCAAGGTCAACCGACTTAACTGAAATTCTCCAGAGTCAGTTAAAGAGAAAAATTTGCAATACATATCAACCAAAGAGTGGTGGTAAATTTGTCCTCTGCATCGAAGATTTAAATCTCTCCACGAGCGAACTAGGAAAAGGGCAACCGATGTTGGAATTACTCAGACAAATGTTTACTGAAGATGGGTATGTAAAAGATTTTACACTCTTAGAAAGTACTAACATGAATTTAACATAGGATGTACAATGTGAAGGATGGAAAATTCAACAGACTAACTGATATAAGCTACGTAGGGTCCTTCAACGTTCGAGATGGTGAGCGCGGATCTATTCCTGCCCGACTGCGAGGACGCATGCACGCGATGTTCGTGTCTTATAATCAAAAGGAAGCGGAGCATTGTTTCAGCTCTTTGCTGAAACACCACATGTCTCATCTTAAGAATGTCAAGCAGTTGACAGATTTCGTGATAAAGATGTTTTCTCAGACTATTCAGGTGATGTAGAAGAATGTTTGTCATCAATGGGATCGATTTGACCAATTCGCCTAGGTATACGAAAAATTGAAGAACAGCCATGTATTACATGGCAGTGAAATTTACTCCCTGCATACTTTGTCTAAAATCTGTTCAGGCATATTGAAAGTCGATTTACAGAATTCAACCAAAGAATCATTCCTAAGGCTGCTCAAGCATGAATGTGAAAGGGAGTTTTTGGATGTGTTGTTTGACGATGCTTCATACCAGACTGGGAGGAACATCTTACAACAGACATTGTACAAATCTGTTGATGCAAAAATGTCTCAGAAGATTCAGAACTCGAGATGTTTGTACAGTGATGGTGGATTTTTGCACAACAAATCAGAATCAACAAATACGACTTACACAAAATTCACGCCAGAAGAATTCTTCCATTGTGCTAAGGAACATTTAGACACTTTCGTTTCACGAAGGAAGGAGTATGAAGGATATGTGTTGTTTGAAGCTTGCATAGAGAATTTAGCAAAAGTGCTCAGATTTTTGACTCATTCCGATCGATCAATCTGTTTTCTCGTCGGAAATAAAGCTACAGGTCGTGAATTTGTATGCAGATTAGCATGTTACATGATGGAATTCCACCTGGAAAAGATTGATAGCGTATTGAAAAGGCCAAGTAGCAGTATTCAAGAAAGAACTCTCCATGATTCTGCTATGAGATCAGATGCGAGCGCTTCCAAGCAGCGTTGCTTCATTGTGAGAAATGCGGTTAACATTGGTGACCTTGAATGGCACAATCTGAATCAATTGGTGTCGGAGAGTGACATATTGCATCTCAATCGTGTTGAAAATGGTGTGACTTTGCACACAATTCATGAACTGCAGGTAAATTGATGTTGGTAGTTGTTTTTGCTTCACTTACAATGTGGAATTAGGACCATGAATCGATAGCGCTGCGCGGAAAGCAGACAAAAATGATCTTTTTCATGGATGCAAGCATTTTAAGAATCAAGCAACTAGTTCAAATGTTTCCACAAATGCTGGCCATGCAGTTTATGAGGTTTGAAAATATTTCTGCTGAAGTGCATTTTGAAATTGGGTCGAATTCTCTTTCCAACTGCTTCGCAAACTTGGGGAGTGTGCATAAATATGCGAGGGTAATGCTGAATGTTCATTCTCATGCAATTCAGATCTCGAATGAGTTCCAAGCTATTTCAGGATGTCACTTCCATTTTGATATTCGGAATTTCAAGACATTTCTTTCCAAGTTTGCAGCTCTGTATCGCGAAAAGGTTCAAATGCTTGAAATAAAATTTCGTCGTGTTAGGAATGCGATCGCAAGGATAGAGCTATATCAAAGAAATCTGGAGGAGACGGAGAACAGGAGCCGACAAGACGAAGCTTCACTCAAAAATTTAAGATCCAAAATTTCGGAAACTTTCAAGGAAGTTACAAGCGACAAATCTGCGCTTGAGCGTCAAAAAAGAAAGGTAAGCCGGGTCGATGAGATCATACTGTTTCTTGTCCATTTCTGATTTTTACAACAACCAGATGGAATTGATACAAGAGGACATCGCCCAAAATGATGCGAAAAAAACCAAAGTTGCAACGGAGATCAAAAGCATGCGAGCCTCTGCTGATCAACGATTTTATGACGCAATCAACCTGTTGAATCAAGTCAAGACAGAACAGATTGATACCCTCAACGATTTAGAACATCGGCGTTCTCCTCACCTCCAATATCTGTGCGATCTGTTAGCAACACTTTCTCACTTGAAACTCAAGACTCAGGGTATTGACTTGATGTGGATGAGAGAGTCGATCGAATCCTTGAAGCGAATGAATCCCGATGGTTTTAACGAAGAGGACCACGAATTCTTGCTTGCTCTTTTGGAAAAGGAAGCAGAGATGTTGGAGTCATGTCCAGATAATTTCGTGAAAGAGTTGTTGTTGATATCACTGAAATTCATGCATGGACTGGCAGATTACACTCTAGAGAAATTGAGAACAAAAGCTCTGTTGTTGAAGGAGAAGGAATTTAAATCGTTGTTACTTGTTTTAGGAAAGACTTACAACAACACATTCGAAGAAATAGCTCGCATGGAAACGAATATTCTTTCAAAGGAAGCAAATTTTACACAGATGAATCAGGAAAAGAATGATTTAGAAGAGAAGAATGCGATTCTAAACTCAAAGTTGTTGAAGTCTAGAGACTTTCACAATTCAGTCGAGAATGATTATCGTGTTTGGAAATCATACCTTGATGAAAATCAAGAGAATGAAACAAGCCTCATCAAACATACTCTGATCCAGAGCCTTCTCCTCGTGTATTGTGGAGGATTTGATGGACCACACCGCACAAAGATGCTGCAGCATCTCTTCAGTCTGTTGAACGAAGAGTATGATGTCGCTCTGGTTCAGCGATCTGTTGAGAGCATGGTAACCAAACAGAAGATCAATGAATGGAAGATGAGCGGACTGTTGCTCCAGGATTTCTTTGTTCAGAATGCTGTACTTATTGAAAATTCTATCGGAATTCCCTTCATCATAGACCCAGACGGCGAGGGGCTACGGTGGCTGATGTCTTCGCTTGACTCCCCTGTGGTGAACATGTCCAAGAGCTTGACAGAAGGAGTTTGTAGGACGGCCAAAGGCGGAGAGGGCAAGGAGAGGGCAGTGATCAACGTACTCTGGCAAGATGATCCAAGTCCAGCTATGCTCGGCCTGTTCTACGACCTGAGGCAGGAAGGGACCGAGCTGCCTGCAAGCTCTCTCTACTTGGTTTCGTCTTCTTGGAATTCAGCTATGCCTCTTCCTCCTAATAGCATCAGCCCGATCAACTTCACGCTGAGCCAGGACCTCTACGAGCACGTGACCTTCGACGTCTTGCTGATCCACCTGCGACATGAGCTGTGTGCTCAGCAGAAGCAAGCCCTCAAATCTGTGCTGGACCTGGAGTTGCAGATCGATACTAATTTCGAGACCTTGATGAGTATGTTTAGCCAAGAGGAACCGACCTTGATGGAAGATTCACACCTGACAAGCCTCGTGACGAAAAGAAATCATTCCGCAAAGGTTCTCGAATCTGCTCAACAGGATTTGACAAACATTTCGATGATGATGAAGAATTCTTCTGAGAACTTGAGGTTGAACTCACAGAGATGTGCGATGTTTCTTGCAGCTTTGTTTCAGATGAATAAGATCAACCCTGGCTATTGTTTCTGTTTGCAGATGGTGCTGAAATTAATTGTCCGGAACGACAGCGTTGTGAAATCGCCTGAAGAGTTCACATATAATCTGTACGCGCTGCTATGTAACTCGCTCTTGATACGGGATCGAGCTCTCTTCGGTGTCCTGCTTTCGCTGCAGATTCTGATTTCAGAAGGAACCATTCCGCCGGAAACAACCATCCAAGTACCCGTGAAGCCCCCGACAAGGAAATCGTCAACAGGGTTGCGGTTGCCTTGGGTCAACGTGATTCACTGGAATCAACTGGTGGAATTCGTCAAGGCCAACCCCTACTTCGAGAGCGTGTTGGAGCATATCATGGAGCACTCAGAGGAATGGCAGTCTTGGTACAACCTGGATGAGCCCGAGAAGCATTTCCCGAGCGATCTCAACTTTCGCTACAAGAAGGCAGCAATCTTTGTTCGATTCATCACCCTCAAGATATTGCGCCCTGACAGAATCGTGCAAGCATGTTCTAGGATCGTCGAAGAGACATTGGGAAATCATAACACAAAGACTCAAGACGACGACCTTCACTTCATCTCAACACTTGTCGAGAAACATACACCCATCCTCCTCATTGGCGCTCAGTCCTTCGACCCGGTTCAGGAAATCACAAACTCTGCGCACGACCACCAAATAGAGTGTATGCTTGCATCTGTGGTCCATGGAGAACCGGTTGCCTCGAGGATTTTATCTTCAGGGATCTCAGTGGGTTCTTGGATGGTGCTCGAAAACGTGGAGCTTGACTTGGACCTGGCAGAGTCAATTGTGCTGACTGTCTACGACCGCAAGCAACACTTGAAGAATGATTTCCGACTGTGGTTGACGATGAATGAACAGATCGACAGGAGGAAAGGTTTTCTCAATGAGATGATCTGCCTCTTACATGAAAGACCTTCAAGTTTTCGGATGAATCTTGGTCGAACTTTCCAGTCTCCTGATGCCGCACATGTGACTTCGTATGAAGACACTCCGCAGTTTCCATACAAATCCATCTTTCTGGCAATCACCATGTTACACGCTTCCTTGGTCACTCGTCAGCTCTGCGCAGGGTTGACTTGGTCCTTTACATACTCTACCGAAGACTCAGATTTTCATATCATAGCTGAAGTGACAAAGTCGCTTTTTGGCTCGAGCCTTCACGAGAACAGGAGCAACATGATTCTCAAGAATCTCAAGCATTCGATTCAGGACGTTCTGGCTGGTCGAATCATGGAGTCGGCCGATACTTCGACCCTCTCGGTCTACATAAATCATTTTGTTTCCTCTGCCTTCTTGCAAGAGCTGGTGAGTGACTTGGGCAGCAACTTTCAACTCAACGATATGGATTTCATGTCTTTGCGAGAGTTCTTCAATTCGATCTCACAGGATCAAGAGCTCCGTTTCATGTCCCTGAACTCAATGATTCCTGCTCAAAGGCTGCAGCTCTTCTCTCACGAGGAGCTCGATTACAAGCTGAGCTTGGCTTTAAAGAAACGTGAGCACGATCATCGCTTATCATCATGTCTGGATGTTTTGGAGAAGATAAACCTCTTGTCAGCTGGGAGTGATGCAGAAAAGCTGCATGAAGTAGAACGTCGTCAGAGTGACGGGGCTTCAGACTTACTGGCGCTGAACTTCAACTATGAATACGCCAGATTCTGCAAGCTCGTCTCATGGCTGCGGGAGCAAGTTGCCTGCTTGTGTCTGCTGCAGGATTCTGATGGAACATCGGAGAGTGCGCACTGGAAGCAAGACTCTATCAGGTATTCAACGCCTACTTCAACTACTCCCTCAGTAACTTTCCTTGCAGCATCTCAAGAAGGAAAGTACCGCAGAGCTGGCAGGAGATGTCATGGCCAGAAGAAAGCTTGTCGGATTGGTTAGAGAGGCTCTCGCTGGGTCTCAAGCAAGCGAAATCCTGTGCTTCGGGAGCTCCTCCCTTCTCTCTATGGCTCCCTGGCTTCTTGCACCCCGAGGGCATCCTCGACGTGAGTCAGCGCTGCTCGTGACCCTCACTGTACCTTTGAACCTTCAGCAGGCGATGGGCTACGGGACCAACAAGCGAGATGAAGCACAACACAGCCGCAGCCATCTGGATCTCTCTGTCACCGACCTGGAGGTCGAAGACTTGAACGAGCCTTCGCAGGCAGGACACTTCATTCACGGTTACTTGCCTCCCTTGCAAACCCTTGGACTAAAGGAGGGTGCTAGGGTTGAAAGTGCGCGGCGGTGAGTGGTCGAAGAGGCGGGGTAAGTTCAGTCTCGGTCGACAGAAGGTCTGTCTTTCTTGATCTCGACCGTCTTGATACATTTTCTCAGCTTCAACCTTGTCAAAACCTTCCAGTGATCCAAGTTTCACCACACTCGTTGCAGGCAGACCGCGCAGAACCTTTCTACATGTGCCCGTGCTACAAGAATTCGCAGAGGCACGGAAATTTCTTATGCTTTATAAGGATCACAACGGTGATGACGTTCCGCTAGTGTTCCAAGTGTCTGACCCCCTTGCAGGACGAGAGCGTGGAAGCATGCATCGCGTCGAGCGTGGCAGTGATCAGCACACACAAGATGCTCTCACTCACTTGATACAATACATGTCACCCTATCACTCAGCATCGAGACTCACGAGCGGCGAGCAGCCATGGCGGCCTTCGTTGTGACCCCCTGTGTCATGAGGAAGGCAGGTCCACATGCTTGCGATCCAATAGCATCCAGTCTCCCCTGTCACGTCCCACTTCACCCGAATCCATGCTCCATCATCCCAGATCTCAACGATGGATCCCTCTCCTTCACCTACCAAAGATCACTCAGCCACCTTCACTCAACCTCCGAGCTTTACCTGAACAGTCTGTCTGGGGCTCGTAGAAAATCCTGCCGATGTGCAAATTCTTGCCTCCAGGTGTCTTGCTGAAAAGAGCCTTGTACCTCTCCGAAAGCTTCACACGGCCTCCAATCTTTGCAGGAATATCCACTCCGACGTAGCGTTCCATGAATCCCATGGATTGAACCTTCCCTGTGTTCTGGAGACTTGCTTCCTGCCCTCCTTCCCCGGCTTCCCCCTATGCTCCCTACTATGCTCTGCTCTGCCCTCTCTCCTGTCCTGTCCTGTCCTGTCCTGTCCTGTCCTGTCCTCTCTTGTCCCACTTCCCTCGTCTCGTTGCCTTGCTTGTCTCTGTGCGCTGCTCTCAACGGCTTCACTCCCACACACCCGGCCCGCCTCCGTTGGAACAAGTTGAGGCTGACCGTTACACTTTGTGCAACCGCAAATGGTCGTCCAACATCCGCTGATACGCGGTGGCTAAGGCTGTAGGGTACCGTACATGACCCTACCAAGTCTTATCCTGCGTAAGCAAAGAAAAAATTAGGGGTACTAGAGAGAACATGTTTGACCTGTGATGCAGGGCCCGAGGGTGGGTGGTGACGGGGCTTGACTCTTGGGTGCAAGCAGCTATGCGGAAGATGCGGAAAAGGCGGGCGAGGAAAGAAGTAAACAAGACAGAATGCTAGAAAGAAGACAGGGAGGTAGGACAAGTCGTAAGATGGAACAAGGAATAGCATTACAAGTTTGGTATATGTACGGTAGATTTTCAGATTGCCGGTTGTATACGGAGGATCCAACTCAGTAAGGCATGGGTATTGATCCTTTTAGGGCTTGTAGGCTGGCTGTAGTGTACTTTGCTAACAAAAGGCCATGGCAGGTCGGCGTTGCCGTACGACTCCTGGAATGAATTTATAAGTCTACGAATCTTAGATCTTGCAGATGCATCGTGGAAGGTGAACAACTTGGCCTTAACCCCAGGATGCTCCAAGACAAGTTGCTCTTGCTCATCTTTCTCCTCCTCCTTGCCTGCACGGTGAAAGCAGATTCATGGGACAGAGATGTAAGCAGAACCCGGAATGGCCTCTCACCTTATATCAGACCCAGCACATCGATAGGTGCAGTTCAGTCCAACTTCACAGTCTATAGTTCTGCCGATGATTTGTCGTTGGACCAGAACACGATGTTCTTCTGCAAGTACCTAAGTACGTCTAGTTCCAACTACTTGCATACCGAAGCGCTATACATCTCGAGCTCTGAGCTGATTTGCAAGATGCCTGAGTGGGGTAATTCCTACAAGGCGGATCTGACTTATCTTTCTATATGGAAAGGAGCTAGTTTTGCTTCTTCTACAGAAATTTTAGCTATTGGAGACCCCGTCGAGATCTACTTCAGCGGTCAATCAGTGCTTGAAATTTGGGGCTGATGACTGACGTGCGCTCTCAGAATCCATCGTTTCGATCTCCCCTCATGTGCTCATTTCACCGAGTAGTCTTATAACCGTTGTCGGAGCTGGTTTTGACACAAGGTGAATTGAACAAGGTATCCTTCTCTCTGCTCTATTTGACTCGGTTTCATCAGCGTATCATATCACATTGTATTTGTACCCAAAGTCCAGTTTTCTGCTATGGCCTCACCCCCAACAACGCAGCAATGGATCTATTCTTTTGTTCTCAATGTCACAAACAACACTTATGCCACCTCCATGATCAATTGGAATCATGATGCTGGTGATCACTTTGTCACCTTGTTCAGAGTGAGTAGACACCACGTTTGTTGTCTGATCCGCTGATATGTCTACCAGTCACTTCCCAGCTATCTGTCGACTGCCACATACTCTGTTGCCCTCCCAGTTCCACAAGGGCGTACGGGTGCTTCATCATTTCAGTGGTCGGCATTCGATTGGGGCATTGTTGAATCATGGCATTCCTTGGATCGATATTTTGCAGGATACATCAGTCAACAAGTCATTACTGTTCACGGTGGGTTTCGTGATGATGGATGAATCTCCAACTTATCGCGATTCTCAAGGTGACGGATTCCGCACTTCATCCTTCGAAGAAGCCCCATATCTTTGCACTTTTCGGCAGTCTTACAACGGAATTGCGGTTCAAGGTAGTGGAGCATATTACTTTGAAAGTGTTGCGACTGCGATAGACACGACCAAGTTAACTTGCCAAGCCCCAAAGTAGATGCGTCATTGAAACATTTAGAAAGTTGATTTGTTTTGCAGATTTGAGCCCTCGGAAGGATATAACATATGGTCAGAGTTCATTTTCAACATTAGAACGAATCAAACAATCATCCTACCGGACAACAGCGATTATGGATCTACTGTTAAACTCTTGCACAAAAATCTGACAATCTTCAGACTTCTGAGTAATGCTTTTCGTCTGACTTTTATCTGTCAACTTACTGATTTATCCTTAGGAACTCCTGAGTGGTCTGAATCAGTTGTGGCTTCCAACGCCATCCTTGAGGAAGGTCTCGAATGCGGAAAATTCAAGCTGGACTTCCATGCTGAAAAAGGTGTGGCATAGCAATCGCTTCATTCTTGTGAAAGTTCCCTAGGTATGGGTCCATTGCGCTTGACACTCAAATATACGCCTTTGCGTCCAAAAGTGAATTTCGACTTCATATCTTCTAGTGGAATTCCGACTGTGAATGAGGTCTCACAACGAAAACTTGTTGGTATGCTCACTCGATTTTCAGATCCTGCGGACTACAGACGTCATGCCTTCTCGGGAGTATACCAACTCATTGGAGGTTTGAATGTTCAAGGAGTTCATCCTTAAAGTAATGATTATGAGCAGGGCGACTACTTCGATGCTGATGGAATCTACTATCCTGGTCCCTCTGACACAGTTCTCGACCTTCCGCTGCAAACTCCTGCTGTCAAAGTAAGTCGGAACGTATCGTGAACGTAGCGTTGACTTGTTGTCTCAGCAAACTAAGGCAGATATTGTCGCTTCCCAGACTCTGAAGATCCCCGACAACCTTGCTGAGCCGTCTCACATGATCTTCTCTTGTCTCACGGACTTCCAAAATGGCAATGTCAGTGGCACGGTCGAGTGGAACGTCAGCAAGGGATGGGAAGGGTTTGCCTACAAACTGTGTGTGACTGCTTATCATGCTGTCGTTCCTCTCGCATCGAGATCTCTTGACCTGGCAAACGAGCGATGTTTCTTTGTTATCGTCCCCAAGTGCTCCAAGTGTCTCACGGCTGTGGATACCCTTGACTCAGTTTCGGCTTTCTATGGAGCGAACTGGATTGATCTTTGGAGTTCCAACCATCAAATGTTCAAGACTAAGAGTGTGGATGTCAAGTACGACGAGATGATAGTGACCCAAAGGAATTTTCTAAGTCTTCCGCAGGACCGACGAAGTTTTCAATGCACCCAACGACAGAGTTTACATCGAGATCGACAGAAATACTTCTCTGAAGCTCGGACAGTCCTACCGCATGAACTCAGGCGACACCATCAACTCCGTTTCCCTTCGCTTTGGCATGATGATTGAAAACTTCCTGGTGACTTCACATGTCATTGTGACTCGGCTCCTCACATACCACAGGCACTGAACCCGGACATCTTCGCTGGCAACGAGTTTCAAAAGCTTGACGGCAAGCGAGTCTGCATTCTTTCTTCCACCTCCAAATACAGCACCTGCACGGTAAGCGCCAGCCAACCGTTGGTTTCGTCCCCTCTGACTGCCTGGCAACAGCCTTTGCAGGAAACCCCCAGCCCGATATTCTACGAGGCTACATACCGAGCAAGGGTAGACGAGAGTTGTCCGCTCATTCCCTCGCCTGATCGTTGCTACAGTTCTATCACGACTTCGACGTTAAGGGACGGCCAATCAAGACATACAATGACAGGTCCCTGCCCCTGCTCCTCGTATCTCTGCTCAGTCCCTGCCCGCCATTCTGCTGCTCCTGCCATGCAGCTCAGAGCATCCTCCTCCTGTCTCTTGCCCCCCTCGCTGACTCATGACTCAGGTATCCTCAACCTCCGTTCGAGTTCCCCCCCAAGACTCCCTAGTCTCTTCTGCAACTTCTACATCCTGTACATTTACATGAATCATGCATCATCTCTCCTCCGTTCTCCCCTCTACCTCCCTCTCCTCGTCCACCGTGCCCCCACCTCTCCCCCACTGCCCTTCCTGTCCTTCCTCCCAGCACTCCACTCAAGGTCTACACGCCGTCAAGTGTTTTACGTGTGTTAGGGTCGCTTTACGCCAGCACTTATCGACTCCACTGTCGACAAAATCTCAAATCGGGTCTTGACCTTGCAATCCCACTGCCCAGGTTGAAGAGATCTTGTTCCCCTCAGCTCGCAGCCCTGGCACTCGAGCTCTCTCTCTTCGGCAGAACTCCCCGCGACATGAGGAGATCCTCAGGAAACCTCTGATCGTTGACCGTGTCAAATCCTTATCCATGAGTCTAAGGGAGGGATCTAGAATCACATCGTAGTTTACCCGATAAGCTTGTATCATCAGCCTCTACCATCCGTATCCAACTGCTATCTTCTTCCATCAAAGGTCGACAGGCAGAGGTCGCAAAACCCAAAGATACCAAAACCTGGCTCCAGAACTTCACAACTTTCCAAATCAAATTTTCCTCCCTTGCATTCAACCTTGATTTGCACAACTTGTGTATCACCCCTTGCCTACGTTCCTCTTCTTTGTTCTCCATCTACTCCTTCATTCCGCCTCTCCTCCGCTTCCTCCTCCTCCCTCGATACCCTCTCCTCTTCCCGGTTCCATCGCATTCAACTCTGTTTCGCCCCCTTCCGTGTCCTCCACCCCACCCTGAGACCACCCCATTGGCAACACAGGATAGCTACCCACCTGATTTACACCACCACCTACCCCCTCTCTCAAAAACCCGTCTGATTTAGTTGTAACACCCCTGGTATGTCCCCGAAATGCAAAATATCCTTTTTGTTCACCTCTCTATCAGTACCCCCTACCCCCACTTAATGCCCCCTCCTCCCAATCCAGACAGCCCCACCACTCCTGCTTCTCCTCCCCCCTCGCCCCCCCTCGCCCCTCCTCCTCCCTTCCTCCCTCCCTCCCCCTTCACTCCTCCCTCTCATCCTGATCTACACATCTTCCTGACCGAAGGATATCGCAGCTCCACTTCATACCCTCCTAGCTCTTCACTTTGCCCAGCATGAGGCACGGGACTTGTTTGAGTTTCCTCGTCTTGGCTGCATTGCTAGACCTCTCTTCTCCATACAACCCGTCGGCATTCATGCTGCAAAGCTGTATCTTGTCGCGTCACAAGCCATCTTTCTGTAGCTCTGCGAGTCGTCTCAGCAGCAGGAGGCTCACGCCGCGTCCTCTCCCTTCCCTGCTATCGTTGCGCGCAATCGCACTTGGCGATGGGTTTGCGGAGACAGCAAGCGAATCTTCGTGGACAGAAATCAGTGAGGGGATTACGAAAGAGCAAGCAGAAGAATGCAGTGTGATGGAGGCTGCGGATCTTTCAAGCTTCTTTGTTGGGTACATGGAATTCTGTAATAGCCAGAGCCAAAGGTTGCCAAGGAATGCGGCAAAGGCAAGAGCTTTTTCTTCCTCCTACTCATGTGTTGAACTCATTTATGTTCTGTCGTGTGTATTCTTCCCTGCTTGCTTGTTCTTCTCAGATGTTGCAAGCACTCCTGTCCCATCCCGCTGGCGCACAAGGATTCTGGACAACTTTTTTGACAGATCCAGGTACGACCTCGCTGACAGTCGACGTTGACCATCTGAATTTTCCTCCTCCCTTTAAGATCTCAAATGCGCGACATCTCCTCCTTTTGATCCAGCATTGATCGAGGCAATTGCAAGGTAAAGTGTCAGCCTTTCTTGTCTTTGCTTTCGACCAATGATGATGACGACGATGACGATGACGCAGATTTCCCGAGCTCAACATGGGAGTTATCTCAAGCTGCCTTGCAATGTCAGCGACTGAAGAAGCCCTGTACGAGGTCCATTTTTCATCCAGAATCTGATGAGATCCTGACGATGGTTGCAGGGAGATCCTTACATGGCGGAGAGTGCTGGGTTGAGCAAGGCAAGGGCTTGCGTCCTCATCGGCTCAATGTGGGTGTCCCAACAAGGGCTCTGTTTGTTTCTCTGATCAACTTGTCGTTGCAGAACTTCTCAGCCTGCTCCAGAGCGAGGTACACACTAACCACTCCTCCACCCGCACTCGGTGACAAGTTGAGCAGGAGACCATGGCTTGAATTGGCTGCTAGACCTCGTCGACTACGATGCGCTGGAGCAGGTTGACTTCTTTGTTTGACTTGGCTCGAGTATGGCGCCGTTCCCCCTCACTTCATGCACGCAGGCCCGTTACACTGTAGAGCTAAGGACCCAACAGGTGAAGAGTGACTCCGAAGTCCGACCGGTCGCCCAGAAGGTAATGATGATGATGATATGCAATGAAGTGATGGTGATGATGAAGGATATGGTGTGACAACACTGGATCGATTGTTAGGGTGGATGGGATAGATTGCGGCTCGGGTAAGTTCATTTATTAATAGATAATCAGAATGCAAAAAAATTCTTCTATCGGAATTGTATCCTGCAGTCCTTGCAACACTCTATACATATCTTACATCTTTGCGTATTTCACTCTTCACATCGTGAACGATATATCAGTGGAGGAACCAATGCAACATGACAGATTCTCCAGCAAATAATTGCAAATATACAAAACGCTCCACAAATCTGCCATTACAAATTTCAAAGTTGCGTCCTCGCTCAAAACAGCCTTCAGGTGTCCTCACCACTTGTGTCTTTGGCCATTGGTAAAACTTGGTGACTGCCATCATAGCAAGACTGCAGAAAAAGAGAGGGATGTTCCAAGAGAACGCAATCTGTTTTCGGATTACTGTAACAACCAAAAGATGTACATCAAATAGACTAGACCACAACATGTCGAAATAATTGATCACAGTGGATATTCCAGATGCTTTCCAAATGGGCTTTGGAAGTCAAGACTCCATCTGGCCTGGCTGTATGTTCACGTTGACGACAAGTTTGAAAGCGACAAAACCTCGCTTGTTCATCGAAGATGGTGGAGTTCGAGGTGAAATTGTGTCGAAACACGATCTTTCGCTCGTTTTCGGTCAGATTCTCCAGTTGCGCATCGCTGGTGTAGAGCATGTGACAAGTCTTCCTCTGCATCATGCTGCAGCGTCAGGTCACCTGTAACTGGTAGGAAATCCAGCGGTGAACTTGCAGACGTTGGCCATTGCATCATTCGAGCTCTTCTAGCAGTCAGCCGTCGTCACGATACATCCCTTGAGCATCTCACCTTCTGGAGGATGAAGATTGCCAGGCTCGTGGAGACGAACATGATGATCATGCACATGCAAGCGACGGAGGTGCCTGAAGGAAGAGTGAGACCGTGACGCCTGAACAGCACGTCTCACTCAAAGCTCCCCAAATCGCAAGAAACGCCGGGTGGAACCACTGATCCGATGGGCCGGGCATCGACTGCTCGTACAGGACAATCATCTGGAATGCTGCAACAAATGCTGATGACTCGGCCAACAGGAAGAGCTGTTTCGATTTGTGCTCTGCTACATGCCTGGTTTGGTCCTGACAAGGATGTCAGGAAAAGCAACATTGACACCGCCACTGAACCTGCAGGCTCCACGAAGTCTCTGCATCTTTCCACTTGCTCTGCAGCATCTGCCAGACAACATTTTTCTTCCAGTGCTCTCTCTTCGCATGTGCAAATTTGCACTTTTCCTCCACCCACTCCTTCTTCCTCCTCTCTTTCGCAACGGACACCGCAGCATGCAGCATGCTCGTCTACCAGGAAAGAGTTCCGACTATCAGCACTGCATCTGCCTCTTGCGCATGCTATCCTGTGCCCTCTTGTCGTCTTCGGCTGCTGCTGCTACTGGGAGGATCCCAGAATGTCATTCGCACCCCGACATCATGGCATTGGCCCTGAGGTGAACACGGGGCTGGATTTGACTAAAAGCTGTCAAGGCCACCTAGCACTTCAAGGCTTTCACCGTCTGCGGGGCGGCGGCCTGGCGCAGTGTGCCAGTCGGACTACCCGGCGTATATTACGAGTAAGGGACTCGCCGGGAGCCCCCCGGCGCCCCCGGCGGCCGGGCCGGGCCCCGCTGCATCGTAAACTTCCGGTTGATCCTCCCGGGGAGAGCGGTGATTGCAATCTGCTGCACTGCGGACCTGCCCTAATGGTCGAGGCTCAGCGGCTTGGCCCAGTGGCCCGCGGCGCAGTGCCACCGGCGTCACGGTGAGCAGCCGGACCGCTCGCCAGAGTCGGCGCGGTCCGACCGGACCGGGACACCGTCGGTACGGTAGGCGCGGTCCGACCGGACCGGGACCCGGGAGTAGTACGGGAGGCACGCCAGTGACTAGCCTGTCGCTCGGATGATCGATCATCTATCGGATCGGATGGCTGCCACCGTGGGCCGGCACCGGCGTGACGGTGATCGGATCGGACTCAGGCTACTGCGGCCATCATGATGATCCCGGGAGTCCTGGTACTCTGAACTTTTAGTAAGTTATGCCAGGAGTCTGTCAAATAAACAACACGGCCGATACGGTGCCATTATTGAAAGTAAGAAAATTCTGCCGGCCAAACTTGAATAGTAGTAAGCCGGAAGCCCACAGCTTCCGAGCAGCCTTCGGTGGAAACGGCGCTGCACAGCGGCTCCCGTGATCAATTCTGTTATTTCTGCAACGTCAATCTACGAGGAGCATTTGCAAGGTGACCTGAAAGGTACATCCAACTTAGTTGCGTTGGATGCTGGGTTAGCTGAGAAGGGCAAACTTCCAAGTTCCGATTGATTGCACTTGAACCTGGAAAAATGTGCTCTTGTGAAAGTTCCGTCATTATTAGTTGTACCTTGCTATTCTTCACTGCAGCGAAATCAAGTTAGTCAAAATCTACTAAGGAGGAGTCTCTTGTTTCTGAACGATTCAGTTTGATCATGTCTTGCAAGCTGATTCGAGGCAACTTGTCACGAAACATGTCGCGAAACAGTTTTAATCAGTTACGGAAAAAAAATATGATACTATGATACAGTAGTACAAATTCAACTTAAGGTTGATACCATGGTTATGTGTTGTGATCTCACGAAGTACTTGGGTGATTGATAGCACTTGGATTCTTCATTTCCTTTTCTTTGTTCAAAACTCCTTCCAATTCCTTTTTCGCCACTCGTTCACGTGCACTTTGCAGCGCGTGGAACAAGGCGTTAGAGTCTATGGATGGTCTTCGCTTTAAATTCTTCCCTCCAGCATCGACTTCCTCTTTGTCGAGTTGTCGTGTCCAGTTTGGATCTGAGGAAACCCGAATGAGGCGGGAGTATTGAATCTTGCTGTGCATCCTCAGGTTTCTGACAGCGGAGAGGTCGGGAATAGAAAGGAAACTGGTTATCCACTGCCTGTCAGGGTTTGAAGATACGAGGAGGAGATAGCAATCTCAAGGCAAAAAGATTTCAGATGTAGAGGCAGGATGGAGGAGGCTGGACAAGGAAGACAGAGGTATGTGCGTGCGCTGGGAAGGTTTGGGCCGAAGAGAGGGAACCCAGGTTTTGTAGCGACCCGTTTCTCGGAGGTGGCCTCCTACAGTGCCCCTACCTCATTCTTTGTATTAGTCCATGGGGGTACAAGACAGGGGCTTGTATATAAATCGAATTCTTTTATCGCTGTTGTAAAGGACCTAATAAATTGAAAAAACAGATCATTTTCTCAGAAAGAGTCTTTACGGATCTTGACATATTTTCAAAAAAGAACGTTTCGCATCTCACAGCGCCACTCCGACAAGCCGAGTAAGCAAAAGGGGCCGCATGCTTCGAAATTGATCATCTTCGAATCTCAGAGTTGGGGCCCGTAACATTTTTTAAAATATCTTTTATCGAGTCATCGCTTCGTGTTACTCCGAGAAGGCGCTCAGTACCACGATGTCGAGCCGTAGCCGTGACTACCCCATATGTAAAAATGACTCGTACTATTCCCCGGCGGCCCCGCCGTGTGACGTTCTGCGCTCACGGCGACATGGTAACGTGACCTTGATTTTACCGCAAGTCATTGTTCCCCTTTTAAAACATTTTAATGATGTAACCCCTCAATCCGCCGCCTCCTTCATACCTGCATCCGCCCAGTGCCCCTTTCATTCCTTTCCGCCCCACCGCCCCTCTCCCCCTCAAAACCCCGCACGATTTCTTTCCACCCCGATCGCAAACTACACTGAATACCAACAACATCGATGAGCTCTGGTCACAACTCTCCCCGGCTGATTCGCGTTGCTTCGGAGCCCATATGGCGACACTCAGTCGATTCCGATGTGCAGGATTCGCCGCGAGCAAGTCAACCGACCTTGCGGAGGAATTCTTCATCTAATTGCCTCTACGGAGCAATCTTGAATGTCCGAAGGAGACTTGCAGGATTTGAAGTCCAGCAATGTGTCACACCTACTTCGTCCTCTTCCGAGGGGAGTGAACATGAAATCAAGCCTATGTCTGAGCCAGACGGTGCTGGAGGTTGAGTCCAGTCATGCAAGTCGTTGTGACATTATATGACCTTTTGTTTCTATATTTTTATCCCGTCGTGATTTTCTGTTTCATTAAAGGAGAAGTTGATCTTGGAATATTGCATTCTTTCAGTAGTCGTCGTCGAACAGTATCCCATGAAATCGCAATACAAGGATTACTATATTTTCATCATCAGCTTTAAAAAATTCACCATGAATACTAAATTCTCCTCACTATGTCCAATGCATCACAACAATGAAACTAAACACGAAGGACACTGCGTTCTCCGATCTCATAAAACCCTCCATGACTCCATAATAGCCTTGCAAGTGTGATGCTGCTCACCACAGGACTACAACTACAGGATTACAGGTACGTGTCCAGCATCTTGATCCTTGATTGCTGTGCGAGTAAAAAACAACACTCGACAGCGATCATCGGTTTGATTCCGAAACAAACCCCGCGGTGAAGACTTCATTGCGAGGAAGGATGTCTGAGAAGATGCTCCTGGTGACGTCTTGTAGGTGTTGATCGTCCTCTGAGCAGTTCGTCAGGACGGAGTACACAAGGATATCATCTAACGAGTACCAGACGAGAAAGTACACTGACTCGACATGTGATCGAAATTCTCATTTCTGACTTGTGGCGCTGAGTTCACCATAGCCTCATGCTCGATGTTTCCATTGATCTCTCCGCTAGTCGAACTCGTTCCCCAGTCCGGACTGGTCAAATCTTCAGTATTCCTCCTCCTCTCTCTTTCTCTATCTCCTCTTCACCTGTATCCACCTCCAATACAAGAGCCCCCGCTAGAGCTGGCTGAGTCCGCGCTAAGTAGGATGTCAGCGGAGAGATGAGGAGGATGGAGACATCACCTGCTTTGAGTAGGATCGATGAATCTTCCAAGTGCATCAACACAAGGGCCCTGATGCGAATTCGAGACGTGTCAACAGGGTCGCCCATAAGCTCTCGGTAATGGGGTGATTCGGAGCATGGGAACAAGTAGGATAAGTTATCAGGCTGTACCTGAAATTTCTCTATTTTCAAGAAGTATTTTTGGGCATGAGTTCGAACCTGAGGATGCTATTACGAAACGTGTGAAAAACTCAAGGGACTTACTTGTGTCGCGTTTCTAGTACCAACAAACGATGCAATGGCCTTGAAGGCTTTGGGTCTGCCATGAAACATGTCTCTCAGAAAATACAAAAATTTACAACAATCATAAAAACATGGAAAAGAAAAACTAAAAGGCCGTCACTCACCCGTATTTATTAAGGCCATCCAAGAAACGTTGGTGTTCTTTTGACGTCCAGTATCTGGTACGAGACTGTTGGGATGATGTCGACTGATTGTCCGAAGTCTTCTGTGCAATTCCTTGTGCTTGACCAGCAGGCAGTTGAAAAACCGGCTATTGTCAAGTTGTCATCAGTTTTCACTGCACTCTCTGTCAAGCAGCAACATGCCTGTTCCATCCCCCTCAGTTCCGCAGTTAGCTTTGCTACTTCGCCTTTTCTTTGATCGATCAGTTGCCTTAGCCTGAATATAACCCTTCAGCCATTCATTACCAGCTGATTTGAAGGATCAACCTGCTGTTCTCTTCGGTGAGTTCCGCAAATGCAGACATGTGCTCCGAAGGATTCACAATTGCCTGGTTGAGAAGTGGTGAATGAACAAGCACATCATGGAGGACTTTGTCACCTGGAATTCAAACTTTGGGATGCTTCCAATAGATTGGACTTGATTTGACAAAGAATCAGATTCTTTGTCAATGCTCGCGTGCAAATCTTGTGTGAAAATCGTCGCAAGATTTCCTTGTTCCTTCCCCTGATATATGGAATGACGATGCGAGATTGTGTGTGTAAGTGCTGTGTTAGGTGAAGCCCATGGATGAGATGGAGTCATAAGATCTGAAAAATCATGTCAAAAGAGTATTGTGTCATTTCTTGCGAAAGAAATCATTTCAGAAGCTTCAAGGTTGCAAAGTGGATATTACACTTCAGGGCATCCAAGTGAGAGAGCAAGAAGCATAGAAAGGTCAATTCGCACAACAGAACAGTGATCGATACGTTAGCTGACAAACAAGTTCCTCCGCATATGACATATATGGGCCATGAGGCAGGAAGAAAAAAAAGCAAAATGAGTCGAGTGCGAATCCGAGAGAACGGGGAGAGTGGAATCAGCACGCAGTGAGGGTGCTAAAGGTTGATTGATGCAGAGACTAGCAGGATCACGGTTGAAATCAAGAAAATCCAAGAAGATGGGAAGTTCTTCTCCATCGGGAAAAGGAGTGCAGGGCATTCGGCGACTCACCGCTATGTTCGCATCACAAGCATGGACGGGGAAACGAAATGGGGGTGACGCTCTTTTGGGGGTAGTGGTGGTATGAATGGGGTGGGGGTGCATACCTTTAGCACCAAGCACGGGGTACTAAATGATGAAAAATGCTGGGTACTACCATGATGGAAAGGGGCACAGGTGATATAGTGACGCAAAGAGTAGGTAGGGTAGGTTTTTATTTTAAGTGGTATGGGATGGTATATAGGTATGCAAGGCGTGGTACTGCCGGGGTAGTACGTACAGCAGGTGTCTGTTTTAACCGGACTAGCAATGAGGGTGGGTTATGGGATTGAGGGGTGATCCTTGAACGAATAGGTCAATGACTATTGAGATCCTACCTATTACCCTACTTATGGAATATCCATTTTGTAATCGATACAAAATGGAAAGATTGAGCCCCAAACATCCCATGGGGTAGGCAAGGTTTTTGGGAACAAGGCTATCTCAGAGCCTGTGGTCTTTTTTCTTAGTTCCAGACTCGAGGAAATGTCTACCATGCATGAACTTCCAGTCTGGCCCAATTCTTCGGCTTGGCAGAGTTATCATTTACCAAAGTGCGGATCTATGGTATTTTTGTATAATGGTAGACTTAATGAATCTTTCATCTTTATCCAGTTATCTGAGCCACTCCTGCAGGCAGCAGCTCAACTGCTTTGGTTAGCGAGAAAACGAGGGTGGTAGCAGCCTGAGAGGGTCTCAAGCAGAGGGTACCATCAGGCGGCCGTGGGTAGTCTACAGTTGGTACTGAAGGACCCAGGAGATCTTGGGAGATTGTTACGAGATCGTGCGAGATACCTGAGATTGTACCAAGGATATCACACTTAGAGAGAAACAATTTTTTGGGGGAAGGGAGGAAAAATTGAAAAAGAAGGTGGGTAGTGTCGAAGTGAGGACATGGACGGGTATAAATGAGGAAAAATTAGGGTGGGGGTTTGGTGAATCAGCCTGGCAAGAGGGTTCTGAGGAGGGGTGGGGTGAGGAGGGGTGGGGTGGATTGAATTATAACCGGCAGTTTTGCACAAACACGAAGGCACGGTGTTGCCCTTGAAATGTTGGAGATGGAATGGGAATATGAGGGCGATGAGTTCAAGATGAAAAGTCGCCGGTGGTGAAGAGACAAACGCCGAAAATGTTCACTAAGGTAGGAGACCATGATCCCCCTTCCTTCCCGCTCCCTCCTCCCGCTCCGCTTCCTCCTTGCTTACAACCCCTCCCCCCCTCCGCTCCCTTCCCCTCTCTGCTCCCCGTTGCCCTCTCGCCCTTCTCTGCTCCCTCCTCCCTATTAGCTCTCCCTTTTCTCTCCCTCCCTATCCGATGTTTTGACTTCTACGATGCATCTTTCCTTGTTCTCTGCCATGTTTTTTGCCTTGCTCCTTCCTTGTAATTCATATCTTTGCCTCTTCCTCTGCCTCTGCCTCTGCCTCTGCCTCTGCCTCTGCCTCTGCCTCTGCCTCTGCCTCTGCCTCTGCCTCTGCCTCTGCCTCTGCCTCTGTCTACATCACTTAAACTATCTCTTTCTTTCCCGGCCCACTCCGTCCTCCCCCTGTGCCTTGCTCGGTCTTCATTTTCACTTCATTTTCATCTTCATTTTCATCTACTTTTGTCGTTGCTCTCTCCCTCCCTCCCTGCCCTTTCTGCTTATCTTCATATCCGATCATTCTTCCACCTGTATACCCTATTTGCTCCTCCGTTTTTACCCTCGAAACAAGACTTGTTTTCCCTTTTTTCCTTTCCCTTCCCTCGCTTCTGCCCTCTTTTTTGCTACTGTTTCTGGCATTTTGATCCTCGCTCCCCCTCCTCGGACTCTTGAGAGTCTATGAATGCTCTTGATCGCAGTCTAACTTGCATGCCAGCTTATGGGCGTCGAAGCCTTCTTGGCACATCATCATGCCGGTGACGTCGGTCCTCCTCCCGCATGGGGAGGCATTGCCGATGATGGTCCCGATGCTCCCTGCGCCGTTGCTGGCATGTTCGGATGCGCTCCCATGAACTCCACTTACGACTACTGGAAGAACGGCGTTCCTTGGGAGGGACCCCCAGTCGTGTTCCACTAAATAGCTCAGACCATACGAGTGTATGTTTGAAGCATTTGTGTGATGTTTCCAGATTGAATGAACTATATACATGTCATCATTTCTTGCATCGATAGCTTTCGTTTCCTCGCATTGCGGGGATATTGTGTAAAGTTTTTCTTTCGACATCAGGATAACATTATTTTACATTGCGCTAGTCTATGTACAAGTCGATATCTCAATCATCCCTCTTGGTCCTCTTCGTCTCCTTGATCACTTTGCTCATCGCCATTAAGCAAACTTCTTGCGCTGTCCTCTGCTTCGGAGTCCTCAGAAGCCGACTCCTCATCGGGATCATCGGGTTCGTCTTCCGTTCCGAGCGAGTCATAGCGAGCCTGCTGGCGTCTTCTCACGTCGAGCCCTCGAATCTTGTCAGCGATGTTGCCAAGTCCGGCGTTGAGACGGCTGGTCAAGGTTCTGTCTTTCTTGTCCTTGTCCTCATCTATCGCTGCTACTGTGCTTTTCTCTCCTCCTCGAACAGATGCTCTGTCCATATCCTCAACCTGCCGAGCATGTGCCTGTGCTGTGGCTTGGTTGCGGGTCTGCTGCAGGCTCTCTTGAGGCATGGCATGATGAGTCGGCTTGGGCTTGGGCTTAGCGATGGTGAGCATGAGATACTCCTGCGGCTCTTCCGCGTCTCCTTCCTCCTCATCTGTCAGCAGCTCAGTCACAGCCAAGTGAGCACAACACGTGAAACAAGCCTGCTCGCAGCGCGTCGATCTTGCTGCCCTTGGAGAGGGGGCTCAGCTCTTTCATCTCGACGTCTTCCTTGCCGGACACGTCATCAGCAAGGACCGCCATCTCGATGTTCCTCGAGCTCTGCGAGGCTTCCTCCTCCAGATCGAACACGTCGAACTCGTTTGGATCCGAGGTCGAGCTGGAGTCGGACTCCACGTTGACCTCCTCATTTTGCGCCTCCTTCTGGTACTGCTGCTCGTACCGCACGATGACAATGGCGATGACAAGCACGATGAGCAACAAGGAGGAGACAGAGGCGGTCGGAATGATCCACCTCGTGGTGAAATCTTCGTGGAGCACCATCGGTACATGCTGAGCAAGGAACTTCCCGGCACTCGACCGGTTCTTGCTGGGGGTTTCCTGGGCTTCAGCTGCTGGGCCTGGGGAGTACGGAATGATGCAGAGGAAGGGAGGAAGAGGAGACAGCGGCTTGCATGTCCATCTGAGGCAGCGCAACCCGCAGGCCCTGCTATTGACGTCACAGAATTCCTCCCGGCAGCAGGATCGAAGCTCTGAGATCGCGCGCCGAAACCTGCCAAGGCACGTCAACGGACATGGGAGGGGCACAGAAATTTCTCCGTCACCTCCTCACCCCTGACTCTTGATCGCCCACAGAGGAAAGGAAGCGCACGGAGTAAACCACAGCTGCAGCAGAGCTGAAGTTCTGGTGGCCAAGTGACCAGTTTCCGAACGCGCTCCTGCGGATGCTCTGGACATGCACGTCTCTTGCAGGGATAGCATCCCCCTGCACTGAAGCCAGCGAGGAGAGGGAGGAGACGAGAGCATTGACACTGTCTGAGTTCCCTTGCACAGTGACGTTGAGGCTACTGGAGGCTGCTACCAGCCAGACCTTCTTCATACCGACCTGGTTCGCCACCTTGACGGCGAAGGAGAGCTGCGCGTTCATCTGGTACCGGGCCGGAGGCCTCACGACTCCATCCAGCCATGGCCTCAGCTGGAAGGTGAGCAGCGAGTCGTTGTTGAATGCCGGCGGGATTCTGAGAACGCCCCTGGGAGATCGGATGAAGATGCTCACGTTCTCCCTCGAACGCCCGAAGCTCGACCCCAGCATGGTCACCAGCTGCAGTTCATCCCAGAGAAGCCTGTCCGGCTTCACTTGCTCTACGACAGGGGGATTGTACGAGAACCTCAGCCCTTGTAGGATGCGAGCACGCTGCTCAGCAACGTCCACCCTCAACTCCAGCTGGGATCCAACTCCAGCTGCAACACGGCAGTTGATCATAGTGTCATCCACCCAGAAGGACGTCAAGGCGGCGGAGGAGCCAATGAAAACTCTGACGCGCGATCGCGTCGTACCGAAGTTTCTCCCCACAATGACGATGTCAGCCCCTAGTGTGGGATACGATCCGCCTGCTGTAGGGCGCAGAGCGAGGAAGCCAGTCACCATGGGGGGGTCAACGTCGTACACGAGAGCTCCTGACACCACTCGCACCCCCCTGCTATCAATCCCGTTGACCCTCCATCCCCTCCCGATCATCGGGCCAACCATGCATGTTACGCTTGTCGGCTGTTGCATGGTGATGGAGCAGGCAGTGTCGTTGAGCGCGATGGACTGCAGCAGATTCAGATTCTCCCCCTCTACGGTGATGACGTGTCCTCCCGCTGCTGGACCCGTGCTGGGATGGATTGAGATCAATCGGGGGACTTCCACGGCGTACACGTAAGCATCCCAGGTCGACACCTGCCCCCCAACTATAACCTTCACTGTTGCCTTCCCACCATCGCTGTTCGCCGGGACCTGACACTCAGCAGCCTTGTCTTCCTCCCATGTCACCTTCTGGCATGACTTCCCTCCCACGTACACGGCTCGATCTACTCCGGCCCCTCCGAAGTACTTCCCGTGAATTGTCAGCACCTCCCCCCCTGCTGTGCTGCCCTCGGTCGGTTCGATGAACGTGATGGCCGGAGGAGTGTAGTTGAAGAGGAATTGCTGCTGCAAGGGAGCGAGTTGAAAGGGCTCGTGGTGGAGCCCAATGGGCAAATTTGCGCCCACACCCATAGGGACCTCACACAAGAGCTGGGACGAGGAGAGCGAACGGATCTTGGTGCAAGCTTCGGCTCCGATGGATGCCGAGAGGTTGGGGTGGCACAGGCCGCGGCCGAAGATCGTCAGACTTTGATGGGGGGAGATTGCGAGATGCGGCCGGACATCGTCGACTGTCGGTTCCCAGGAAAACATCTCCCCGGCGCTCAGAGCGACAAACTCGTGCAACGTTGAGGAGAACTTGGAGTCATCGAGCCCTCCGAACACCATGAGGGAGCCGTTCGCCATGGCTGCTGCCGCCTGCACGACCGTCAACGCTGGCCCGCACCATGGAGAAGCAGGCAGGAGTTCGAGCTCGTTAGAGTCAGTGGCCCGATGGATGAACCATGCTTGCTCCTGGTAGACTGAGGCTGCCGCGGGCTGTGCCCATCCCCTTCCGTCAGGCTCACCGTACGCCCAGTTGTAGAAGAAAGAGCTCAGCCCGTCCTCCCATGACCATGTGGAGTTGTGATGCAGGCCGATCCACACGTAGGGATCTGACGACATGGTCTGCTGCAGGAAGGTAAACACAAAGTCATTCTCGAACTTCGTATGGATCCCCGCCAGCCTCCCCCCGAGACGCGCACAGTGCTTGCGTGCTGCACCGTAAATCTTCTTCTGCTTGACGAGGTGCCAACACTCCTGCTGGAAGATGACTCCGTTGCAGGCCAACGAGCTGGAGCAGCGGACGCTGAAGGAGGGCGAAGCTTGCCACATCTTGGACAGCGGGTCGATCTCGTTCCATCCTGCTGCCTCCACCGGACTCGAGGCCCCTGAGGAGGCGTAGAGGAAGGAGGATCCAGCTTGAGAGGGTTCCATCACCAGCTGGAGGTCCTTGAGCCGGTAAGGGATCACAGCCGGGCCCACAACCCAGTAGCTCGCCCAGTAGAAGATCAAGGTTGCCGTATCCCCCACCTCGAAGTTCAGGTCCACCTTCTTGTAGACTAGTCTCCCCTCCAGCTGCTCCCCTGTTGCCCGATAAGTGCCCGACACGTTCACGCCAGTCAGGAGCCTTTGTCCTTCTAGTTGAAGTTGGTAGCAGGAGGAGGAGGAGGCTGCGGAGGAGGATGCACTCGTGTCGGAAACGTTCTGCACCGGGAGTCTGCAGATGCTTGAAGCGTCGAAGAGGCAAGATTCGTCCTTCCACTTCCCTGTGAGGACTTCAAAGATCACGCAAAAAGCCTTGCTGGCCTTGACGCTCTGACCGCCGAAGACGAAGAGCCTGTCGTGCATAGGAACCATCAAGTGCATTTGTCTGCCCACGAAGGAAGAGAAAGGGAGGACAGCAGCCTTGGGAAACATCTGCTTCCACGTCCTAGACTGCAGGTTGTAGCTCCAGAGGTCGCTAGTCAGTTGCATCCTCGGCTGCATTCCTCCGAACAGGTAGAGGGACGGCTGGCCGGTTCCATCATCCCACATAACCATGGCGGCGTAGGCCAAGGGAGGCGGTGAAGTCCTACCATTCTTGGTCATTCTCGTCCATTGCAGGTTGACAAGATTCAAAGAGTAGAGACCGTCGTCCTGAGGTCCTACCATGCTTGACCCGACGCTGTCATGCCCCCCGAACAGATAAACGGCGTCAGAGTCTCTGACCGTACAGGCTCCTCGTCGCCGGGACGGGGTCCCGCTCAGCTGAGAAAATGTCCGCCACCTTCCATCCGCAAGATCATATCGATGCATGTCGTTGTATACAACTGACTCGACAGCCGCTGTTCTGTTACCGGTGGAGACCGGGCTCGAATCTGCATTCTCGAAGTCTGCATTATACCATCCCCCGAAGATGTAGAGGAAGTTTTCGTACATCCAAGCAACATGTTCACTGCGAGGTGCTGGTGAGGATTTTGTTCCGATCTTCGACCACTTGCCATCATGGACATAAAGATCTGACATTGACCCTATCTCTGTGATCCCTCCAAACAACAGCAACCTTCCTGACTGGTCGACTGTGAGCGAGTGTCCGGCCCGGGGACTGGGCAAGTCTCCTCCACTCGCTGCTGCTCTCCATATCCAGCCCTCCTTCTCGGTCCATCCATGGAAGTGAATCCACTGCTGAGACGTCAGCTCACACGAGGACGCGATGAATCCAATGCGAGCTTTGGGCTCCTCTGTGGGCTGGACGATGCATGAGATGGAGCGCGACGAGGAATGCTGTAGACTCTTGCAGAGTTTGGAACCGACCTGCACCTTGACAACATGCTGCAGGTTCTGGCCGTAGATGATGATGCTTCCGCCGAACCAGGGCAGAGTGGATGGGGATGCTCGTTGCACGGCAGGGGCGTTTGGGGTCTTGCTGCAGTCTGGCAGTGAAGTAGAGAGCATCGGATCTGATACGAAGAAGAGGATCAACATGCAGTTTGAGATGAAATGTCTGCACATGCCGACTCGATGCAGCTTTTCTCATGGAAGGTATCCACCCGTTACCTCGTTGTCCCAGTTGGACAGCTAACAGCTTTTTACTCCCGCACGATCATGGCGAAGATCTGATCAGAAGCCGATGCTCACAGATCGGACGTCAGGCTTCTTTCGTCATCCCACCTAGAAGAGCATGTCAGGCCTTATCTCCGTCTCGGACATTAACCCTCATCGGCCTTGTCATCATTTCTGTTCTGAATCATCTCAAACGTTCGACTTCTCTCCCCTTCCCTCCCCTTCCCCCCTCCTCTCCCCCTGCCTCCCTCTCTCCCTTCCCTCTCCTTCCTTCTCTCTCCTTCCTCTCTCTCTTCTCTTCCTCCTTCCTTCAGGTCTTCCGAGCACTTCCAGCCCCTCCCGTACGAATAGCACTATTCATTTCGCTGTGCCCTCATCCTGTGATTTTCTAGTACATTTATTTATACCCCTTATAATCCCTTATACTTTCTCGAGCGAGCATGAGGAGCCGCATCTCATGGGTCGGGGAAGTGAGGGATGGAGGAGTAGCTGAGGACAGACGGAAAAGGATTAGAAGCATGAGGAGAAGGAGGAGAGAGAAGGAAGAGAGAGGAGGAGGAGACAGGAGAAAGGAGGAGAGAGGAGGAGAGAGGAGGAGAGAGGAGGAGAGAGGAGGAGGAGAGAAAAGGAGACAGGAGGAGGAGGAGGAGGAGAGAGGAGGAGAGAGGAGGAGAGAGGAGGAGAGAGGAGGAGAGGAGAGGAGAGAGGAGGAGAGAGGAGGAGGGAGGAGGAGGGAGGAGGATGGAAAATCAAGGGCGACCAGAGATATGATGGATTCACAAACGTGAGCAAGTCAGCCATTCCTAAGATTCGAATCTTTGCGCTCTGCGTCGAAGGCTGTTCGATGCTGCTGAAAGGTCAACCCAAGTGCTTTGAACTCACTGTATTGATGCAGAAGTATGCATCTTGGGAGCAGCAGGGGGAGAATCCTCGTAAATTCTTTGTTTTCCGTTCTGATTTGGGATCAAGTTAGACCAGTTTCATCGTGGTGCGTGAATGCACATATCTTCCTCGCCTCTTCTCACACGAGCTCACTGTAGGTCCATGCTGCGATACTCAAATCCGATCGTACCGGCTAGAAGTTCAATCGCAAGGATCTTCAGCAGCCAAGTCAAACCGCAGCGGGTCCTCGGTGACCAATGGTCTTTCCGCACTCCCAATCGCTCGTTTGGCTCTACCCTTGTGTGCTCCTCCCGGGCAGCTGAGCGGCAGCCTCGGTCAGGCTCCCAGCGACGAAGTGCAGACAAGAAGAAGACACCGGTAGTCAGCGAGTTCCAGCCGGCCGTGTACGAGGGAATGGACTCCGTCAAGAAATTTCTGTCAGCTGGACGATGTGTGGTAGTCCTGCAGCCAGGTAAGAAAACCTTCCTGACTTGATTTTGCGAGTGAATAGCGGGAACAGGAAAGTCTAAGCTCTTCTACGACGGTAATCCTGTTGTGTTCGGTGGTGCGGTCCAAGGTATCCTCGGCAATCCTGGTTGTCTTTGTTGCTCTTGAGTTGGAACAACCTGATGAAGGCATTTCTCAAAAGATCCTGGGAGCCTCGTGGTGGTGGCGGATCATAATGGTTGAACGATTCGTGTTGCTCAAAATCGGATGTTGACTTGAAGCTCCAGGAAAGCTAGTGGGATGGGGCTTGTACAACAGCGATAGCATGTAGCCGCGAGTTCTGCATGAGATGATCAACATAACTTGGAGTGTTTAACGACGCAGGTACAGAGTCAGAATGTTATGGCTCGAAAGCATGGACGGAAAGAGTGACGTAAGAAGAGCAAGCTGGTTTTTACTTGCCGGACTGATCCCTCATCCTCTTATAGGATGAGAAGGATTTTACAATGTTCAACATCATCAAGAAGCGATTGACAAATGCTGCTGGTTTGCAAAGTTCTATCAATCTTAGTCCTCCGAGACTTACTGTGATCCAACGCAGCTATCCGCTCTGCTCTGAGCCTTCCTGATGAGGAAACCAACGCCTACAGGCTGATCAATGGTGAGGGCGACCGTCTCAGTGGCGTTGCAATCGACGTTTACTCGAACTGGGTTGTGATTTCCTCTTCCGCTCGGTTTCCAACTTGTTCTGAAGTAATGGAACTGATATGATTTCAGGTGGGTTGAGATCCACAAGGATGTTATCATGGAGGCCGTCAAGGCTGTTGTTCCAGTCACCTCGGAGGTTGTGTGGAGGCAATCCATTGACAGGCTGCGGCAAGATGGGTTCGATATCCCAACAAGGGCGTCACGAAGCAATGCAGACGAGGAGCTGCAGGAGGAGGACTTAGACAAAGACGAGATTTCCGAACCAGCCGGCAAGCAGGAATCTGCAGAGTCTACGATCATCTCAGAGTATGGTGTCAAGTTTGTTGTTTCCCCGAAGCTCGGACAGAAGACAGGTCACTACCTTGACCAAAGAGATAACCGATATGTGCTAGGTAATTTGTCAAGTCAATTCGCTATGTACACTTCTTAAGGCTCTGCAGGAAAACTTTGCAAAGGAAAGTCTGTTCTGGACACGTTCTGTTACAGGTGAGATCAGACCCCTCTGATCCTCGTGCTAGCATGTCTTCATCTTCATGATCTAACTTGACTTCTGCTTCGCAGTGGAGGTTTCAGCTTGCACGCTGCCTTGAATGGGGCAACGAGAGTCGATGCAGTGGACTCCTCCGATGCGGCCCTGAAGCTCGCGAAGTTGTGGAGATTCAGACACCAGCAACTCGCTGATTCCTGGTGCAGGATGAACGCTGAGCTGAATGGAGTGGCTGAAGTGGTCAGCCTCCATAAGGCAGACGTGGGAGACTTCCTCACGGTATGCAAGGATAGCACATGTTTTGTTTCAATCTGGTGAGATCTCGGACTGGCAGGAGCAAGTTGGCAAAGGATGTCAATGGGACGTTGTCATCCTGGATCCTCCAAAGCTAGCTCCATCAAGGTTGCACGAGGCTCTTGCTGCCTGCTCGCTAATGCATCATCATCGACAGGAAGGATCTAGAGCGGGCCAAGACCAAGTACAAGAAGCTGAACAAGGCCGCCATGCAGGTTCCATCACACAGGCTCAGCTGAAGTCCATGTCGCTGACCTCAGCTTGCAAGACGGTGAAGCCAGGAGGATTGCTCTTGAGCTGCACATGCAGCGCTGCCATGGCACAGAGCGGAGAGCTGATCGATGTGATCAAGACTTGCGCGAGCGGTGAGAAGCTTGAGCGGGTTGAGAGAACTTCGGAACTGACGAGCCTCGTTGCCGGGGGGCAGAACTCGGGAGGCAAGTCACGCTCCTCAAGGTTCTTGGAGCAGGGGGCGATCACACGATCCTCCCCGCCTTCCCCGAAGGACAGTACCTCTGCGGTTATCTCATAGCTGTGCTGTGACCATCCGATCCCGAACCGGGTTCGCACCAGTGATGAAACTTTCACTGGTGCTCGAGTCCAAGCTATGTGATATTCAGACAGTCATGTGTAAAATAGCATGCCAGCCTTGCCAGTCTGACTAGCAGCGCCGAGTTACTAGTTAACAAACTTGACCGTGGAACCAACTGAGGACCGTACATTGTCGGAACCCGGGCTCACTGACTCACTGTCTACCGCCGAGTACCGTACGGGTGCCGCGAGCTAGTAGCCTGTGCCTCACTGAGGGCACATTGAAGCGGAACCGACCGGGGCGAGGCCCGGACTCGGTGCGGCCCGGCAGTGGCCGGGGGGGCGCCGTTGCCAGTTCCTTAGAGACCTTTACGACAGGTCATAGGAAATAGAGGTCTCTAGAACCGGGGTCCTAGTAAGAGGGTACCAAACTATCAACCTCGGTATGTCCAAGTAAATCTTTCTAGTCCAGGTCCTAGGATTGAATTATTATGAAATGAGGGGGTAGGGTGGATCGAACTTGAGGACTTTTCGGGTAGGGGGTACTCATTGATTCCTTTGCACCGGTTTATTGACCCAAGACTTGATAGGATTCATATGGGTAGGGTATAACAGGTTGGCAAAGTCGTTGTTAACAAAAGTCAAATGGGTGGGTACCATTACCCCACCAGTTCAAGACAGGGTACATCAAGGGATTTGGAGGGGTGCTTGTGTGGAGTTGGCGGGGATAAGACTGATACGGCAGGTGGGGGTACGTGTCTCTAGGTAGGGTAGGCAATGGGGGGGTGGTAGGAGTTATTGGTCATTGGAAATATCAACTTCTAATAGCAAAGTGTGATCGACTACCCCTGTGTTGAGCAATACTACCCCCTAGTTCACGCATCCATGCCCACCCCCCACCCCCCAAACACCTCCGACCTTTCCCTCCCAGCACCATGCGCTACATCGCTGTTGCCCTTGCGTTCCTCGCCGTCTGCCATGCGGCCATCCCTCATGAAAGTCAGCAGAAGAAGGTCAGTCGACGTCGTGTCTCTCTTCTCTCAGCCTCCTCAGCATGTTGCTACTATGCGTTTCTATCAGCCACCTCAACGATATTGCCTTGTCACGTTTTGTTCCATCTCCCCTCCGCTGCTTGCCTATGTTGGACTCCGCTCTTCATCGTACTTCTAGAGAGCTTCTAGACTATTGTCTCTATCTTTTCAGTTTCTAGGTCCAATCTGATGAATATCTCTTCAAGGCTGACGAGAAGACGCCGCCCCGCCATAACCACCGTCAAGCTGCCACTCTTTACATGGCCATCATCGAGCCTAAGGTAGGGTCAAGCTCGGTTGAAGTAGGATATTGATATGTTTTAATGTGCCAGTATCCCAAGAAAGTCACCTTCCCCCTGAGTGACGAAGATGACCTCAAATTCCACGCTGCAAGGTTCCTCTCGCGTTTACCGCGCAAGTGACCGTTGTATGTGACCTTTGATGGGCAGGGACGCGTTGATGGAGCATGTCAGAGGCGAAGCCGATCAATATGATCTCAATGATCATGCCGTTAAGGCAAAACTTCGGGGGAAGACACTCACAAATCAGGTGCTGCAGCTGGGTTTTGAATTCATGAAAATGTTTGTTTGTGACGTTGGTCTCAGGATCAAGTTCAGCAGCACATGATCAAGGCGGTCCAGGATGGAATGACCATGCAGGAGGCAAGAATCGGAATGATCATCGCTCAGTTCGAGGTTTGAGGTTACTCTTCATGTGACAACAACAACTCACCACGGTGTCGGCAGGACCTTCCCAAGGACAAGCAGGAGGCTGCCCTCCAGAAGGCCAAAGAGCATCGTGACAGGATCCCTGCTGGAACTCGCGAGAAGGTCATGCAGAGAATGGCTGACCGCAACCGTGAGGTGGGTCTCAACTCCTTGTCAAGGTTGATCCGTTCCATGTTGACCTCCCCTCACAGGAGCGCGAGCAGCTCAACGGCATGGCCACCCCAGATGCAAAGACTGAATGGGTCCAGAAGAGATATCAGCCATCCAAGAGGCTGCCTCCAACTCTGCAGTAGATACTCAGGGACTCACAAGCAAGTTTTTCCTTTGTGTTGTGATGTATGCGACTGTAATGCAATAATACAACACAAATTAAACAAAGTGTACAATTGAACACCGACCCCTCTCAGCCAGGTTAGATGCTGTTCGCTAACGAGCATTCCACTCAGAAAACCCGCAGTCCATCGCTTCACCCGTTTGCGCTTGTCCACAGAAGACACTCCCATCAACATTAACGCCTGGAAGAACCTGAGACAATCTTGTCAGCCTTCACAAAGCAAAGCACATGAATCTTACCCTCCTCTTGTAATGAGCTTTTGGTGGTCTCCCAACATAGTCCTCTTCGAATGCCATGCCTCCCGTGGGGAGCAACACTCCATCCTCTTCGACGTCATCACCCTCTGATGACTCAGCAGTGCTGTTCCCTGTCGAGTTGCTGGCGGTTCCCTGGAAGGTCAATATGTCACTTCTCCGCGTGCAAGATCCTTCCCTTACATTTTGCGAATCATCGTCCGATATCAACTGCACATTGAGATAAGATGCAATATGCGGTTTGCCTTCCATATCCATGTTGTGTATGAAGTCAGGGCTGAACCAAGTATCCACATTGACGCCTTCATCTTGCAGTCTGTGAGGCCTCCAAGTCATGTTGACGTTGGCCACTTCTTGCCCAGGTGCGAACTCATTTTCTTCCTGCATAGTATATGTCAACTTTTACACGACTTCTCCGAGATGAGCATACCGAGTCAGCCGCCTCGCCCTCAGCCGCCTCTTCCTCAGCGGCAAGCTGAGGTGTGGATACCCTTGGAAAAGATTTCGCCCCGAAAAGACCATGCACAATCTCATCACCGAGCAGATTTGCCGCACGTGACTGCGGTTTCGTGTGCTGCAACAAGTACTGCTTCTGCCTCACCAACAGGGACCTTGGATGAAATCTCCCTTCGTTCGTATGCTTGATTGAATTGAGGGGACCTCCCATGGTGGTTTGCAACAACTTGCTACCGTCACGATTGGTTGCAATAAAAGAAACCAGTGCCAAGCACATCAAGCATAATGTCGCAAATATCAGAGCTCTTGAAGATCTTGTTCGGCGTTCGTTGTTTGACAGCAACGCCAAACTTTCCGTCATTGCGGAAGATCAATATCGTATTTCCTTGTTCTCGATAATGATCTATGGCCAAATCAATAATCAAGTCACCCTGAATTGCATCATATTTTTCAAAAATCTAGTGTTGTTGTAGGTGATTCCTCCAACTTCACTGATCCGTTTCCCTTCAAGGTTGGTATTGTACCCTTGCTCCTTCCTCATTCCTTCCTTGCTCACAAATGCTTTTTTGTCGCCCCTATCCTATCTTTCCTCTTACTTTTCCATTCTCCTGCATTTCACTTCCTTCTCCCCCCCCCTTCGCAATGTCTGCTTGCTTTACCTGACAACTAAGCCGCCATGGCACAGTCCTCCCAAGAGTCAATTAAAGTTGAGCGGGGATGAGGGTTTTATTTCGGACCGAGTCCCGGGCCGCCCCGCCGCCGCCCGGTCCGGCCCGCCGGGCGGCGGGTCGGCCGCGGGCGGCGCCGAGGAGTCCGGCAGATCGGCCTCAGTGGCCCGGCCGGGCCCCGGGCCGCCGCCCGGACGTCGGTACTAGGCCCCTCGGGTCCCGCCGGATCCGATCTGGCATCATCATGAGTCGGATGTTCCGAGTTCGCCCCGGTCCGGCCGGGGCTCCCGGAGTCAGAGGGCCTATACCGGCGGTACTATAGGCTAGCGGCAAGCCGCCGCTCAGCGGCACTGGGCCGTACGGTATGCCATCACCCTTTCGATTTCATTACTACGTCATCCAACAGCTGCATCAACACTACAGGACAAAATTTCCCACGCGCATGTTGCCGATTAGAACATCTGCTTACCAAAGCAACGTAGTAAGTGAACTTGATCCCTTCACATGGAAAGAATGGAAATGTTTACGAGCATTTGCATGTCAGCAAGTGAATATTGCAGAGCATCAGGAAGGGCTCGTCCTCTTGGTATCGGATGCTGCATCCTTCTGGCAGCACAATCTGGCATTTTCAGAGCAGAATGTCAGCGCTCTCAAACATCAGTCCTATACTTAGACTTGTAAGACCAAATCAGGATATTACAATTCTTTATTGTCAGTTTTTCGATTTACTATAGAAGTGACATAAAAATTCTTCGGAAATGGACCCCACCCCCCTAAACTCATCATTTAGTACCCACCCCTGCACATCGAACCCCCATCCCCACCCCCGCTTTGTGTGACCACCCGCCTCAGAGTGACCAACACTTAGCCAAAATTTTCACAGTCAGAGTCAACACGTTGCATGTTTACGTCACCCTTGGTTCGAGTATTCTCCAAGTGAGTTCAGATTCATAACATTTATGTAAGATCTAAACTTCAATTCCACAGCCACTCCAGTTCATCAGGTCTATACTTATACTTGACTCGCAGTTTGCGAACATAACTTGTCCATTTTAGCTGTCCACCTCGATTCGTCAAACTGCTACTAGCGGCTTCCAATTCAGGTATTCATTGGCATACTTCATGAAGAAAGCATTCGTTTCTCGGACTGAAGGATTCCCCCGCTCTATACAAACCAGCTCTATACAAACCAGTTGGTCCATTTCCCTCCTTCTCGCTTCATTGTCACCGTCCTGTTCGCTGTCCCTGATCACCTTCCTTATGAATTGATGAAAATGCTTCATGAAAAACCTCATATCTGTCAATCGTTTATCTTGGCTCTTCTGTCTCAAATCTTTTCCTCTCATACGTTTCAGCGGTGGAATTCCTTTTAAATTGTTGCCACAATGCCAAATGCTCCAGGCTGCCTCTGTTACTCCTGCCTCGTCCGATACTCGTATATCTTCCGGAAGAAGCCTCTGACCTTGGCACTGCTGTACTTCCGGCTGTTGCTGTGAATGAAGTGGCTCCTGACTTACTTCCTCTTGCCGTTGTTGCACTTGCCGCGGTTGCTCTACCTGCTGCGGCTGCTGCTGCCTTTGTAGGTGCTGGAGCAATTCAAATTGTTGCTGCTGCAAATTCTCTATCATCCGTTTGTGCATGTCCCACCCTTCCTGTAGCTTTGTGTACACTTCTCGTAGTTGCATTTGCACCGTGAAGTTCTCGTGGCCATGATTTTGTTGCATAGAAACTTCAGGCTGTTGTAACAATAGCAGGCGATTTTCCTCATTCTTTTGCGGAGACTGTTTAAAATAGTTGACAATCTGCTTGAATTCCGCCTCCATCTTTTCCATCATGCAGTCTTGCTTCAGTCTCAGCTGTTAATTGCCTGCCACCATCTGATCAAGCTTCTCTTGCAAAAGTTTTGTTCTTCATCATGACATTGACCACATAGCTTGTCCATCGCTTGTAAGAGAACCTTCTCGAGTTGAATGGTAACAATTCTCTTCTCTTCAACAGTTCTTTGATCTTCTTCGTAATTGGACCACGATTTCTGGGTTCGTTGTCTAAACAACTTTTGAATTCGTGATTCAAACAAAATGGTTTGGTTTCATACAACCATGCAATCAGTTGACTTACAGAACTCAAGTAACATGCCTTCGAATTGTCCGACAGCATCCTGTCTTTGACAGACTCAATTTTTTCTCTTGTTTCTTGTTCGTCCTCGCCTTCCACTTCCTCCACTTCCTCTTCATCGTCATCGTCGTCGTCTTCTTCTTCTTCCTCGTCCGAGGCTTCGTCTCCGCCTCCCTCCCTCTCTGCAACTCCGTCTGCGTCGTGATCGTTCTCCTCGTTGCATACCCCTCTAGTTCTGTTAGTTTCTGAAACGTATTCCACAATTGATTCCACGATTTGTTCTTCAGAGATGGAAGGAACACCTTTTGGGGTTTGCTGCTGCGCTGAAGTTTTTGGTCCCTTTGTTCCTTTCGGGTTGCGAGTTGAGCAACCACAATCGCTCCACTCTTCACTCCATTCACTAGCACAAAGATGATGAAACATGTTTGAGCAGGCAGTACATTGATACAGTTGAGCTGCGTCGTCCCTAACCTTGCATCGTGAACCGAACAAGCATTTCTGACGGCTACCTTGCGATCCAGCAGCTGTGGCCATGCTGAGCGATTTGCGCGGGTTGCAGGTCTGAAAGGGGGGGTGGGGGGTGGGGGGGGCCGGAGGGCGCAATAAACTACTACGCAGGAAACTCAGGATTTGGGGGGTAGGAGCAATTAGAGGTCCAGAGTTAAGTGAAAAAATTTCCCTAATTAAAATCTCCTGTTTTCATCATTATTATTTTCAATATTTTCAATAAATAAAACATCCCCTTTCAAGACACTCAAAAGTAGGGGTACTCGGATTCCTCTCACATAAAATAGTTTTAACAAAGCTTGTGATTTCAGGAAAATCCTGCGGGCAGGGATTTGAACTAGGAAAAATCCTGAAAACGCTAGCTAATTTCAAACATAATTCAGATAAGCGCTCAGATCATGTTCACACTCTCCGTAGCGATTGAATCCCGATGCGATCGCCTGAGCGAATCTGCGGAACGTTAGATCCGTCGGAGCAGTGACAGGAGAAAGATACTCCAATGCAGTCATGTTCCCAGATTCTCGGTCTGAGTTGCCATTTAGAAGAAGGAGCTTTTGAGCCTAACCAATAGATCCCAATCACGACAAGGAAATTAGATTCTCTTGCTGCGAGGAGAGCAGCTGACTGTCATGTGGCAACTGACCTTGCTCGATGCAACTGCCTCTCCCATCCCAGGTAGAATGAGGCTGGGCATCACCGAAGTGAAAAGGCTCCCCGGTCCGTACAAGATCAGCTGGAAAGTCAGGTATCACCACAACAGCCTGAAACACCATGTTGGTAGAGTACCTCTGCCGTCTCCAGGACTGGAAGGATGTTCAAGTTTGCAGAAGGTTTGATCCTCTCTCCCGTTGTGCTGAGGCTGTAGAACATCTTACAGATCTTGGATGGCGGAGCTCTGTCAGAGCCCCCAAAGAGATTCTTGTCCACAGACAAAACCCTTCTGAGCCTCTTCCAACGAAGCGGAGGGGGAGACCCACCCTCTTCCACTGGTGGGTGAGATATCTCATCCTGTCCCAGAATAATCTGCCCATCCTCAAGCTCAGCTCCTAATTCAATTCCAGCTGGCCAATGTCCACGGAAATCTCCGTTTGTTAGCTGAGTCAAAAATGTGGTTTGTTCATCTGAACTTTGTTCAAGATCTAATGTACAAGGAAATACTCTTGTCGTCTCAGGCACCAACAGTGCAAAGGAGAACCATCGAATTGCTTCCTCCAGACCGCCTAAAACAAACTTTAGGCTGTGAAGGACCAGGTTACCAAAGTTGGAACTCCTAAACTGAAACCAAACATCGCTGGAGTTCGTTGAGTCATAGGCAGTTGCCATCTTGATGAAGATTGAAAGGAGAACAAGAATAATCCTCTCATTCTCTGTCATCGACTTCCAGTCATCTGCATGTGCGCTGCAAAATTCTTTCATCTGAAACATAGCCTTGCTTTCGTTATAAGGATCAAGCCTTGTTTGCAGCATATTTCTCAGGTGGTAACACGACTTCTCTATGGGAGCAACATGCATCAATCTTGATCGTATGTCACCAACTGCTGATCCCCCAAAGACACGTCGAATCTCTCCTGACGACCCCCCGTTGTCAGTGACAGGAACTACGTAGTCTACGCTCTTCGACGAGTTGGCAAGGGCCGAAGAAAGCTCCCCAAACGCCGAACCACCTTCAAGTTTCATCACTCACCGACCAGAAATTGAACGTTAGGAACCAGAAAATGAAACAATCTTGTGTTTCATTCCTCGATCGAGCCTGTCACTGACGGCCTGCACGTTCCTGTCCATGCGATCCGACCGACAAGAGAAATCAATGAATGCAACAATCAGAACACTCGAATTGAAAATATGGGAGTTGACCTTGTCTTAACAAAATTCCGCAGAGAAGATGTGGATCTCAACTCCTCCATGGCCTTGGTCAAGTTGGTTTCCGACATCAGCGCATGGCGGATTCTGTTATTCCCCGATCTCGCTTCTCCTGGACTCGCAAAGGCCGCCGGCTCTGCTCCAACTCCAACTCCATCCCATCTTGCTACTACTGGTCCATTTCCTCCTCCTGCCCCTGCCCCTGCCCCTGCCCTTCCCCCTGCCTGCAACAGCACCGCGCTCACAAGCAACCACCAAGCGCCCATGGCGCAGTCTGAACTTGCGGCAAAAATTCCAAAATGAAAAGAAAGAGAAAGAAAGACCTTAAAAAAACTTTTTTTTAAAAAATATCAACGAGTCTGCCTCAGGAATGTTGCTGTTTACCAATGTTCGTCCGAAGTTCCATATTATTCAAAAGTTCTTCTACAGTAAAAAACCCTTGGTATCAAAGTGTTAACTTTTATAAGTGATGCTATAATGCATATTGGGTAATATCTATCTACCCAGATCCAGAGAAGAATAGGAGAACTCATCCGCAATAAGTTCCAAATTTGTATTTTTTTAGTCGAAGAGTCATCGCGGCATCTCAAAAAGAGAATGGTGAGTGAATTGTGTATCGATGGTGGGAGAAGGGAGAAGAGCAATTGGCGAAAGAAGAGAAAGGAAAGCTGAATAAGAAGAAGAGGAAAAAGAGAAACTACCCGGAAGAACATTGTTAATCGCCGTATTGGAGATAGCTGAGGATGATGGGATTGCTATTTTCCGTGTAAATGCTTGGGAAGGGAGAAATGAGATCAGATCTGCGATGATAACGTTTGAGCAAGGATGATTGTGAAATATGATGGGTTGAATTTGAAAGAGAAAGCTGTCAAGCATAGCTACTTGAAGAAAAGCATTGGTGATGCGAAGTGAGATGCTGGTGTGATGATGGTGGGGGATGAGTGAAGAACAGTACCAGAATGCGTGAGCACGGCAACAAGCATAGGATGATGTAGCTTGCACTTTTGAAATAGGGTTCGTTAGCACATCATGGAAATGCGGTGGCCATCATGTTGTTGACTACAAGGTTGAATCATTATGGTAGCGAGAGGGAGAAGAGGCTTGGATAGACTTTGAATTTGTACACGCAAGGACTGATAGGTGTACCTACATAGTGCAGTGCGATGATGTATCTTGATTCGCGCTGAATTTCTCGCAGTTCCAGTCCCTCCACAACAAGCACACTGCCACCTACGCCCTTGCCGCCAAGGCCGACAGCACTCAGGCTGGAAACGGCGAGCTCGGCACTGATGTTGTTTTCATCAAGCCTTCTGACCTCAAGCCACACAACTTCGAGTAAGAAGTACGTCTGAATGAAGTTTTGGAGGTTATGTTTGTGCCATGAAGTGAGAGTCTACGAATAAACCAAACTCGTAGAGGTGCTTTTGCGATGAAGCAAAATGAGAAGCAAAATGGAAAAGAAGAAAAGAACCGAGGATAAGTCGTTGCAGGACTTCATCGGTGCAAACAAATGATTTGAACTTGTATTTTGCAAGAAGTGGTTGAATTCCAGCTCTAGATTGAGAGCCAGATTCGCAGCGGATGTAGCATTTCATCGTTTCCTTTCCTGTCGCCACACATACTGCGCGGGTTGACCATTCTCTGCTTTCTGCCTCCTTGTTCAAACAAAAGAGGAATGTGATCAGAAGTTTACCTTGATCTTTCTCTTTTTGCCTTTGCCCTGAAAGCAAATTAGACACCAAAATAGAAACATCAACGAGCTATACCATGAGCAAACGCTCGGTCTCCAGATGTTTGGCCGCTCTCTCTGTCGACACGACGAGAGTAACGCGAGGGATTGTCAGGGTTCAAGGTCTCACCTAGTTTTCGCTTTCGTTTTTCTCGTTCAGTGATTTCGAGGTATCTTCGCTCTTTCTCCTTTTGCATCTGCAGTAAGTAGTCAGGCGGCAACGCTGCATGGAAGTATCATTTGCCTTTTTCAGCGTTCTGCCCGGAATTTTCGGCTGTCATGAACAAAGATCAATCTCTCAAACTTGTTGCTACTTCGAGCCACCTCATTATATTCTTCCAGCTGATCTTTTCTTTGTCTGTTATGACTCTGATCTAGCAGCTCTGGAACTCTGCACAACCGCCAACTTCTGTTCAGAATCAATCGACATGTGGAATTTCCTCACGTGTCAAAATATTCGGCGAGGTCGAGATCTTCAGGCTCCTCATCTGAATCGAGAAAGATCGTGTGTTTGTTTTGTTTCGGGATCGCCGCCATAGCCGACAAGCAATGAAGATCTCCTTCCAGTTTGTCTGCAGAGTGCATGTCAAAGAAACCGAGACATGACGGCTTTGGCGAGAACCTAGCTTCCTCTTCTCTGTCTGCAACTTCATCTTCACGTAGTTCATGTCCTATCAGATAATGAGGAAATAGGTGCAAGAGCTCGCAGAGTGAACCTGACTCTTAAGGAGTTTGATAGTGTCATCGTCCAGGCTATTGTCACGATTGACTTGATGGACACCACGCTTTGTAGAGGAAGATTGCATTTTGAAGTAGAACTCATCAGGGTTCCTAAAAGCGGCCTTCTCTCGAAGAATCTTGAGTTGGCCCTGCTTCCTGTGGAAGTCTCTTGCTCTCTGCACATAATCCTTGTGCTTCTCCAGCAATCCAAATTTGGCTCGAGCAGCTGGTTGCGCTCGCTCCTTGTGGGTTTTGCGCTTCACTGCATTCCTGAACGAAGACATGTTTCGACGAGAACAGTTAGAACAGGAGTTTCTTCTTTCTGTTCAAGCTCCTCTCAGACGATTGCGTTCGCAAGCAAGTTGTCAGGACAGAACTGGAGAGAATGTCTCGCTCCCTCTCCTCAGCTGCTGATCTCCGCTCCTGCTCCTCACCGCCCGTTCAAAGTGACCTCGCAATGCACGTGCGGATGTAACGATCCTGTTGCAACCGTTTTTGCATGCAACGGAACTCGGAACGGAGTCCGAACTTCCGAACGGCCCGGCCCGGCAGGTTGATTCAAGGCGAACGGCGCCGGGCCGGGCGTGACTGAGTGGACGGGCCCGGGTCGGGCCATTAGTAGACGTGACAAATTGTCAAGTTGTAAGTTAGGTGTAATGATCCGATGATGGTATCAAGTTACCGCTCAGCCTTGAGATATGCCCCGGCCCCCCCGGTGTGAGGTGACCGTCCACCGTGACCGGGCCCCGGCGGGTTGCGGCGGCGGGGGGGGGACAGGCAGCAGCATTAAAAAGTATTTTACTGTCAGTGCAGCAATCTAGCACGTTAACGGTGGCATGTACAAAGCCGGTGCCGATGATGAATACATTAAAGTATTCAGTACTGTCAGTTTACTGTCTCAGACTTCAAGCCCCTGATCATAATGTCAAAATTTCACTCCAAGACACAAGTCAAGTGAGGAGAGGTTGGGGTACCATGGAACGAAGCTCTCCTTCACTTCGTCATATACAAAGCAAAAGTGTTGGTTCTGATCAGCAAGTGAGTCAATCATTAGTGACAAGTTCAGTTGCCAAGTTGCTATACCGCCATTGCACATGGATGATGCTTGGCGCACAACCAAACTTCCATCGAACCGGGAATGAGAAATGCTCCCATCCCACCAGTGATGACGTCACTGAAATCCACATCAGAAGCCAACTGAATGAATGCGATGGCAACCTGTTCTCAAGCGCTGTGACATTCGATGCGACCTGCTTCCAGCTAAGAGGGTACGAGCAATGTCGATACCTACGGCACAAAGTCAGCCACTGGAAGGAGAAGAAAAGCTGACGGTTGGACCTGGACGTGGCAGACAAGGAAGGGGGGAGGGGAAGTGAAGACAAGACTTCCACCACTATGGGATACACAGACAACTTGATAGACCAAGAACGTCCGTCCCATGATGGAGCCGTCGCCTTCACGTACTCGTCGCTCCCCAGCCGCCATGCCTCTCCCGATGGCGCTCCCCCATACTCAAAGCTCACCTCCTCCTCCCGCTCCTCCTCTCCGTCGATCGGTAGCCACCCCGCCAAGTGCGTCACACGCCCGCCTGCGTCGCCCAGCTCGTACACGTACGCGCTAGAGTCTTCTCGCACGACCCCGAGGAAGCGCTTGCTCCCCAGCGTCTCCACGAAGATCTCCAGCGCCCGTAGCGCCATCTTCTCCTGGTACCCTGCGCTCCCGGAGCTCACCAGCCCGGACCTCGAGAAGAGCCCCTTCGTCCTGTCCCAGTCTTGCAGCGAGATGGCTGAGTTCCCGTAAAAGAACCACGTCAGCCTCGCGTACCCCTTCCTCGCCAGCACCAGCGCTCCTCGTACCGCGTAGATCGCCTGGCTCCGCTCGCTCACACACTCCGGGAACGGCGGATCTGTCGCTCTCTCTGCCGGCGGGTCGCACGTCTCCCCGCCCCCAGCTGAGTCCCACCCGTACTCCGTCAAGTAGATCGGCAGCCCGGGGGCGTTCCGGTCTCTGAACCGGAACATCCAGTCCGCCGCGTGGATCGACGACATCGGATGCTCCGGGTGTACTCCCTTCCGCCCTACCGTGGTCTGCACGTAGCTGTACAGGTGGGTGTTTAGCCCGTCTAGGTACTTGATGTGCGTCTGGTTGATGCGAGACAGCGTGTCGCTTGCGCCTGCGAAGGTTGCCGGCAGCACGCGCATCAGCGGGTCCGCCTCCTTGGCTCCCCTCGCCATGCCCAGCAAGATGTCGCTGTAGAAGCGCGGGTCCTCGTAGCCCTTCTGCACCATCCAGGGCTCGTTGCCGACCTCAAGTGTCGACACGTCGCCGGTACCGCTGGACCGACCGAAATGCTTTGCGAAAGCGAAACCGTATCGGTAAGCAGCGAGGTAGGGGCTATCCCACACCCTCTGAGGGAACATGTCGCTGGTGAACTGAAGGCAGGTATGAACTTCAAGGTCTGCTGCCTTCCATCCAGGATATTCCCAGCTCCAGTCGAGCCACCACAATGCGTTGGTTCCTAACCCACATGACATCTTTTCGTAATCAGGCGTGACATCAGGATCAGGTACGTCCCAGTTCCAGTTGTGGTAGTTCCTCCCATGTTTTGCCATCTTCGTATACCGACGAGGCCCCCAGCCATCTCGAGCTAAATTTGACCATCCTTGTCCTCCCCACGCCCAGATGCCGTTGACCCCCAGCAGATCCCCAAAGTCCACCGCATTCTCCCGTACTGGTGGCTTCTCCCCCCACCGCCCTGCCTCCCCCCACGCCGTTATCTCCCACACGTACACCTTCATCGCCACTCCCTCCTCCAACACGTGCCTCACCCGTATGTACCTCATCGCCTCCCCCGGCTCCAAGGCCGTGTCTAGGGCCCCGATCAGATACGGGTCGACCCCGTCTCGCAGTGTCTTCCATGTCTCTCCGTCCAGGCTCGTCTCGTACACCGTGTGGTTCACGCCGGCCGTTGACCCTGCCCAGTGTCGTATCGAGATCGCCGACACTGTCTGCACCGTCTCGAAGCTCACGGTCGCGTACTCCATGCATGGGCCCGACCTGGCCGACAGCTCGAACACGTTCATCGACGACGAGCTCTCAAGCCGGATCGCTACAAACCTCCCTGCCCCTGACCCTACCCGCAGATCCGCTACCGTGTACGACGATGACGTTGTCGCCAAGCTGACCCAGCTCCCGCCCGCGTCCTTCCCCTTGACGACTACCTGTGTCGAGGCGCTCGAGGTCACCTTGATCGTGATGGCGACCAGTGCCGACGCGCTCTGCAGGCTGACCTCCAGCCATGCCTGCCCGCTCGCCCCGGCTGATACCGATGCCGCGCTCGATGTCGACCCGTCCGTCGCTGCTGCCAGGCTGCCGCTGGTGCTGTTGCACCTCCCGGCTTCCTCGCAGGCGTGGAGAAGGATGTTGACCTCCGCGTACCCTACGTAGCCGGTCGGGTAGCAGGTCCCACTCTGCCAGAAGCCTCCGCTTCCATCGTTGCCGTCGATGACCTTGCCGCTATCGGAGGGCTGGGAGCTTGTTGAGGCTGTGGTGGAGTTGAGTCTGGTGAGAGGGACGGGGACGTAAGAAGCAGGGTTCCAGTCTGGGGGGTCTGTAGCATGCATGAGAGCACACTCGCCTCTTGACTTTGAACAGATCCCATTGTTGCACAAGACAGGATGGGAGTTGTCACAAACTTGGGAAGGTAGGAATTGATCGGGCCACTCGCATGAATCACCAACGAATCCTTGTCGGCAAACACAAGATCCGTTCGTGCAAACTCCATGAGATCTGCAATTGTACGGACAAGGTTGTTGGTCGCAATGATCGCCGGACCAACCAACGTTGCAGACACATCCAAGTTTTGTGCATTCGCCATGCCCATTGCAATTGTTTGGGCACCTGACGATCTCACAGGCATGTGCAGGGTCGAACTCGATTGGACTGTCTCTGCAATTTCCCTTCTGATAAAAGTCCTCCGGTTGGCACAGTTGATAAAGACCTTGTCCATCTGCTCCGAGGTATTTGTCGCAGATGCAAGTTCCGTTTGCCTGACAGGTTCCCCTTTGCCAGCAGGAGTTCGGACATGATACGCGATCACAACCTGGCCCTTCGAACCCTTTGTCGCATACACAGGTTCCATTCACACAGTTTCCATTCACGCACAAGGCACAATCAAGGCGAGAAAAGTTCAAAGCCACAACATACACGTAAACCGAAAGCTTCACCGTCCACTTCTGACCATCCCATGATGGAGCCGTCGCCTTCACGTACTCGTCGCTCCCCAGCCGCCATGCCTCTCCCGATGGCGCTCCCCCATACTCAAAGCTCACCTCCTCCTCCCGCTCCTCCTCTCCGTCGATCGGTAGCCACCCCGCCAAGTGCGTCACACGCCCGCCTGCGTCGCCCAGCTCGTACACGTACGCGCTAGAGTCTTCTCGCACGACCCCGAGGAAGCGCTTGCTCCCCAGCGTCTCCACGAAGATCTCCAGCGCCCGTAGCGCCATCTTCTCCTGGTACCCTGCGCTCCCGGAGCTCACCAGCCCGGACCTCGAGAAGAGCCCCTTCGTCCTGTCCCAGTCTTGCAGCGAGATGGCTGAGTTCCCGTAAAAGAACCACGTCAGCCTCGCGTACCCCTTCCTCGCCAGCACCAGCGCTCCTCGTACCGCGTAGATCGCCTGGCTCCGCTCGCTCACACACTCCGGGAACGGCGGATCTGTCGCTCTCTCTGCCGGCGGGTCGCACGTCTCCCCGCCCCCAGCTGAGTCCCACCCGTACTCCGTCAAGTAGATCGGCAGCCCGGGGGCGTTCCGGTCTCTGAACCGGAACATCCAGTCCGCCGCGTGGATCGACGACATCGGATGCTCCGGGTGTACTCCCTTCCGCCCTACCGTGGTCTGCACGTAGCTGTACAGGTGGGTGTTTAGCCCGTCTAGGTACTTGATGTGCGTCTGGTTGATGCGAGACAGCGTGTCGCTTGCGCCTGCGAAGGTTGCCGGCAGCACGCGCATCAGCGGGTCCGCCTCCTTGGCTCCCCTCGCCATGCCCAGCAAGATGTCGCTGTAGAAGCGCGGGTCCTCGTAGCCCTTCTGCACCATCCAGGGCTCGTTGCCGACCTCAAGTGTCGACACGTCGCCGGTACCGCTGGACCGACCGAAATGCTTTGCGAAAGCGAAACCGTATCGGTAAGCAGCGAGGTAGGGGCTATCCCACACCCTCTGAGGGAACATGTCGCTGGTGAACTGTATGCAAGTGATCACGTCTTTGAGAACAGCCTTCCATGTCGTGTACTCTATGTCCCAATTCAACCAGTCCTGATTGAGCTTGCTAGAGTGACCAGGATTTTCACCATAGTCTGTAGATCCACGCGCTACCATGTCGCTGAATGGAGGGACAATATCAGGATCAGGCACGTCCCAGTTCCAGTTGTGGTAGTTCCTCCCATGCCTGCTCATATTCTTGTACATCCACAAGCCTTCGCCTCTTGGTATACTCGACGAGTACATGCTCCGACTCCAACCCCAGATGCCGTTGACCCCCAGCAGATCCCTAAAGTCCACCGCATTCTCCCGTACTGGTGGCTTCTCCCCCCACCGCCCTGCCTCCCCCCACGCCGTTATCTCCCACACGTACACCTTCATCGCCACTCCCTCCTCCAACACGTGCCTCACCCGTATGTACCTCATCGCCTCCCCCGGCTCCAAGGCCGTGTCTAGGGCCCCGATCAGATACGGGTCGACCCCGTCTCGCAGTGTCTTCCATGTCTCTCCGTCCAGGCTCGTCTCGTACACCGTGTGGTTCACGCCGGCCGTTGACCCTGCCCAGTGTCGTATCGAGATCGCCGACACTGTCTGCACCGTCTCGAAGCTCACGGTCGCGTACTCCATGCATGGGCCCGACCTGGCCGACAGCTCGAACACGTTCATCGACGACGAGCTCTCAAGCCGGATCGCTACAAACCTCCCTGCCCCTGACCCTACCCGCAGATCCGCTACCGTGTACGACGATGACGTTGTCGCCAAGCTGACCCAGCTCCCGCCCGCGTCCTTCCCCTTGACGACTACCTGTGTCGAGGCGCTCGAGGTCACCTTGATCGTGATGGCGACCAGTGCCGACGCGCTCTGCAGGCTGACCTCCAGCCATGCCTGCCCGCTCGCCCCGGCTGATACCGATGCCGCGCTCGATGTCGACCCGTCCGTCGCTGCTGCCAGGCTGCCGCTGGTGGAGCTGTTGCACCTCCCGGCTTCCTCGCAGGCGTGGAGAAGGATGTTGACCTCCGCGTACCCTACGTAGCCGGTCGGGTAGCAGGTCCCACTCTGCCAGAAGCCTCCGCTTCCATCGTTGCCGTCGATGACCTTGCCGCTATCGGAGGGCTGGGAGCTTGTTGAGGCTGTGGTGGAGTTGAGTCTGGTGAGAGGGACGGGGACGTAAGAAGCAGGGTTCCAGTCTGGGGGGTCTGTAGCATGCATGAGAGCGCACTCGCCCAACGTCTTTACACATGCTGAATTGTTGCAAAGGAATGGCTGTGACGGCGGGCATCGTGAAGATTCCTGGCTCTTGTAGAATGAAGTTAAGTGTGGGTCTTTCCTTGCCTCGTCCTTTATCAACATGGAGTAGTTCAAGACCGAGATGGAATGGCCGGATACGTTGTACGTCACATACCTGCAATCGGCTCCTGAAAAGGGCTGTTCGCAGATACACATTGAATCCGAACACACGCCATGGCCAGAACAGTCTGACGGACAGAGAGTCTGGTTGCAATTCGTTCCCGCGAATCCGGGAAGGCACTTGCATCTGCCAGCTACACATTGTCCGCCATTTTCGCAGGGTACGGAACAGGAGGGAAACGAACAATCTATCCCACCATACCCCGATTCGCACTCACAGTGAGAGCTCTCCTGGGACGCGGTGCAGGTGCCATGGCCTGAGCAACCATTGAAGCAACTCTCTTTGGAAGCATTCTTCCCGAAGAATTTGATGTCTTTCACGTAGACTTTCGTCCAGACGCTGCTCGGATCGGTCTCGAACCTTACGGACGCAAACCGGGCCGTCACGTTCGGAACGAAGTCTGAGGTGTATCCTTTGATCACGTTGTCAACAATGTTCTGGACAAACCAAAAATTATTTCCGTCTGTGCTGAAGCTCAAGTTTGCACGAGTGGAACCAGAGAAATCTGCCTGCAGAGAGCTTATCAAGAAATAATCCCCAAGGTCCATCGTGACTTGTTCGAAACAATCGATCCTCTGGGCAGCGATCTCAGTGACTACGATAGTGATACAGTCGCCGACTCCAGCATAACAGTATCCCAGCATTCGTCCGTCTCTGCTTGCAACATTGATATGGATGGATCTTATTGGTTTGTTGGGGAGATTGTAGATCATTATCTCGTTATAGCTGTCAGAGGGCTGCAGGGTTCTCAACAAGACTTTCTCCTGGTCTTCTGTGAAAACATATAGTTTTGTATCGACTGCCCAAATACCGCGAATATACACTGAAACCAACCTCTCTGGCCCTGTCGAAAGCGGGAAAATCGCCCAAGACATCCCCGCAGCATGGTTGGCTTCAATGGTAGCCCCTGTATATTGACTGTTGTCGGTAGCTTTTTGCAGTTCAGATCTTTGACAATCACAACTTCCACTACATAAACCATCCGCACAAGCGTTAAAAAGTGCATTAAACACTGAATTCATGCGCCAACTTCCCGATCTACAAGGGTTCGCCACCCAGTTTGTGTTCCAGTCTCCATCTGCAGCTGCCTGTATCGCCCCTCCTTCACCTGCTGTCGGCCATGGCTGTACAGAGTGCACGGGCAAATAGGAGGATTGCGAGCTGATGGGAACACAATACGATGAGAGCAAGACCCAGGTTAATGCGATGAAATCCAGGAAGCTTCGATGCGACTTCATCGCGAGACTACTCGGTTTCCGAGCGAAGGTGAAAGCCCGGCAAGCAAGCTTGCACAGCTTTACAAGGAAGGGCCTGAAAGAGCAGATAGTGAATACAATCCTCTTATACATGTACAAAATCGACCATGCTTGAAAAAAGTTTCTTACTCCTTCACTTCTTGCAAAGTTTCATAGAGTCTCGGTCAACATCAAGCTCACTAAACTTTAATCTCCTTTCCTCAATTACATTTACACAGCCGCTCCATGCTCATCTGACCTGCGCTTCTTACCACTACCTCCTTGTTATTCTGCTATTTTGTCCTTGTCTCCTTCTCATCCCCCTCCTTCGCCCCCGCCCTCCCCCCCCTTCTCCTCTGCCTCTTCCTTGCTTACCGAAAGTTTCCTGCATGAAGCGAACCCTCCCCCAAGTTTTCAACAACATGGTGGGGGTAGTCACCCCACCTTTATCTGGCTGTTTTTTCGCATTATCACCGGTACTTTGGTCTATGATTGGAGGGGGTATATCGAATGCGAAACTCAACTTCACTGGGTAGGTCATTGCAATCTAGGGGTGGGGTAGGGGTGGTCAGTGATACAGGGTCAAACTGATGACGGATGACCACAATCATGAGAGTTTTCGTGTAAAGTTGGGGGTCAGGTCTCCCTGGATGATCGTGGGGAAAGGGGGGTAGGGGGGGTGTTCGAAGAGTTTGCTTCACTCCTGTCCGTCCGGTCGGCCCGGCCCGGAATCGTTCGGAATTGCCCCGAGGCCCCGGCCCGGCTGAACTCAAAAAAGTCGAATTATCAGCACAGTACGGTAGAAATGATGCATGGCGATGGGGATCTGATCTGCTGCTGCGCCAGCGACATGCGCCCGACCCCCGCCATGGCAGCCCATGATCTCAGCCCTCTCTTGGCAATGCAGCACGAGATGCTGGGCCGAATCTCATTGTCCTCTTCATGTCCATCCATATCATTTGTCGAGAGATCCAACAAAGTGTTTGAAGGCGATCATAAGCAGGGTAGTTTCGAAGCCTGTGTCATCGCCCCAGTCTTCTGTCATCAATACCGTCAATCATTCTATAGATCTGGTTGGAATTTCCAGTTTCCTTGACTTGTTTTTGCAGCAGGAAAGATGGCAGCGCTGGCCTTGATTAAGGTGGTGGTTTGTTGGGGACAAATAGCTGTCTGACGAAGTCCGATTCAGGGTTGCATCGATGTCGCCATCAACACGAAGAAGGTCTTCTTACAAACTAGGAGGAGAGTTCAAGATAAGATGATCGGCACTCTCGAAACAGGCGGTGGATTTCTTCAAGACGATGGGCAAGTCGGAGGAAGAGGCGTTCTACTTCTGGCGGATGCTCGACGCCTTGACGGCTCCGCTCGAGCTGGCCATCGCACTGAGGAGGCGAGTTTGGGAGGAAGGGGAGGAAGGAGAGGTTGAGAGCTGATGAGGGTGGGGAGAAGTGGGGGGGTGAGCACGTGCTTGTCTGGTTTCAACATCGATTTGTTACCTCCCGTGCAATTCAGCTCGCTGTTTCGATTCACAGCGAGCGAACTGCGCCAGCTATTGCATCCCCTGCGCTTATTGGGCAGGGATGGTTTGCCACGAAAGTTCATACTGGGGACTCTATTGGCACCAGACGAAGGGCAATGGGAAGTAAGAGCTGACGTGGCTCTGATGATCGTGCTCTATCGTCTAACAAGAAATGCTTCAATGGAAGAGATAGCCTGGTACTTCAACTTGACTGTGTCAAAGTGCTCTGCTGCCTTCGATGCCTTGGTGAGGTATCTCATGACATACCACGAGGAACCTGTGCAAGAGGTATACTGCATGGCTCGTCGCTTTCAGAGCATTGCCGATTACATGGTCGAACTCGGCTCCCCCTTACGATAACCTCCTGGGCTTCGTCGACACCGCGTACACGA